AGTGTGACCCGAAGTGACCGCGGATTTATTGACCTTGTATGAACTTATCCATAGCTATATCCTTACACCGAGAGAAATTATCTAGTCTCGGTGAAAAGAACCATGGTCATCTGGTAGAAAATTACTTTTGTATTTTTTGGAACGGAAAACGGTGTTTTTAGAAGCAAACTAACCTGCCGCACATGAGGAAGTCATTACACTAATAATAAAAGGCGAGACCTCTTTTTGCGGCGCAGGCTTATCACTGAGTAGTAAACCGTCCACAAACAATAATATAGGAAGACGAGTGACCAGTGTAGTACTGTAAGTAGGCTATAGACTATAGGTTTGAGTCGAGATTTCTCGCTTTCAGTTTACTCTGTTTTTGCGATAACCAATTATGTGAGAAATACCATGCTGACATTCGGTTTTTAAAAGTTGTACGCGAACTAAATGCGTTTGTTAGATACTGACAGAGCAGCCCCGAGTCGAACAATCGCCGCCCGAGCTGTCTTCGTCAGCTAGTTTCACAATATCGTGCAATAGGTATATTAATGTGATTTTTAGGTTTAACCCCGCAAACAATGCCAAAATAGTGTTTTCACTGCTTACAGAAAACTGAAATGAGGGTGACCCTCCCACACACTCCCTATCGAGCTGCCGCTCGGTCTGCGCAGCCTCATGCCTGGCACAAACTGTCAACATTGTAAATTTTTCCGTTTCCGCCCCCCCCCCCCCACAATATATATCTCACGGCTACGTTGCGACGGTACCAGCATACCCAGTTGTTGACACCCATTCCATCACTCCTGTCTAACAAATCCTAAAGCTGTGGTGTTGCGGTGGCGGCATAGTATTTCACCGTAACACCACAGCCACTCTAACCATTCATAATACATCTAACTATCCCTTTACAGCACTTCACTCCCTACACATTTCCCCTCGTCCTACTTTCCCAAACGTCAACAACACATCTCATACATCCAGTTCGCTGATTAACCCTTGTACCACGTCTACTGGATGACCTGGCGCCTGGTACGTTCGGGCATTTTTATGCGCGAACTCTTAGTTTTTTTTTTACTGGCACGCGCACAGGTACTATTTCTTTTTCTTTTAACAAGTACCCAAATCGGGGATTTCGTGCGGAGGTAGTTCGGAGGTAAACAGTCTGTGAAGTACAAAATTTGCCACTGTACCTGTGTATCGCTAATTATAAACCGAATGTGTGAAGACAGTTCATACATATCACTCAAAAATTTTTCAGTACAAACTCAGTTGATTCACGCTCGATTTGCTACTAAACAAACCCATCGGTTTATTTTCTCAACGGTGTGACCCGAAGTGACCGCGGATTTATTGACCTTGTATGAACTTATCCATAGCTATATCCTTACACCGAGAGAAATTATCTAGTCTCGGTGAAAAGAACCATGGTCATCTGGTAGAAAATTACTTTTGTATTTTTTGGAACGGAAAACAGTGTTTTTAGAAGCAAACTAACCTGCCGCACATGAGGAAGTCATTATACTAATAATAAAAGGCGAGACCTCTTTTTGCGGCGCAGGCTTATCACTGAGTAGTAAACCGTCCACAAACAATAATATAGGAAGCCTTAGTGACGAGTGTAGTACTGTAAGTAGGCTATAGACTATAGGTTTGAGTCGAGATTACTCGCTTTCAGTTTACTCTGTTTTTGCGATAACCAATTATGTGAGAAATACCATACTGACATTCGGTTTTTAAAAGTTGTACGCGAACTAAATGCGTTTGTTAGATACTGATAGAGCAGCCCCGAGTCGAACAATCGCCGCCCGAGCTGTCTTCGTCAGCTAGTTTCACAATATCGTGCAATAGGTGTATTAATGTGATTTTTAGGTTTAACCCCGCAAACAATGCCAAAATAGTGTTTTCACTGCTTACAGAAAACTGAAATTTAAAAAAAAATTTTTTTATGAGGGTGACCCTCCCACACACTCCCTATCGAGCTGCCGCTCGGTCTGCGCAGCCTCATGCCTGGCACATACTGTCAACATTGTATATTTTTCCGTTTCCGCCCTCCCCCCCCCCCCACAATATATATTTCACGGCTACGTTGCGACGGTACCAGCATACCCAGTTGTTGACACCCATTACATCACTCCTGTCTAACAAATCATAAAGCTGTGGTGTTACGGTGGCGGCATAGTATTTCCCCGTAACACCACAGCCACTCTAACCATTCATACTACATCTAACTATCCCTTTACAGCACTTCACTCCCTACACATTTCCCCTCGTCCTACTTTCCCAAACGTCAACAACACATCTCATACATCCAGTTCGCTGATTAACCCTTGTACCACGTCTACTGGATGGCCTGGCGCCTGGTACGTTCGGGCATTTTTATGCGCGAACTCTTAGGTTTTTTTTACTGGCACGCGCACGCGCACAGGTACTATTTCTTTTTCTTTTAACAAGTACCCAAATCGGGGATTTCGTGCGGAGGTAGTTCGGAGGTAAACAGTCTGTGAAGTACAACATTTGCCACTGTACCTGTGTATCGCTAATTATAAACCGAATGTGTGAAGACAGTTCATACATATCACTCAAAAATTTTTCAGTACAAACTCAGTTGATTCACGCTCGATTTGCTACTAAACAAACCCATCGGTTTATTTTCTCAACAGTGTGACCCGAAGTGACCGCGGATTTATTGACCTTGTATGAACTTATCCATAGCTATATCCTTACACCGAGAGAAATTATCTAGTCTTGGTGAAAAGAACCATGGTCATCTGGTAGAAAATTACTTTTGTATTTTTTGGAACGGAAAACAGTGTTTTTAGAAGCAAACTAACCTGCCGCACATGAGGAAGTTATTATACTAATAATAAAAGGCGAGACCTCTTTTTGCGGCGCAGGCTTATCACTGAGTAGTAAACCGTCCACAAACAATAATATAGGAAGCCTAGTAAGTAGGCTATAGACTATAGGTTTGAGTCGAGATTACTCGCTTTCAGTTTACTCTGTTTTTGCGATAACCAATTATGTGAGAAATACCATACTGACATTCGGTTTTTAAAAGTTGTACGCGAACTAAATGCGTTTGTTAGATACTGACAAAGCAGCCGCGAGTCGAACAATCGCCGCCCGAGCTGTCTTCGTCAGCTAGTTTCACAATATCGTGCAATAGGTGTATTTATGTGATTTTTAGGTTTAACCCCGCAAACAATGCCGACATAGTGTTTTCACTGCTTACAGAAAACTGAAATTTAAAAAATAATTTTTTTATGAGGGTGACCCTCCCACACACTCCCTATCGAGCTGCCGCTCGGTCTGCGCAGCCTCATGCCTGGCACATACTGTCAACATTGTATATTTTTCCGTTTCCGCCCTTCCCCCCCCCCCCACAATATATATTTCACGGCTACGTTGCGACGGTACCAGCATACCCAGTTGTTGACACCCATTACATCACTCCTGTCTAACAAATCATAAAGCTGTGGTGTTACGGTGGCGGCATAGTATTTCACCGTAACACCACAGCCACTCTAACCATTCATAATACATCTAACTATCCCGTTACAGCACTTCACTCCCTACACATTTCCCCTCGTCCTACTTTCCCAAACGTCAACAACACATCTCATACATCCAGTTCGCTGATTAACCCTTGTACCACGTCTACTGGATTTAGAGTACCGGAGTCTGCCGAGGTTTGCCGAGTGCAACTATGTTACATTGTCTCTCTGGAATACAAATCAATATTTTAACCAATCCTAATGTTATAGCCGAAAAAGCCGGCATATACTATAATATATATCAGATTCAAGAAAAAGAAACGGGAACCAAACTACGGAATTCATGATTTTTAAATAGCCGCGGCCACATCTTACGGTCACGCCCTAATTCACGTCGTGGCACTACGGCCAACTAGGTTGAAATAGGATGACCATAGTGTTAAACGTAGTGAGATGTTACTACGGTCAGGTAGGGTTATCCTGTCCAATCACCAAAAGAAATATAAGACTAGATATCACAATTCAATCATTTATGTTGAACTAAAAGAGACACCGTCAATCTTGGTTCTGTCGGGCTAATTTAATTATCCTTGAATTCTAAGAAATGTTAAAATGTAATTCAGTTCAATCAGTCACTTGAGAATTAGGTGGGATGAACGCGTTTACGAAAAGCGTCTGTTTTACCTGTACTAGGGCGGTCCACAGCCAGAAAAAAATACAACAGACAACTGCGGCTCATTTTATTATGTGATAAGACTAACCATAAAAACGGGGGGTTGGATGGCTGAATGGTTAGCACGTGCGTGCTGTATCATAAAGTCTGTCATTAAGTCAACTGGCGTGGTTTCGATTCCCCGGTTGTACGTGACAAGGAGTAGGGTCGCCTGTCCAACCTCGTGGGTTTTCTCCGGTTCCTCCGGTTTCCTCCCACTGCTAAAGACCCCTACGCGCAAGCGAATTATGAAAATAAAATTGAACCATGTGTTAGTCCCGAAATGACCTCTCTCTCTCTCTCTCTCTCTCTTTCTCTCTCTAACCATAAAAACATTATTCATCAACAATCGAAGTCTGGCCACGTTTGGTCTTTGAGGATATAAAATATTTAGAAAATTGTTTTAAGTGCCAAAAAAATGCCGTTACGTCTTGGGAGACATAAGGAGGAAACGTCATTGGTCACATTATAGTTTCAAGCTACACCTTGTAACGTATATTTAATTATCTCAGTCGGTAACCATCGTTTTATATGTCAGACAAACTATTATTGTTGCCTGTCATAAGGATATCTAGGCTTTGCACGGATATAAAGGCACATTTATAAAACGAATGAGAGGCCACCCTTGCGCTCTGGCATACCCTTTACAAAAGAATGCGAGATGGGACCACTCAGACACCTCATATCTAAGATGTGCTGTCTCTCTGTCATGTTTAGCAACATTTCTTTCTGCTAAGTGAGTATCGGGTACTCAAGGAATAAGAGGCAAGTTGAAATTAAAAAAAACTGCTTTCTTTATTAAATTTCAGTTAGTGGTTTGTGGGGTGCGTGGTTACCATATTCTGCATGTTCAGTAACATGCGGCGGGGGTCAGAAGATTAGAACGAGAGACTGCGACAGTCCGGCCCCGGCTTATGGAGGAGACGCTTGTCCGGGTATTGGTTCAGAAACGTTGCCATGTAATACACAAGTTTGTCCAGGTATGTACTGCTCTAAAGAACATGTTAAAAGATAACGTTTTTAATGAATTCTCATTTATGTAAATAAATATCAAAATATTATACGTAGCTGTCTCGATTCCATTGTATCATCATTCTTCTACTCCTGATATGTGGTTTTGTACTCTGTATAGGCAATACGATCTTTGTTCTTTCGGGGCGCTCAGACAGTGTTATAGCTAGTATTTTGTTGACATTCATTGAGGGTGGGATTGCGGATGGTACCTCCCCCCCCCCCCCTATGCACAGCTTCTAGATCCGCTACTGGGGATTCCAAAGGTAAACAGACATAGCTTTTTTTTTTTTTTTTTAAAAGTATGATAGTTCATAGGCTTTGAAAGAATCATAATTCATGTTTCAGTGGATGGTAACTGGGGGTCTTGGTCCACTTTTGGATCCTGTACAGTAACCTGTGGGGGTGGAACACAAACCCGTACAAGAGTATGTGATAGTCCTGTCCCAGCTAATGGGGGAAATACCTGTCCTGGTTCTACTACAGACAATCAAGCTTGTAACTCAGTTGCTTGTCCAGGTAAGTAGTGGTGTGTCTAAGGCTCCTACTAGACCATATAAAGTTTGTCCAGGTCAACAATCGTGTAAATAACAATACACAATAAACAACTTCTTTATCTAGTATGAAATGGGCAATTGATAAATAATTTAAACACTGGTACGTGGATTTGACCTCAGTAAATTATAAATAATTCGAACACTATATTTCCGCTCTTAGTCGTCAGGTCAAAATTCTTGGCGGACACGACAGCTTAGACATTTGTAAATTGTTTAATTTCAAAGAGTTGTAATACTGATTTTATTGGGTGTTACATATTATATTTCACTTTGTAGTAAAGAATACTTGGGGATATTTCATTTCACTAATATCAGCTGGAACCGGGCATGGACAATCAAGTGTCAAATCTATGTTGACATAGAATGTTCCAATTGGTAATACATATAAGGTGTCCGATTTAGATGAAGCGAGACTAGACTATTCCACTTTCGAAGCTCTTCCCAATCCCCTACTCACACGGCTAGAGGAAGAAGACATAGTGTTTTAATCACAATTGAACAAAGCCCTACGCCCTAGGCACCAGTCTTCCGAGCCTATAAGTAAATCCAAATCTGTATATATAATATTACATTTTCTTTATAACTGAATATTTGCTTTTTTACTATTCGCTTTGATCTTCAGTGGATGGTATTTGGGGGGCTTGGTCTAGTTATGGATCTTGTACAGTAACATGTGGAGGTGGAACACAAACTCGTAGTAGATCTTGTGATAATCCTGCTCCAGTTAATGGGGGAGCTACTTGTTCCGGTTCTTCTACAGAAAATCAGCCTTGTAGCACAGCTTTATGTCAAGGTACGTTTCGATGGATATTGGGCTTTTGTGCCGTTCGTTTTTTGACGAAGAGTTTAGTTTGATATGTTGACATAGAATGTTCCAATTGGTAATACATATAAGGTGTCCGATTTAGATGAAGCGAGACTAGAGGTGTCCACTTTCGAAGCTCTTCCCAATCCCCTACTCACACGGCGAGAGGAAGAAGACATAGTGTTTTAATCACAATTGAACAAAGCCCTACGCCCTAGGCATCAGTCTTCCGAGCCTATAAGTAAATCCAAATCTGTATATATAATATTACATTTTCTTTATAACTGAATATTTGCTTTTTTACTATTCGCTTTTGAAATTTCTTTTGTTCGATTTTCAGTGGATGGTATTTGGGGGGCTTGGTCTAGTTATGGATCTTGTACAGTAACATGTGGAGGTGGAACACAAACTCGTAGTAGATCTTGTGATAATCCTGCTCCAGCTAATGGGGGAGCTACTTGTTCCGGTTCTTCTACAGAAAATCAGCCTTGTAGCACAGCTTTATGTCAAGGTACGTTTCGATGGATATTGGGCTTTTGTGCCGTTCGTTTTTTGACGAAGAGTTTGGTTTGATATGTTGACATAGAATGTTCCAATTGGTAATACATATAAGGTGTCCGATTTAGATGAAGCGAGAATAGACTATTCCACTTTCGAAGCTCTTCCCAATCCCCTACTCACACGGCGAGAGGAAGAAGACATAGTGTTTTAATCACAATTGAACAAAGCCCTACGCCCTAGGCATCAGTCTTCCGAGCCTATAAGTAAATCCAAATCTGTATATATAATATTACATTTTCTTTATAACTGAATATTTGCTTTTTTACTATTCGCTTTTGAAATTTCTTTTGTTCGATTTTCAGTGGATGGTATTTGGGGGGCTTGGTCTAGTTATGGATCTTGTACAGTAACATGTGGAGGTGGAACACAAACTCGTAGTAGATCTTGTGATAATCCTGCTCCAGCTAATGGGGGAGCTACTTGTTCCGGTTCTTCTACAGAAAATCAGCCTTGTAGCACAGCTTTATGTCAAGGTACGTTTCGATGGATATTGGGCTTTTGTGCCGTTCGTTTTTTGACGAAGAGTTTGGTTTGATATTCTGTTTTGTTTGATTTTCAGTAAATGGTAATTGGGAGGTTTGGTCTAGTTATGGATCTTGTACAGTAACATGTGGAGGTGGGACTCAAACTCGTAGTAGAACATGTGATAATCCTGCTCCAGCTAATGGTGGAACTACATGTTCTGGCTCGGCTACCGAAGACCAGTCGTGTGGCACAGCTGCATGCCCAGGTACGTTTCTATTCATCTATTAGAACAACATTTTTAGGGTGTATTTCTAGGGCTTATATTGTTATTTTTTTCCATTGTCCGTGCCGCCATGTTGACATAGCATGTTCCAATTGTAAATACACATGAGGTGTCCGATTTAGATGAAGAGAGGCCAGACTATTCCACTTACGAATCTCCTCCCAATCCCCTACCCACACGGCTAAAGGAAGATGACGGGGTTTTAATCACAATTGAGCAAAGCCCTACGCCCTAGCCACCAGTCTTCCGAGCCTATAAGTATAACACTATAGAGTTATTTTAGGTCTAAGAATAGTGTTCTGTTTAATATAGCAATCTTTACCTACATGATGTGTGATGAAAACTAGGGTAATGAAGTAGCTTGCATTATCCTACTACTAACTTAGAGTCTAGACTTAGACTAACTCACCCCCAGTTATGTCAGTATCCATTTCTGGAAAGTAGGGTACTAGACGGAGGGAAATAAAAAAAACTACCGAGTTCTTTCACTAGAATCTAGTAAAGGGATATCTAATGGACTCCCAACTCAAAATTGTCCGCTGAAACCCAGTAGCGTTTTTCATAATTATCATAAATCCAAGATGGCCGCCAATTTGACTTTCTGGCCACCATATCTTGGAAACGGCTCGTTTTAGAGCAATAAATGTATTATCATTAGATACAAAAGTGATATTAACGAATCGGAAAATAAAATTGTCACCACGCCAGGACGTCACAATGACGTCAAACTGCCGTTATTTTGACGTCAAAACACTGCTGCTTTGATACCGAATAAGCGGGTTTGACGTGAGTTCTGATGTCTTAGAGAACTCAGAATAAGCGGGCTGTGATCTAGTTTGTTTTTGTGACACTGACTGACTGTACTGGAATCCAATCTGGTGAGTGAAATTCTGTCCAGCTCGTGAAGCTGAGCAGCCTGAATTATTACATTCGATCCCTTAGTGGTGAGCTTGACAACATCCCTACCAATATTTAGGTTATTGCCGCAAATTATGCACGTATCCATGGCGAAATACGGCTCTTTTCACAAAATTAGCAAACAAAGTTTCAAATATCTGGGGAAAACTCAGACTGGATTGCAAGCCAATCACCAGAGTTTAACAACATCCTCACCATTATTTAGGTTATTGCCGCAAATTATGCACGTATCCATGGCGAAATACGACTTTTTTTCACAAAATTAGCAAAAGAAAGTTTCATATATCTGGGGAAAACCCAGACTGGATTCCAAGCCAATCACCAGATTGGATTCCAGTCCAATATCTGGGGAAAACTCGGACTGGATTGCAAGCCAATCACCAGAGTTTAACAACATCCTCACCATTATTTAGGTTATTGCCGCAAATTATGCACGTATCCATGGCGAAATACGACTTTTTTTTCACAAAATTAGCAAAAGAAAGTTTCATATATCTGGGGAAAACCCAGACTGGATTCCAAGCCAATTACCAGATTGGATTCCAGTCCAACCCGTCAGTGTCACAAAAAACCCGCTCATTCTGAGTTCTCTAAGACATCACGTCAAACCCGCTTATTCGGTATCAAAGCAGTGTTTTGACGTCAAAATAACGGCAGTTTCATGACGTCATTGTGACGTCAGGGCGTCACACCTTAACGTGCTGGTGTGGTGATAATTTTATTTTCCGATTCGTTGATATCACATCTGTATCTAATGATAATACATTTATTGCTCTAAAACTAGCCGTTTCCATGATATGGTGGCAAGAAAGTCCAATTGGCGGCATCTTGGATTTATGCTAACTATGAAAAACGCTACAGGGTTTCAGCGGACAATTTTGAGTTTGGAGTCCTTTAGACATCCCTTTACTAGATTCTAGTGAAAGAAATTCTTTTGCAATTTGTTCTCGGTAGTTTTTTATTTCTCTCCGTCTATTTTGTAGAACTAGCAAGAAGTATGTGGCTCTTGCCCCGTTTAAGCCGTTCTGGTCTGAGTTAGAAAGGATATTAAACTCAGACCGTCGATAATTAAATAACTCGAAAAGTACTATCATAACTTTGTAGTTTGCTGTATTTGTTTAATTATATAAACTTAGTAACAACATAAACGGTGTTCCAGAGTCAATTAATTGATGCTTGAAATAATTGATGTTCGTTTTTATTTGGTACCGCGACACAGGATAGTGTTAAATAAGTAAATCCAGGTCTGTACATATAATATTACATTTTCTTTATAATTGAATATTTTGTTTTTTTACTATTCGCTTTATGAAATTCCTTTTGTTTGATTTTCAGTGGATGGTATTTGGGGGGCTTGGTCTAGTTATGGATCTTGTACAGTAACATGTGGAGATGGAACACAAACTCGTAGTAGAACATGTGATAATCCTGCTCCAGCTAATGGGGGAGCTACTTGTTCCGGTTCTTCTACAGAAGATCAGCCTTGTAGCGCAGCTTTATGCCTAGGTACGTTTCGATGGATATTGGGCTTTCGTGCGTACGTTTTTTGACGAAGATTTTCGTTTGCTATTCTGTTTTGTTTGATTTTCAGTAAATGGTAATTGGGGGGTTTGGTCTAATTACGGTACTTGTACAGTAACATGCGGAGGTGGGACTCAAACTCGTAGTAGAACTTGTGATAATCCTGCTCCAGCTAATGGTGGAACTACATGTTCTGGCTCTGCTACCGAAAACCAGTCCTGTGGCACAACTGCATGTCCAGGTACGTTTCTATTCACCCATTAGAACAACATTTTTAGGGTGTATTTCTAGGGCTTATATTGTTATATTTTTCCATTGTTCGTACATCTATCTGACTGGCTTTGGAAGTTAACATTTACATTTTAAACAGTTAAAATTTTGGACTTTTTTCTTCCGAACCATTGATATGAAGAGTTTTAAGTAACCTAAGGGTAGGGCTGTGGGGCTTAAAACTGTAAACGAGGTACTTAAGGTTTATTTATAAAAATGAGTCTTGGGATCTTCTTATACTTGTTGTCGGAATTAACGCCCGCTTCGACTGATTTTGGTATCACAGACAAGTTGTGATCGAAAGGCGTAGTATTGATATACAATTATCGTCTTTAAGAGTCTTATTAATTCAACAAGTTATTGTATAAAATTTCTTCAAAACAACCCTTAAATCAATGAACATTATAGTATAATCAATGTACAGTGTGTCAATACAGATTGTGGCACAGCTGGTTATATTTACTTGGGACGACTGTCCAAATAATCTACCTTAAATATTATCGTATGATATTTTAATAATAACTTAATTAATCCAAACATTTATTTACTACACTATTGCTTCAAGAGTAAATAATTCATTGTTGTTGTGCATTTTGTGTTTGTCTTTAGTCCCGAGCTTTCGCTTTACAATGGACAAATCTCCATGGAAAGATTTACTATTGTTTACACGAACCAAACAACCCCCCCCCCCACCCTTACACATTCTCTTAGGTAATGATTATATGATCTACTGCTCCCTATTTCAATAAAATTAAACGCGAGAGAGAGTGCTTTGATGGGTCTCGAGAAACGAACATATTATTGTTTTTTACATTTATCTCCAAGAAAATTTTCATTGTAATTATATTACTTGATCATTTTCTGGACTGATGTGTTAATAAGTCTGTGTTTTCGCCTATATTCACATGGTTGGTTTATACATGAACTAAATCCTAATATTCATAATCTAGTGCACCACATGTAAAATTGACTCATGGTCAGGGTATCAACTTTCATTATATAACCCGTGCCATAATATACTTTTTGAGATTCTAATAGAAGGAACGTGTCGTATATAATTTAAGAATATAAAAATGAATATATTTTGTAAATTATAAGTACATTTTATAGTTACCGCGCAATTGCAACGGTTAAATATTTTCGGGTATTATTATTCAGAATACACTATATATACTCAGAAATGTGAGTAAAAACAGGCGAAATAACCTTTTCATTTATACTAATAGCTAAGCATCTTAGCTATAGTTTAGTAATATATCTAAGTTTTACTATTTAATCAACGAGTGATATCAAGACCTTTGTCCCCAAGTGAATTAAGAGAAAAATCTGGAAGTGTAAGTTCCACTATATTGAACCATTTTGTGAACTGATGGAAACAAAAACGGTTCACTCCCATTTCGACTACATCCTATTTCGACTACAAATTTTATTACCACAAAATCCTGACCCTCCAATTTATCAGCATTGAACTGTTCCGCTGATGTAATTAGTGTAATGATTATAGTTAAAATAGCTGAACTAAAAAAGCAAAAATATCAACTCGGAGTATGTTCTGTTTGTGACAAATATCTGTAATATTTGGAGATTACAACGAGTTTAACACTTACTTAACTATATAAGATGAATTGTTTCAAATTTTGTCTACGATATCACCCTGGGTGAAAGTGGACCCATTTATTATTTTATTTATGTTTTTTGCCTTCTATCTAAATGAATTACTCTTTAATCATTGTTTTGTTTTGTTTTCTATCTATATAAATTATGTTTGTTATAAGAAATGGGGTGTTTTCATGGAGGAATCTGTTTTAGCTATATAGAGAGGGTAAACAAGTAGGGATAATAAAACAACCAGACTGTATAATCTGTTGTTATAAGATGTAGTCGAAATGGGAGGATACCTAATAAAGTTTATGTTTTGCTCCATGCTTCTCTTAATAATTTTCAGATTGAGAGAGAGAGAGAGAGAGAGGGGGGGGAGAGAGAGCGATGGGGTTTAACGTCCACTTGACACAAACTAGGTCATTTCGGGACTAACATATGGTTTATATTTATTTAAATAATTCGTTTGCGCGTAGGGGTCGTTAGCAGTGGGAGGAAACCGGAGGACCCGGAGAAAACACACGAGGTTGGACAGGCGACCCTACTCCTTGTCACGTACAACCGGGAATTCGAAACCACGCCAGTTGACTCAATGACAGGCCTTATGGTACAGCACGAGCACGTGCTACCATTCGGCCATCCAACCCCCCTTCAGATTGCAAAACCCGGAAAATATAATGTTCGTGATATCAAACAATAAGATGAAAATGTACTCTACAATAGTAATTGCTTATGAAATATTTGGGGTATATTTTGACGTTTTTGTTTTAGTTAACGGTAATTGGGGACCGTGGTCTAATTATGGATCGTGTCCAGTAACTTGTGGTAGTGGAACAAAAGCTCGTAGTAGATCCTGTAATAATCCTGCTCCAGCTAATGGAGGGGCTCCTTGTCCAGGTTCTTACTCCGAAGACATGCAGTGTAACACAGATTTATGTCCAGGTACGTTTCTATGCATCCATTTCAACAAGTATTTTACTGTGTATATTTAGTCCCTCTGGCCAACGGGCGTTTGTTGTCATACTTTGATCAGATTCTTACACCGAGATAGAGAGAGAAATGGGATTTAACGCCAACTCGACACAAACTAGTTCATTTTTGGACTAATATATGGTTCAATTTAATTTCAATAATTCGCTTAGCAGTGGGACGAAACTGGAGAACCTAGAGAAAACGAACAAGTTTGGACAGGCCACCCTACTCCTTGTCGCGTACAAGCGGGGGATCGAAACTCAATGACAGACCTCGCGAATTAAGAAGCTGCAAATGGAGGAAGGGGGTGGGCGTCAAATACTCGGGCGCCATCTACAATCCCACCCCACATTGAATGTCAAACGAAAATGCATGAAATAACACTTAGCGCCCAGGTGGATATTATTGCTTATAAGGTTTTCACCGGACGCCCCACCCCACCCCACCTTCCCTTCCTCCGTGTTAAATCCGCGCCTGAATACAATGTGATAATATAACTGGAGTCAGATACAATAGAAAGGAGTGAGTGAGGAATTGCGACGTTTTGGTGTCTCGTACGCTTTCGTGGCATTGCCATCTGTGTTTATTCGATTGATTTTCCTTTTCTTTCCAGACACCAAGTGTGCCAGTTATGGAAGTTATTCATACGATCAAAGTACCGGAGTCTGCATCACGATTTCTTCTGCCCCAAGCAACTTTGATGGAGCACTAAGTGCCTGCACTGGAAGTGGCGGTACTTTATTTAAAATGGACTCAATAGCTAAACGAAATTATGTTCAAAAACTTTTGACTGACAATGGTATGACATAAAATAATTGAATAAAGATTAGATATACATGTATTAAATAATGCTAATTTAATTCCGGTTACAAACAGTAATTATAGCCGACTTTTAGAAGGCAGTAATATCCGGTCATTTTGGGATTATATTATAATATTTGTGTGTATTGCAAAATATGAGAGAGAGAGATGGATGGGGTTTAACGTCCACTCGACACAAACTAGGTCATTTCGGGACTAACATATGGTTTAATTTTATTTCAATAATTCGCTTGCGCGTAGGGGTCTTTAGCGGTGGGAGGAACCGGAGGACCCGGAGAAAACCCACGAGGTTGGACAGGCGACCCTACTCCTTGTCACGTACAACCGGGGATTCGAAACCACGCCAGTTGACTCAATGACAGGCCTTATGATACATCACGCACGTGCTAACCATTCGACCATCCAACCCCCCGCATTATGTAAGAGCTGAATCTGCTGGTCTTATAATTTTGGCTTTAAATGTTATATGGATTATTATTTGGACATTTATGTACATGTCGAGCCTATAATCAACTCTCTAGCCCATCGGATGGCGGAGATTTAAACCGATTGAAACACGGTAGCCATTTAATGATTTAATTTTAAAAAATGGTGAATCGAGACTGAGTCTCGATTAGCAAGTACCGTTGCTACGATAATAAACAATCTATGCCACATCTTGTCAAAACTTCAAACAGTTATTACTTTGTTCAGAATCAAGTAATTTGAATGAATTTTTAATATATTCATCACGTCACGAAATTAATTAGGCTGTGTGATATGTTGTAGATTATAAGAATTGTTCTTTGGATCGGCATACATTTCTTAAGATAATATAATATGCTAAATACCAATTAGCTTAATTGAACCATAACCCATAAAGTTAATAGGCCCATATAAATTTGATATTCGTTCCGTTTTGTTATGTACTTTAGTTGATCGCGGTATAAAGAGAGAGAGAGAGAGAGAGAGAGAGAGAGAGAGAGAGAGATGGGGTTTAACGTCCACTCGACACAGACTACATGTAGGTCATTTCGGGATTATCGCGGTCTAAAACAGTTCTCTTTAGGGCTTTGTCAGTAAATAAAACCTTGCGTAATATCACTATACTGCCGTCTCAGGCCTCGATGGCGCCTTTCTCAAACATGTCTTTAATGAAATGAAATGGGGTTTAACGTCCTACCTTACAGCACCGACTTGGCTAATGAAGGCGGGATATACCGCCCTACACTTAAATCGAATTCCAACTGTCAAGGGTTCTTTTTACGAGTACCCATGATCAGGGGAAGCATGTTGCAAGCTCCTGAGGAACTTCCTTGACCAACACCAGGACCGAGCCCTTGACCTCCTGGTTAATTAGCTAGCGTTTAACACACTGAGTAACCGCGGCCCACAAACGTTTCCTTAGAAATTAATAGAGCGATTGGAGTAAGTACATGGAACGAATATATAATCTTGTTTAATTAGATTGCACAAGGACAATATCCGATTGCGAACTAATTACTTTATATTTTTCTTTTTAGGTATTAATGATGACTCAATTTTTATTGGAGCTAAAGATAAGGATAGTACTGATACATTTGTTTGGATGGATGACACGCCAGTGGTGTGGATCGGTACGGATCCGACGACCACAAATCAGAATTGTGTTCGAATTGATACTACTAAAAGTCCTATTGAAATGGACGAAACAGGTTGCGGTTCTAGTTATAAGTATATATGTGAGCAGAGTGTATAAAATATTCACTTTAATTTTAATCATTCCACAACATAATCTTAACACTGTCAGAAATTAAGGTGGTAGCAAGAGATCGATTCCCATTGCCGGATTTACCTACTGGCTCGTCAGGTTGAAGCCTAGGACCTCAAGATCCAAGATCAAAGGGGTCTAAGGCCAAGGCATATAATATATTTTTGACGCCGCCATAACCCTCTCTTACACGCGCGGTAGTCTAAAACATCTGTCATTATGCTCGGCTTGAGGGTGGGGGTGGGGGTGGGTGGTCATAATAAGTGGAATAGCCCGGTCGATTCAATATGGATGCAATCGGCTTGATTCAGTCCAGCCCCTATTATGTTTTCCTTAACATTCAAATGAAAATCTGTTTGTATTAATTAATTGGCGAGATATATCGAGGTACGTAAAATATAAAGATCACATAATCACAATTCCTCCGCCAATAAGTATTTTTAAATTACTAAAGCATATATCCATAATGACCTACATACCCCAAAGATGTCAGTAGAAAGTTTATGGATTTACTATGAAATTATGGGGCTTGAAATTGTATTATTATCTGTGCGAGTGGGGGTGGGGTATCTCTTTAAATGACCATGTGCAAAGTACTATTTGTTCGACGCTTAATAATTATATCCAGGATTATTAAGAATAAAATGATTTCATGTTTATTGATGTATTTACCCACTTTTATAAAAGGCGTCCAAAGGATGTAGTGAAGCCTGATGGAATTCACCCTAATTATAATGGCAATGAACTATTAATGGATATTTTAGGTAGAACTCTGATTTCACAAACTGTCACAAATTATCATGTTTATAACAGACCCAATCCCATTAGTTCTAAAGTATTTCGCTAATATGATTACATGTATAATGTATATAATAGACCATTGCACAACCATTACTATTTCCCGCAATATAATGCTTCCCCATATCATAATTGTTCTTAAGCTTGTTTGGACATAATTGCCCACATATACATATCTTTATTATCTACCCCCTGCATGAATGGTTTCGTATCTCCAATTAACCCACCTCCGTCTAATGTTTTTCACAGCTTACGCATTAAATTATGAATATATATATATTATATTTGACCCTTTTGTTTGTTGATAATTAATTGTAACTAGTTAGTGTTGTTTGTTTTCAATACCGGTATGTTTAATTATTTGACCAAGAAAGGTTTGTCATTGTATAAACAAAACAGTGGAACTCAAATTGAAGACTTTGATATTTTAGGTTTCACTGAAACACATTTATCCGACTCTGTAAATGATGGATGGTTCTATTATTTTTCCTGGTTTTCATTCACCATTTAGAAGAGATAATAGTACATTTAGTTCTTCTGACACTCTTTTATATGTAAGAGAATCTATTAGTTGTAAAAGAAGAACTGATTTGGAACGCGATACTCTTGAAGTCATTTGGATTGAAATTGCTATAAAAAAGACATCACGTATTTTAACATGTTGTTTATATAGAAATCCGGAATTTACAGCTAAATGGCATGATGAATTTAAATTAATGATGGATTCTGCATGGAATCAAGGAAGGGAACTTCTCATTTTTGGTGATATAAATATCAATTCGTATTGGACGGATTCTCTCAATTCTTACAATTTAACTCAAATCCTTTCTTCTCCATCTCGTGTCATTGTATCTGCCCCCAACCATATTAATGAAACTAATGTGCCATGCTATTCTATATCAGACCACTCCCGAACTTGTTTGACATGGTCCAAAAGTGGAGTAAAGATCCCCAAAACAAAACATATATATGTTTCATACAGATCCTTTCGGAATTTTGTTGAAGATAATTACATGTATGACCTTAGCTTGATTAATTTTGAAAATATTTATCTGATAAATAACCCTACAGATGCTCTTCAAATTTGGTATGAATTAGTAACTCCAATAATTGATCATAATTCTCCTATCAGAACTAGACGTGTTAAGTTGCTATCAAACTTCAATAGCGAAATTTTAAATTTAATGCGACAGCGTGATTTTCATAAAAGTAAGAGAAACGACAACGAATATAAAAAGTGTCGAAATCGTTTAAAAACAATGATTCGTCAATCTAAATTAAAATACCTCCAGGATCTGATCGGAGATAACAAAAGTTCTAAACAGATATGGAATGCATTAAATTTAGCAGCTAACAAAAGTAACAGCAGTTCCCACATACCATTACCACTGGATAGCAATATAGTTAATGACTTCTTTTCTAACATAGCCGATAAAATTCCCAATGCCAATACAGATAATACCCCTAGTAACATAAGGCTTGATGATATTAATTTAAAAACATATGTAAACTCTAAAGTACCCGATGGCGCATCTTTCCCAATACCGTTTATTAAAACAACTGGTGTAGTTAATTCCCTACAAACATTAAATGTTTCCAAGGCAGTCGGTCTTGATTCAATAAATCCACTATTTCTCCGCTTAGGTGCTGTTCAACTTTCTGCTAGTCTTACACACATTTTTAACCTGTCAATAAATCATAACACGTACCCTTCTTTATTTAAACAGGCTAAAGTTATTCCCCTTCATAAAGGAGGTACCAAAGATGACCCCAATAATTACAGGCCGATATCCATTCTTCCAAATTATATCAAAAATTCTTGACAGACATGTTCAAAAACATCTTGACATTACAATTATTTAAATAAATATCAACTTTTATATAGTAATCAGTCACGTTTCCGTTCATCTAGCTCTTGTCTAACAGCCTTAACACATATTACTGAAAACATGTATGATTACATTAACAACCATCTCTTCTGTAGAGCAATATTCTTTGACTTTAAAAAAGCGTTCGACTTAGTAAATCATGATATTCTTTTTGGCAAATGTAAACATTTTAAATTTTCTAGAAAATCAATTATCTTTCTAGAATCATACTTAAAGAACAGAAGTCAGTGTACGTGTGTTCACGGCATATTATCTGATAATAAATCTATCTATCACGGTGTGCCCCAAGGATCAATATTTGGGACCCATATTATTTAATATTTTTATAAATGAGTTACTTTTATACCTATCCTCTAAAACTGACCTCTTTGCGGGTGACACACCAGTCTACACTTATGGGTCTGCTGTCAAAGAATTAGAACCAAAACTTCAACTAGATGACAATATAGTATTAGCCTGATGTGATAAAAACCATATGAGATTAAATATATCGAAAACCAAAGCTATGCTAATCACGACGCAACAAAAAAGAAATATCCTCCCTGCTAATTTGAATATTAAATTACGTAATGAACCATTAGAAGTCGTCTCCTTGGTAAAAAAATATAATCTAACCTGGAAAGATCATATCGAGAATATTTCTAAAAAATTAAGCCAGAAAATATTTCAACTCCGTCAAATTTAAAAAATATCTTCTAGCTCCTTTCCGAACCCTTTTCTACAATATCCACTTTCAAACACATATAGATTATTGTTCCCCAATATGGGACCGTTGTGATGCTAAATCTCTTGACCCTCTTTCTCGACAGCAAATAATTGCCTTAAAATTAATTTTAGATGTTAAGCATACCGCCGATGTTTTCCCTCGACTAAACAAATTAAAGATTTATACAATAGTAAATCGACATATCTCTAATCAATGTATATTTATTTAAAAAATTCTGCTAAAACAATGCCCTGATTACTTATTTGACCTCTTAACTTATTATCAAACTAGTTACAATCATTTTAACAATAAACTTACTTCTATCAAGCCAAATATTAATATAGGTAAAAGCAGTAGACGCTTTAAAGGGTCCAAACGCTGGAATTCGTTGCACGCCTCTTTAAAAACTTTAAATAACTTGAAACTTTTCAGGAAAACACTTCTTCTTTACCTTAAATCTACTTCAAATATCTTATCTTAAAAACCTATAAGTTTATCTCTTATGATACGTGTTCTGTGTTCTCCATATTATAAGCATGTGCATATTGTATATTTGTTAATACATGTTATAATCTATATTTATTCAAACTTTCTGTTATATGACCCGCATATACATGATTACTTAAATTCATCTTTTAATTATATCTGATTTGTATTTTTATTTCTTTTCCTCTATTGGCTTATATCTTTTTAATTCTACGAATCCCCGTTGCTTTTCCTTTTTTGTATATCTTAAATAAAGATGGTTGCCAGGCAACGAAACATACGCCCACAGCAGCTAAATTGTCCGGGCAGTCAACAAGAGCATTTTTTTTTCTTTTGTCGGTAATGAAACATTTATAATACACTAATATCTGATTAAGAGTAACAACTCATTAAGTAATTATCAGAAAATAACTAGAATTTGTTTGGCGTCTAGTTCTGCCCCATGCTAACGTATAGTAAACAGCACATTTAATATCATGGATTTAGCCTCAAGATCTTAAACTCTGTGTATAAATTTAATCGGATATTAACTTTAGCCTCTAAAGCGCCTACAAGATATTTCAAAGTGATCAAGAGTCATAACTCTGACAGTAATTATCAGAAATCGTCTCATGACCTTAAACACCCTGTATAATAACCGTCGGATATTAACCTTAGTCTCTAGAGCACCCACCAGCAATTGTGGACGCCGGTCCAACGGACGGAAGGACATGGACAACGACAATATACGACCACATTTCGATGTGGGCGTATAAAAATTATATAATCAATTTGAGTGAATTTGAATTACATATTGTCTGGAAAGGGCAAATGGTAATCAGTGGCTTCAGGCTTCACCAATCGCCGGCGAAATCGGGTGCGGATACGCCACGAAAAGTCGTACATGGAAAACGGGCCTTAGTGATTTAGTAACATTTTAGTAACGCATTTTAGGTACTGTATAAATGATGACGTTGCCGAAGAATTAAAATAAACCACATTAGTGCATGATTTTTTACAACAGAAAATGAAGCTTTGAGTTTCGTTATAGGATGTAAACATGTAAACATATTCTGCCTGTCCAAGTCACACACCATTAGTTAAATGACTTAGAAAAAAAGTTGTTAACTATAATTTGGACTTTCTAAACCAGAAGTAAGTGGCAACAGACACATAGCCGTCACATGTACGACACGCGTTGTTATACATGGCTAAATGGAGCGATGACAACTAAAACCGATACCTTATGAAAAGTGGTATCAGACAGATTGCAGCAGAATTAAGCATTACATCTACTGTTACACGCCTTTTCATTGACCGGTCTTTATTTCCATATTACGTTTTCGTCTTTACTTCGTTACAGATCTGTTTGGTCCAACCTATTGTTTCCGTTTTATCATACCGTTCTTTTCATTTAACATGATGGTAGTGGTGGGTGTCGTGCGTGAGGCAGGTAATGCTTAACATATGAATACCTTGTACCGCTTTCGATTATAGAATTTTTCTTATGTGTCGATTTCATTGTGTATGTACATAGTTCAGATAATATTGATGGATTTATTGCATGTATTGTTAACGAGAGTGTTCTTACACTTAATACTTCAATAAGGGACAACATGCCAAACTCAAAATTTATTTTATAAACACCACAAACAATCAAATGTACCCTTACAAGCAAAACATTCTAATGTAAGCTTACATTTGTTTCTATTGCCTTGACGTCGCGTGTATATACGACCATAACATTCTTATCCGGTAACCGATAATTGACATCCGTTGGCATGTTGTCTCTTTAAAATTCTAAATTACAGTCAGAGTATTGTGTACAGGTAGTTAGATAAATAAATATGGTTTCTTTTATACCGAAATGTTGTTTTTTTAACCCTGGAATGTTGTTTTCTCAACATAATTAGTATAGATTGCGACACGAAAACAAGTGGTTTAACGTCATGCTGTTCTGCTCCAACTGGGTAATGAAGACGGGCATACGCCATACAGATGTGCTATGAGGGAAATTTTGCCTACTTTTGTATCAAATTCCAACTGCCAAAAGATCTTTTTTTGTGCACGCCAATGTGTATCCGAACCACTAGACAGAAGTCCTTGTCAGGCCCTCGGTCTTGCACTACTGACAAGGGGGAACCACGCCGCAAAAACCCGATGAACTTCCTGTCAACACCGGGAGCGATCACGCGATCTCCTGGCTAGAGATTCAGCGTCTTCTCACATAGCCACCGTAGCCCCCTCCGTTTTCATTGAATGTGGGCTACAAATTAACTCTTAACGAATTAAATCACAAGGTCCCGGTCCCTGGAATTATTAGGACTATAAACACAGAACTTCCTTATATACAATCTGGGGCTACAAATTCAGTTATTACAATAACATTTCCGTGTTAATAAGATTTTCTTATTGTTTTCTAATCATTCAAAATATAAAACCTGTACCTTGTTGGGGAATAATTTGTGACTGTTGTGTTTGTCTTAAGTGTAAATAGGGATCACGTGGCTAAGTGGGTAAGACGCTAGCTCGCTAGCCTGGAGGTCGGGTGTTCGATCCCTGCATTGGCCGAGAAAGTTCATCCAGATTTTCCGGCGTGGTTCTCCCTTGTCAGTGATGCAAGACGGAGGGGCTGACAAGGAAAGCTGTCTAGTCGTTCGGATGGGACGAAAAACCGAGGTCCCGTGTACCCATTGGCGTGCACGTAAAAGATCCCTTGGCAGTTGGAATTCGATATAAGAGTAGGCCGTAGTGCCGCTGTCCGGGCAAAATTTCCCTCATAGCACACTGTATGGCGTATGCCCGTCTTCATTAGCCCAGGTTAGCTCGCAGTTTTCAGCAATATTTGTCAAGTTGCCGTCATGAACGACTGCGTCCAGTCATGAACGGTTAGTTCTGGTGACAAACGAACTGTTCAGTAAACAAGAAGACGGTGGGAATAAAATAATAAGACCCCGTAGTGCTAGCCTAGCACCACGGAGTAAAAACGGTCTTCGAATATTATTATTCATGGTATGATTTCTACACAGGTCGCACTTGCCAAGATATTTAATCTAATGAAAGTTTTTTATTTTTATATATCATCCATTTTAAAGATACATCCCACGAAATTATTTATCGGTTAGTTATTTCTAATAGAAAGAGAGAGAAATGGGGTTTAACGTCCACTAGACACAAACTAGGTCATTTAGGGACTAATATATGGTTTTAATTTTATTTCAATAATTCGCTTGCACGTAGGGGTCTTTAGCAGTGGGAGGAAACCGGAGGACCCGGAGAAAACCCACGAGGTTGGACGGGCGACCCTACTCCTTGTCACGTACAACCAGGGATTCGAAACCACGCCAGTTGACTCAATGACAGGTCTTATGATACAGCACGCACGTGCTAACCATTCGCCCCCCCCCCCTCTCCGATTTCTAATAAAACTATTGCATAGTCGGTATATTTGGAGAGTAAAGACACCACATCTTAACCAGAAACATACACATGGGGCGCCCGCAGGTTAAAAATGTAAGAGTGTCGTTGCCAGCCTGTCTGCTGGAGTGACGTAAGGGGCGTTCTTATGTGTTCATCTAATGGCTAATGATTGCGAGAACATTGTGAGACTTAAATGTCAAATAGACTGAGATTAAAGGGCGGAAACTGAAGGTGGCATAGGACAATCCAAGAATTTACCTAGGCCTCAAAATGAAATGAAATGAATGGTGTTTAACGCTCTACTGTTCTGCTCGGTTAATAAAGACGGGCAGACGCCATACAGTGTGCTAAGAGGGAAATGTCGCCCGGAGAGCGGCTCTATGGCCTATAGAATTCCATCTGCCAAGGGATCGTTTACGGGTACGCCAATGTGTACACGGGACCCCGGGTTTTAGTTTAATCCGAACGACTAGACAGTTAGTTGTCATTGTCAGGCACCACGGACATGGGGGAACCACGCCGGACAAGGGGAAACCACGCCGGACAAATCTAGATGAACAACACCGGCAGCGAACACGAGACCATGCTGGCGAGCCACCGCGACTCCCCCATTATATAGGTGTTCGGAAGTTTAAAAAGCTACCCAAAAGTCCACCCCCTGTCTCTTTCTCCAAAAGCAAATCATCAACACGTCAGTACTAGTTAAAACAAAATATTTTTTGAACTTTCACTGAAGAGAGGAAATGGGATTCTCATAATCAATGTCATCCTGTAGTGGAAAATTCATTGGAAGATCAGATGTTAACTTGTCAATGATTGGTTGTAATAATTTAAATAAAAGTCGCGATCCAATCGTTGATAAATGCAGGCCATCATTCAACATTTCTTTCCAGTTCTGTAAATATAAATAAAATTATTGTTATTGATGAACAAATAACGGGCAACCCGAACTGTTCACTTATCTATGTTAATTTTAATAAACCTTTTTTTATTTAATTTGACACACCTTTCGGCTGTTTCTAAAGTTTAAAGCCCATCCATTGATGTCTAGTGGATGTATTTTGCCTTATAATATGTGTTTTTAGGGGGTAAAACGGGAAATATGTTTCATTTGATTTTTAGGTGTTGATGTTTTGTCGCATGATAATTATGATGACGGTACAAAGAATGTCATGTCGGGACTAATATATATCGTACAATGATTAATTCGCGTTAGTAGTCGACCCGGATAAAACCCTACTCCGTGTCACGTCCAAGCTTGGGATGGAAACCACGCCGCTTGTTTCAATGACAGACCTTATAATTGAAAGCGCATCAATCAAAACAGGGCAAGTAAACCACAGGGACACGGTAAATAGTATCAGTCCAGAGATGATAAGTAAAAACAGCTGGGTACTACGATAAGTATCATCAACCATGAGACTTTATGTAAACCCATGTCCATGACACGACAAGTAAACCAGAGGGATACGATAAATAGTATCAGTCAAGATATATGACACATAAAAACAATTGGAAACGATAAGTATCATCAACCATGAGGCAATAGGAAACACCATGTCCATGACACAACAAGTAAACAGTGTTAATCTAGATACAAGTAAAAACAATTGGGCACGATAAGTATTATCAACCATGAGGCAATAGGAAACACAATGTCCATGACACGACAAGTAAACAGTATCAGTCAAGATACGACAAGTAAAAACAATTGGACACGATAAGTTATCATCAACCGTGAGACTGTAAGTGAAACAATGTCTACGGTGAAACAAACAGGACAGAATAAGTCTCACCAATCAAGATGTGATAATTACAACAATCAGGATTATTAACACTAATCAAGTAAAATCGTCGGAACATTGGCAAGTATCACCAATCAAGTAAAACCATCAGGACACTATAAGTAACAAGAGCAAAATGACACGAAAAGTATCGTCAATCGAGAGAAAGTAGGAAAATATCACCAATCAAAAGACGATGAGTACAACAACAAAACAAACACAATTAGTATCATCAATCATGAGAGGGTAAGTAGGCATGCTGTCTCTTTAAAATTCTAATTTCCGTGTTAATACATGAGCATAAAAGAATAAGACCCTACTCAGGTCGCACTTTAACGATACATCCCAGGAAAGTATTTATCGGGTAGTTATTTCTAATAAAAGTATTGTATATCTGGTATATTTAGAGAGTATACACATTCAATCTTACAAGAAACATGCTGGATTCCCAGAAAAATACACATGGGACGCCATGTAAGAGTGCCGTTTCCAGCCTGTCTGCTGGAGTGACGTAAGGCTGCGCGTTCTTATCCGTTCATCTAATGGCTAATGATTGCGAGAACATTGTGAGACTTAAACGTCAAGTAGACTCTGCGATTAAAGGGCGGAAAAATAAAGGTGGCAGAGGTATTTACATAGGTCTCGAAATGAAATGAAATGAAACATAATGAATGATGTTTAAAGCCCTACTGTTCTGCTCCGACTGGGATAATAAAGACGGGCATACGCCATGCAGTGTGCGAAGAGAGAAATTTTGCCCGGGCAGTGGGCTCTGTGGCCGATAAAATTGCAACTGCCAAGGGATCTTTTACGTGCACGCCAATGTGTACACAGGACCCCGGGTTTTCGTTTAATCCGAACGACTAGACTGCTGTCATTGTCAGGCCCTCCCTCCGCCCTGCATCACAGACAAGGGGAAACCACGCCGAATAAATCCAGAGGAACAACACCGGCAGCGAAGCCGAAACTCCCTGCTAGCGAGCCACAGCTGGCACGCTGAGCCATCGCGACTCTCCCATTCTATAGGTGCGTTCGGAAGTTTAAAAAGCTACCCAAAAGTTCACTTCCTGTCTCTTTCTCCAGAAGCAAATCATCAACAAGTCAGTAATAGTTAAAAAAATATATATTGAACTTTCACTCAAGAGAGGAATTGGGATTCTCATAATCAACTTCATCCCATAGTGGATAATTCATTGGAAGATCAGATGTTAACTTGTCAACGATTGGTTGTAATAATTTAAATAAAAGTCGTGATCCAATCGTTGATAAATGAAGGCCATCATTCAACATTTCTTTCCAGTTCTGTAAATAAAAATAGAATTAAATGTCGACGTGATGAACAAATAACGGACAAACCGAGGTGTTGACTTCCATGCGGCCCAAACGAGCCGTTTACTCATTTCTGTTAATAAAACTCTTTTTATTTAATTTGACAAAGGCTACCTTTCGGGTGTTTCTAAATGTTAAAGCATTTATAGTATCCAGTGAAGTCTAGTGGATGTATTTTGCCAATCGAAGACGCCTGTCATTGATAAAAAATCTTTCAACTTTGGTTTATACTGGCTTTCAGCGATGTGGCTTATATGTGTGTGTGTGGGGGGGGGGGCGATTGGGGGGCAGGGACTATGTTTCATTTGATTTCTAGGTGTTGATGTTTTGTGGCATGATAATTATCGGGACTAATATATATGGTACAAAGATTGGCGTTAGTAGTCGACTCGGATAAACCTTACTCCGTGCCACGTCCAAGCTTGGGATCGAAACCACGACACTTGCTTCAATGACAGACCTTATAATCGAAAGTGCACGCGTTAGGCCAGTCGTCCACCGACCCCCATCAATCAAAGGAGGGTAAGTAAACCAGAGGGATATAGTAAATAGTATCAGTCAAGATACGATTAGTTAATACAGCTGGGTACGTTAAGTATCATCAACCACGAGACAGTAAGTAAACCCATGTCCATGACACAACAAGTAAACTAGAGGGACACAGTAAATAGTATCAGTCAAGATACGATAAGTATCATCAACCAAGAGGCAGTAAGTAAAACCTTGTTGCCATGTTCATGACACGGCAAGTAAATCAGAGGGACACAGTAAATAGTATCATCAGTCAACCATAAGACGGTAAGTAAAACCATGTCCATGACACGGCAAGTAAACCAGAGGGACATGGTAAATAGTATCAGTCAAGATACGACAAGTAAAAACAATTGGACACGTTAACTATCATCAACAATGAGACTGTAAGTAGCACTAATCATGTAAAACAGTAGGAACACGGCAAGTATCGCCAATCAATTAAAACCAGCAGGACACTATAAGTAACAAGAGCAAATTGACACGATAAGTATTGTCAATCGAGAGAAAGTAGGAAAACAACGGGGCGCGATAAATATCACCAATTTAGAGTCGATGAGTACAACCAACAGAACACAATTAGTACCATCAATCAATAGAGGGTAAGTAAAGCCAGCAGGACACGATTACAATCAATCACAATACGGTAAATAAAAACAGCAGGACACGCGATAAGTAACAACAATCAAGAGACCACCGTAATGGCGGGATAAATATCATCAATTAAGTAAAATCATCTGGACACCATATCATCAAGCAAGAGAACGTCCGAAAACAGCAGGACACGAAAGGTATCATCAATCAGAAAGCTTAAAGTAGCTGGTCTCGGTACTCGGAACGACTCGGTTGTTTGGCTTTCGAATTCGAATAAAAACACAGCAGTTCGGTTTCCCGTTATCTTATGGTTTACATATTTGAACTGTTACAGTGTTTTTCATCATAAATGGGCTAGCTAAATGATTGATACGGGTGTGAATTTGGTAACATTTGTTATTGATTTACACTTTTTCTTGTTTTTAAACATAAAAACCGCTAGAACTGGCAGCAGGTAAAGCTGTAACCAACAGAAACCCGATATCTAACTTAGTTTTTTTAAAAAAAAAAATGTGGTATTGAAACAGGTAAATGACAGTTTAGTAAATAAGTCTGATCAACTGCGAGGGGGATAGTCACAAATTATTTAAAATCAACATGTCCTCCATTCGATTTTATTATATTACATTGATAGATGGGACCACCTAGCGTTTGGACAAAGTTTTTAAATCAATTGAAACAACATGGGAGTGAAGTGGAAGTAATTATCTTAAATGAAAGAAAAAGGAAATAAAAACTTGTTGCCGTATTTTTGTCGATAAACAGAACAATAAACATGGCAGATAGTGTATTGTATGGGCTTCGATAACCATGGGAGTAATAGTTAAGACCCTTTGAGAATCTATAGCGAGAGGGAGACAGAAATGGGGTTTAACGTCCACTCGACACAAACTAGGTCATTTCGGGACTTACATATGGTTCAATTTTATTTCAATAATTCGCTTGCGCGTAGGGGTCTTTAGCAGTGGGAGGAAACTGGAGGACCCCTCCTTGTCACGTACAACCAGGGAATCGAAACTTCGCCAGTTGACTCAATGACAGACCTTATTCACTCGGCAAACCTCGGCATATTCCGTTACTCTACATCTAGCCTCGGCTATATGACGGTAAGTGATATGTACCTACGCCTATACAATTGCGATGCGGCACCGGTTTACTTATTAGGAAAACTTGCCACTTTTAAAAAGAAATTATCAAAATTGCGTCGTAGAATTTTCAGTGCAAAGTTGTCCTTGTTTGAAGAAAATAAATGTTACAAAGAAGTGAGAATACTAAAGTCCATATAGAAACACACAAACTAGAGGGATTGGGGTTTAACGACAACTCGACACAAACTAGGTCATTTCGGGACTAACACAAGGTTCAATTTTAATTCAATTATTTGCATGCACGTAGGGTCTTCAGCAGTAGAACGAAACTGGGGGACCTGGAAAAAACGAACACGGTTGGAATCGAAACCACGCCACTCGATTCAATGGCAGACCTTATGATTTCACGCTCACGCGTTAAACCACTAGACCCCCCCCACCACACACAGTTCAATAATCAACCAACTAATCTCCAATGGTCAATAAAGAACCTTAAAACAGTCAGAATATTGATGTTACGTAATCGGTGAATAATTTTTATCCAATTTATCGACAAACTGTCTTAAAACTTTAATTGGGCCCACTGTAGCAACATATTAAATTAACAGTCATCAAATGCGTGAAGGACACCGATGGTTCTTGTTCCAGTCTGATAGGGGGAATTAAGGTATTTATGCTCGTGACTGTGACATAACCCTCGGTGGCAAGAGACATTAAAGGACAATATTGGTGGCAGTCATTATCACATATGTGGTAGAGCTGGTTAAACACATTCCAAATATAATTTTAACACAGAGATCATTGCTACGATAGCTGAGTAATACAGGTTTCCTGAATCGGAAGTGACGAACGCCAAAGGAAAACACGAGTAATCCCTCTATATACCTGACTGATGTGACGAGTGATAACCTACAGCCAATAGTAGCAGTTGTCATGGCGTGTGATTAACACATTTTTTAAAATTTTGTGCTGGGGTTTGGTGAATTCCGGGACCATCTCCTTGATTGTACCTCCCACCCCAAGCACCGACCCTTAGACTCAAGTACTGAGGAATGTGAGAAAGGAACGAATCTACAATCAGATGAAATAAACCTATTATTCAAATTAATTATAAATCAGCCCCATTAATTAATTTTGGTGCTCCCAATGTGATGTAATGTCAGAAAAAACTGAAACTCTACTCGGGTCATGCTTATTAAAACACTGATTCACATTCAACTTTGCTCAGTATAAAAAAAAATCATTGTCCACTTTTATTCAATATAGTCCCATCCGTTGAAAGCCAAATCAATTAACGATTTTTTGGAGTACATATTGAGTGGTTATCAAATTGATCTTATAGTTCGCATCGGCCAGTAATTCCAGTTTCACACATGCTTGCTTCAATAATCATGCTTGCTTCAATAATCAGTGAACTATATGATTTGAGAATAGATCTCTGACGTGAATGGCCGCCATATCCAAAACCCAATATTTATTTGGTAATGCCGTTCTATTTCCTTTCACATCTGCTATACACACAAAAACTAAATAATTCTTTTCAATTCCATTAAAGGGAAGCAGAATAAATACATTTCAAAATTCTCGACGTACATTAGTGTTTTCGACTAAAATCCTCGATTTAGGAATTAAAATGTCGGTCAGCTAGCTTATTGTAAGTTCTCAAGCGGAGCTAATTGTAGACGGACAGCTACGCGTTCATCTGGACAGTTAAAGCTACATTATGGGAGATTAGATAAAGAGCTGGCAGTTCTCAATGTAATAGTTAAAAACTAGATAATGTAAAGGGAATTAGCTGAAAATTTCCGTCAAATAGGTCCACTCTGAACCGAGATTTCAGCGATTGGATTTTCGGCCTAGCCTCAATCAATCTTACTAAAGTCGGTAGGATAAAAAAATATAGTCTCGATTATCAATTTCATGATTAAATCAGGAATGGAAGTTGAACAGCAAATCGGAACCTAATCCAATAAACATCGCAGGCTAGCGATGACATCGAGAGTTGATTATGGTCTGGATAAGTTAATTAATGTCTAATTAATAATGTAAAGGGAATTAGCTGAAAATTTCCGTCAAATAGGTCCACTCTGAACAGAGATTTCAGCGATTGAATTTTCGGCCTAGCCTCAATCAATCTTACTAAAGTCGGTAGGATAAAAAAATATAGTCTCGATTATCAATTTCATGATTAAATCAGGAATGGAAGTTGAACAGCAAATCAGAACCTAATCCAATAAACATCGCAGGCTAGCGATGACATCGAGAGTTCATTATGGTCTGGATAAGTTAATTAATGTCTAATTAATAATTTAGATAATATTTCGGGCATATTTAGCTCTTGCATAATGTATGTTTAATAATCTCGCCTCGTTCTTTAACATCTCAGAATACAAATCAACACTCCATATACCAGTTTCTTTACATAGTTGAACACACGATGTCGCATATTTTTGTGTATTTTCTGTGGTTTTGCTGCATGGTTTTCCTGAAAATATAATACTAATATTTCAAATCTCTGAATCGTGTTAATTCTAATCAATTTTATACGGACTCATCATCTGAGAACTTTAATGACACCAGGATTGACAAATTTCCCGAGGAAGAACTTCATTTTTTAATGGTATTATTTTTTTTTCGATTTTAATAATGAAACATAATCAATAAAAATAATTAATTATTAACAATTAATGTTCTTTTTATGGTCGCTCGATAAAAATGTACATACCCTTCTTGACACACTCTAGTTGCCATGCATCGTTATTATAGGCGGGTGGGGATATCATAATAATCTTTTCTCTTTCAATTCCAATAGACTGTAACATAATAATTATGTCTGATATAAGCCTTGCGAGGCATTTAGCAATTGATTTATTACTAGAAGACTTAGTATGGATACAATCACCAAGATTAGGTGCATTAGTATTTGCTGGAAAACGACTTGTGAAAAGTGCCTTATGTAAGGTATAGATAAAGAGCTGGACGTTTTGGCTAATAGTTCAAAAATAGAAATGACATGAAATGAAATGGGGTGTAACGTCCTACTGTTCTGCTTCGAACTGGGCTAATGAAGAAGGGCATACGCCATACAGTGTGCTATGAGGGAAATTTTGCCCGGACAGTGGCACTACGGTCAACTCTTTCATCGAATTTCAACGGGACCGCGGTTTTTCGTCCCATCTGAACGACTAGACAGTTGTCCTTGTCAGACCCTCCGTCCTGCATCACTGACAAGGGGAACCACGCCGGAAAAATGTTCAAAAATAGATAATGAAAAATGAATATATCGGAATTTCATTCAAATTCCCTTTTTCTGAGCGCCCGTCTTCATTAGCCCAGTTCGGAGCAGAACAGTAACACGTTAAACCCCATTTCATTTTTCTAAACAAAATTCTGACTGTTTAAAGATATAGCGTAGATCGTTCATTATCGTAGCAACCAAAACTTAACCTCGATTGTCAGTTTTATCGTTATTTTTTAAAAATCGTGTTTTAAAGAGTTGATTACAGGCTTGTGATGTAAGTACATGTCTAAATAATAATTTATATAGCATTTGAAGCTTAAAGAAACAGTTGTAATATGCAGATTTAGCTATTAAATAAGGCATCTTTAATTGTATTTAAGTGACATTTTTCAGAGTAGAAGCAACAATTAATACGGCCTCGAATCAGAATATACAGCCAATCAAATCAAGACTTCTAGAACAAACAATATCATCAGCAGCAATACCCCTTGTCTATCAGAAATCAACCCTGTCGACAAATGACCAATGGTAAGCTGCTTAGACCAAAGATAATTCTTTGTTGACCTGTGGTCATTTACTTAGACCAACTGTGGATCAGAGATTTGCACGATACAACAACTATGCACTGCGACATGGCAGCTATGAATAAATAAAAACAAATTTATATTTGTTTTGTAGACCTAGCAGACAATCTTTCACATGGTCGACAAACCAAACATTCGATTCAATATTTAAGGAGCAAACTTTTTAACAGGGTAACAGGGTATTAGGTCTTTGAGCCCTACAAAAGTAGGCATTTGGTTCATAAGGTTAACGTTTAGACGAAGCAGTGGAACATTGGCAATCATTACTTTCGATGGATTCCGCAACATATAGGATTAAGACTAGTAATTATTTTCCTTTATTTCATGATGGGACGAATGTAGCGCGAGTTATAAATAGACCATTTTTCCTTTAATTTTTTTCTCCACTTTTCCTTTTTTTGGGTTGACATTTCGGTCTAGAATTGGAGAAAATGGATCAAATTTGCGATTTCATAGCAGTTTTGGGGAATACTGATGACAGAATGGGGAGGGGTAGGGTGTGTAAAGTGTCTTTGTGTAGAGCAATCATTACGTCTAAACGGCCAACCCCCTACAAAATAATGATGAGGAGAGTGCTAAGTGAGACCCTCTGTGTGCCTATAAAGAATGGAATCAACTGAATGGTGAGCAAAAAGCTACAGCCTGTGATGTTACAGTCATTTAACATTAAAGTTAATGGGCAAATCATTGCTAGTCCGAGTCCAGGTAGTGAAACTAGAACTGCGATGCAGTGATGACGGGTTTCACTAGTGCCATGTTACCATTTAACTTCAGTAATTTCCAAAACCAATGAAACCGTTAAACAGAATTTCCACATGGGCATTGCACACGTGTTATAAAATGGATGTGGAATTAAAATAAATCCAGCAATATCAGTTCTATTTGTACATTTGTTACCATTTGTCACACATGTCATAAAAAGAATACAGCAAACGAAGACATGACTCGAAGACGCCACTTCCGTTATCAACAAAGTATGTAAATTGAACAGAATTGACCCTTTATAACGCCTTATTAAAATGCGAAAATCTTAAATTGTGATCCTGACAAAATTGGTTATTTCTCGGCAAGGGCAGACGTTAGAAACTGTTTTTTGATATCTACATGATCGTGGAGATTTATTCTATTTGTTCATTAAACGAATATTGATTATCACTCACCTCAAAAGAATATTTGTTTTGGAGGTTAAAAATAAAGTTTTTGCCAAAACAACATTACTTCCCGTGATAATGAAAATGTTAAATTAGTTTCCTTAAAGCGTAACAGGAATGAAAATCGAATAATAATTGACACTTTAATGGACCAAAACCACTGAAAAGTTATTTGTAGAAAATCGCCTATTTTTCCGCAACTGAACAAGCTGGAAACCATTTGGGAATATCTATATGACCGTATCCTTTTAATGTATATGTTGATTTAAAAAACTAAAAGTTAAAATTTTCAAAACGTAGTAAGTGAATATCAGTTGAAAAAATATTTATTTTAAAGGTAAAAAATACAGTTTTTGACAATATGACGTCACTTCCTGTGTCAATTTTGAATTCTAATCAATTTGATATAAGGCATACTTTTGTGACAATCCAATAATAATTGACTCTTTCATAGGCAAAATAGCGTGAAAAGTGAATCATGCAAATTTCCTGTTTCTCAGCATCAGACATAGAGTGTCTTCTTATGGATTAATGCTACAGATTTGTGAAAGTTACGAAGAAATATTTTAAAATATGAAAAGCCTGAATTCATTGTAAAAGCTCATTTTTGCACATTTCTTCACCTTTAAATCTAAATGGCACAAAAAAAGAACAGAATCAAACAAACTGAGACCGACATATTTTAAACCTTTAGCAGGAGCATTAATAAAATATTTTGAACAATAAAACGAAACGAATTAGGATCTAAGTTTTAATCAAATTCAAAGGCAATGGATGGAGTAATAAATCCTTGGTCGAATCGGTTGATCTTCTAAAACAGAAGTAGATCAAACGTTTGGTTGAAGTTGTTGATGTTGATTGAGGCGTTAGACGTTTAGTTATTGATTGTCATTAACATCTTGTTTTAATCGACTTGATACATTAATTGATTTTTTTTAAAAAAAAGTATCAATGATTTAGGTCTACTACATAGATTCATACTTTTAAAAGTAAAGACTTGTTCGATTACGGTGGTCGATCAAATTCCACGTTTAAAAATTTGGAATCGATGCAATAAATTGGAAATTTCCAGTCAGTTATTAATTATTTATATTATGGAGAAATATCAATCTGTGAACGTGTCCGACGACAATATCAATAGGTTTCAAAATTTAAGATCAGATAAAAAAAAATGACTGTAGGAGTTTCAACACCACAGTTATTGATTTGCAAACCAACGATGGGATACATTTACAAAATACTACGATCTGAGAAAATCAAATGAAATGAAATAAAATATAAATAAAAAGCAAATAAAACATGAATAACTAGATAAATAATACGGGATCCATGAAAGTTTGAGATTCAGGGCCCACGACAGTAAACTAACAAGCCAACAGTGAGGCTGATGTCCCCCGCCGAAATAGGAAAATAATTAGAGGACACATATAAATTTATCACAAATTACCTTTTACAAAGTATTGAACAATCAAACAGTATATCTTTACTTATAGTCTAACAATCAAAGTAGGAGAGTTATTGTTTTCCAAAGTCTCGACCAATCAAATTGCGTATCGCTCTGCTTACCCTGAGCAGAAAATGCTCATTATCAAACTTAGTCAAGGTATTACTGTAATGAAACTATACACCAAGTTTCATCAATCTCACTTAATTAGAACTAAAGTTATCGTGTCCCAAAGCATCAACCAATCAAATTGCTTATCTCTGCTTACCCTAAGCGGAAAATGCTCATCTTCGAACTCCATCAAGGCATTGACCTAATCAACACATACACCAAGTTTGAACATTCTAGCTCAATTAGGAAGAGAGTTATCGTGCCCCAAAGTATCAACCAATCAAATTGCTTATCTCTGCTTACCCTAAGCGGAAAATGCTCATCTTCGAACTCCATCAAGGCATTGACCTAATAAACACATACACCAAGTTTGAACATTCTAGCTCAATTAAAAGTTATCGTGTCCCAAAGCATCAACCAATCAAATTGCTTATCTCTGCTTACCCTAAGCGGAAAATGCTCATCTTCGAACTCCATCAAGGCATTGACCTAATCAACACATACACCAAGTTTGAACATTCTAGCCCAATTAGGAAGAGAGTTATCGTGTCCCAAAGCATCAACCAATCAAATTGCTTATCTCTGCTTACCCTAAGCGGAAAATGCTCATCTTCGAACTCCATCAAGGCATTGACCTAATAAACACATACACCAAGTTTGAACATTCTAGCTCAATTAGGAAGAGAGTTATTGTGTCCCAAAAAGTGTGACGGACAGACAGACGGACAGACAGACAGACAGACGGACGAACCCATTTTAATAGTCCCCTGCTTTCTTCGAAAGGCGGGGGACAACAAAGATACAATGTATGAACGAATACTAATGAACTTGTTTTAAAAAGGAAATAATAGTTTAAAACTACCTGTTAAATTTGGAAGGTTTTATTAAATCTCAAATAATAGGTTTACTTACCTGTAAATATTCTACCATATCCGCCATATTTTGTTTGAACTCGTTTAAAGGGACGTGCTGTCGAGGATTTGTGTCTCCGGCATTTGAATCATTGGCGCCTAAAAATAACGTGACCCCTGCAACATTCTTAGCTGTATCAGCAGTTATAATTTTTGGTAACATTATTTTACACCATCTTGAATTATACCCTGAGAACCCTCTGTTTAACACGTCACATTTTCTGTAATAACCATACAATACAACATAACGTAGAAAGCCATGTACACATCGAAAGAATTGACCTCCATTAAATATAAAACAGCTATACCTCTTTGACCTAGGGCCAGTTGCTCAAAACTAAGTTATTTCAACGAACCGCTAACTCTAACGTATCGTTATCTTGCTAACGGACTGATTAAAGTTAATCCAAGTGAAGACTGTCTGTTCATTGGCTGAATTTTAAATTTACAGATTTTATGTACATGCATAACAACCTCATAGAAGGTAGTATTAACAAGAAACTGATGACAGTGGGACAACTGTGCAGTCTGTTCACAAAACTTGATTAAAGACAAAAAGATAACTGTAGAATTTACTATACAGAAAACACTATAAAAAAAACTATAGAATACTCTATTATTATTTTCTTCTTCAAAAATGTTAGCATCAATATGTAGGAAAAATTATAGGATTTGCACTACAGAAAATGTAGAATATTTGGATTTGGGGCCATTATTTCCAACAGCCCCCCCCCCTCCAATTCTGTAGAATACTTTAGAATTTCATTGTATAGAAAATGGAACAGCCGCCTGCTCCCACCACCGCACCCATCGCCCAACCTTGTAGAAAATTACACTGGTAATCTATAACTTTTTGCTAAGGGTAAACTTCGACTGACAGTAGACAATGCCATCGTTAAACAGATAACGGGGCCCAACACCTACGTTAAATATATGGGAACGTTAACGACATGTTAAAGTTAAAGGGACTTCCAGCAACAGACTTTCCGTTAAAGATAACGATCCATTAACTCCACGTTAACGAGTCGCTAACGGAGCTTTGAGCAAAGTTATCAATGGTTAGTAGTTTTGACAAGATGTGCGCATTGATCGTAACTACCGTACCCATGGCCATTCGAATCTTAGCTCCGCTTCTCCAATTTTAAATCATTAAATGTCCAAGCCGTTCTAATCCACTTAAAATCGGGGGCATCAAGGCGCATCGAGGGTTGATTATGGTCTTGTCATGTTAATAATTGTCTAATTAATAATTTATATAACAGTTCAGGCCCAAATAAAGGCACGCAATAGGCAGAATTAGCGCCTACATAATGCCTTTGTAACTTAGGGTTAAAGTCAATTAGAGAAGTCTAGGTTTTAGTTAGCTTAGTGGTACACAGTGGTAACGTGTGGCAAACACTGCAGGACCTTAACACTCGAATTGGATTGTTTCAACAAAACAAAACAACCGGGGAGGCAACTGGCGGGGATATAATTGTTTAAAAAAACCCGAGAGCGATATTTACCTTTGAAGATGGTCAGTTAATAAAGCACCCCAACACCCTTCTTCACTAAAGCTGAACTGCAAAAACAGCATTCATATGTTTATATAATTATTGGTAACTCTATAGCAAATCATGTTCATAAATACTTCAAAGATGGCCGGCGTTACTAAAACACGGGACGGAACTACTGACAAAAAGTCTGACCTTTATAGGTTGTTTATATAATTTGTCATTTTAAAATAGATAATATTGAGTTTTGTTTCACTGGATCCAAAGTCATTCCGGTTGATAACTTAAATATTACAGCGTGGTGACGTTTTTAGTTTTAATGTACACTCTTTATTTTAAACACATATAGTACAAGCTACTGAGTATGTAATGGATAAAGCGCGAGTCTGGAGTTGCGTTTTTTAATTTTTTCGGGTATACTTATTTGGGAAATCAATAACTAAAGGGGATAACCCATGCGCTAAAGTGTCAAAGTGAATCGAGATGATCCAGACAATAGCTCTAGACGTGACACCCCACTATTTGATATAACTTGTATTATATAGAGCGAGACTACACCAATCTAGTTACCTATAGTACGTAAACACTTCCTTCATGATCTATTTTAGGTTGTCCTACATACGATAGGTCCTAGACTGATAAGAATTAAAAATGCACAATTAGCTTTCACATAAAATGCAATAGAGGCAATAGAAAACAAAATAGGAGTTCAAAAGTTCAGTTGTATGCCTAATAAAGAGGTCTATTAAACTATTGCCCACCTGTGTTATAGAATCACCGAACAAAACAAATGCAGGCCACTTCGGGTGCGAGTTCGTTGTTGACATGTTTAGTCTGTTGAAGTAAAATACAACAGGTCCACTAGGTTTAATATATCGACAAAAATATACAAGCATTAGTTACTGTACATCCGGTGAGCACAACCAGTTGATATATCAGCAGATATTTGGCGATAAGTATATGACTTGTATTCAAGTCATTATTTACATGTTCCATGTGCGCTTTTACTAAACTGCGCTGCGCGGTTTGTAACATTTCCCATCTACAGTCTGCGCACCTCATCCAGACACCGCGACACTAATGCACCAGCATTCTTTGTCCGACACACATTTGATTCTTTTGTCAACGGTTCAATTTAAAACTTTATTTAATTTCGCATTTCCAAATCCGTATCGATTTTTTGTCTTCTGGATACTTTGCCCGGTTGAACAAGAATATCTGGATTGGAACAAAGTTCTTGCATGTTAACTGTTAGGAAATATCTTTAGTTGAAAATTGTAAATTGTTAAAATGACATTTAACAATTAACGAACATAGATAAATAAAAATAACTATATGGAATAACAATAACTCCGCTAAAAGCATCTGTTATTCCATATAGTTAATTTTATTTCTTTAAGAGAACTGTAAGCTACTTATACGGACAGCTCTCCAGATGTTCCACGAATATCCTAAAAATACAAAATAACAAATTATATTATATTAAAATTCCGAACAGAAGCAAAAATTGTATGGATTTCAGAATCATTACTATGTTTTATAATATTCGACAATTAAAGATGCATTATGTAAGAGCTAAACCTGCCTATTTGCGTTTCTTTTTTGGGGGGGCTTCAAATGTTATATAAATTATAATTATTTAAACATTTATTAACATGACAAGCCCATAATCAACTCATTATCAGATGACTTCGATGTTATTTAGATTAGAAATTTTGGTCATTTAATGATTTAATTTTAAAAATGGAGAAGTAAGGCTAAGTTTATAATAACAAGTACCCTTGCTACGATAATAAACAATCAATAAACAATAACTTCGCTCAGTAATAAAGTAATTTGAATGAAATTTTCAATATATTCATTTTTCATTATCTATTTGTGAACCATTATAGCAAGAACGGTCAGCCCTGTATCTAAATCTAACATAATGCATCTTTAAACATTTATTATACAAGAGCTAAATCTGCCTATTGTATGTCTTTCTTTAGACCTGAAATGTTATCTAAATTATTAATTAGACATAAATTAACTTATCGACCATAATCAACTCTCGATGCCATCGCTAGCCTGCGATATTTACGGGATTTGATGGATGATTTAACGTCAAAACGGATAATCGAGACTTTGTTTTTTTTTATCGTACCGACTTTAGTAATGATGATCGAGGCTATGCCTAAAATTCAATCGGTAATATCTCGGTTCAGAGTGGAACAATGTGACTGAAATTGTCAGCACATTCTATTTGCGTTATCTATTTTTTAACTATTATAGCGAGAACTGTCAGGATCCTGATATCCAATATTTAAGAGACAATGCATATTTTAAAATCCGTACACGTGTCGTGTAACCTATCGTTTCGGACGCAAAAGGAATGAACAAAGAAAACATATCCGAAATTACAATGCGGCAGTATATAGCAATGGCTGATTCACCAATGATAAAATAATAATAATGATAATAAAGTGAAGAATGGGCTAATTAGGCGTAAACGATTGTCGTTCAGGTTGGACTGTTCGCGTATTTCACCTAACATAATTGATTAGAAATTGCATTTTTTTTAAATTGAAAATAAATTCGGTGGTGTGGGGGGGGGGGGGGGGGGGGCAAATCCCACCCTGCTCAACTACATAAAATAAATTGTAAAACAACGCTTTATGAGAAAAGTGCAACGGTCGTGTGCTTATCCTTTATCATCAGATGGTGGGATGGGGTGGTCATTCAAAGCGCGAAATAATGATATAGACATATGTGATATCACAATTAATGTTTTGCATCAATGAAATTGAATCACAGTGTGATCCTATTAATTCATTATAAAAATTGACGTCAAACGGGGTTGTTGGATTTCTCTCTTTAAAAAACCTCAGCGTGTAATGTATGTATGTCTACGTAATTTAGAGACGATGATGGCATCATGCATAGTCAACAGTCAAATTTCCTTAACAGAAGCCTGACAAACCCCCTCCTGCAAAAATTCCTGGACCACCCTTGCACTTTTAGACCCATTTTGGGTTAAAAAAAATAATAGAGCAATGTGCCCTTTAAAGGGATATATTTAACCCTTTGAATTCGGTTCTTGGTCTGGATGAGAGAAAATGATAGTAGCAGACTCTGTCTTTCATACTGTGAAAATGTTACACATGGTGATGTCTGAACCGACGGTATTTAAGAGACTGTCGTAGAGAATCGAGCATTTAAGATTAGGCACACTACGGTATTAACCGTGCGTTCGCTCGATATAGTGATGAGACATAAATGGGACATAATTAAGTTTGTGTTTTCTAGGGGTTTTCTTTTCTATTTTTAAATCCCTAATTCGCTTTATAAAATAGAAAAATCGAGCGATATTGTGTCATTTCCCAGTTTTGGTTAATTTTTGGTTTTCGATCTGTTTGCCAATATTGACTTTATTATGGACGTAAAATATCGAACGAAGAAAGAAACACAACCACATTATATAGAGTCCTATGAAATCGTTAGAAAAAAATCTGTTTATGTTCATTGTAGAATGTAGCATATTGACGTGGATGGTGTCAAAATATACAACATCCCATAATAGCTTACTTTTTTGTCTCTTTTTTTAAATAATAGCTAGGCCTAAACAAAAAGATAAAACAAGTCTTTATTTGAGTTTAATTGATGTAATTTGAAAAACAAAAATTGTCTGTAATTCCTTTCTTCGTTTCAAGTTCATTAGCGCAGTCGGTGCAGAAAAGTCGAACATTAAACCCCATCAAATTCATTTCATATCAATTACTTGCGCAATATGAATACAGTTTAAAATTGGTGCGCAAACAAAAAAATGTTCTCAGAGTTGTCCATGCTCACATCTGAATATCCAGACCTAAACCCACTGCCCACCTCTGATCGTTCAGTCAGTAATCAATCTTATTTGTCCTGGTTGAAGAAAGCAGAAATATTATTTTCTGTTCGATCAAAATAATGGAAATAGCTTTACATAGAATTATTCGTATGGATTATTATAACACGTCTTTTCACATAATATTTCCACTGTGATATTTATGATAATGTTCTTTCCTCTTGGTTGGTTAGTGTGAATCTTACAGTAGTTACAGATTATTTTAGACTGGAAAATTTCAGACTGGAAAATCGTGCATTCAATTGAAGGAATTTCTCTCTGCTATTAATAGATGGGGATATACGAGAACCAAAACAGCGCCACACAAGGTCGAAGATAGAAATAACATTTCAACATGAGTTCTCTTGTTGCAGAAGCAATTCAGGCTGAATTAGGAGGTAATTTTTATCCAAGCAGATACATTAAATTAGTACCTCTCACAAAAATATAAATAAAGGTTGAGATAAGTGGAAAATACTAGATTCACCTAGTCAAGAAGACGGAGTCAAAAAAATTGGAAAAAAATTGTCATTTACTTACATTTATTTATTAGTGGATCTGATTGTTTATAGTATACGGTTTTCAAATGTATTTTTTTTTTATTTTAGCATATGAACCCTGGCCCGACAATGCCTGTCTATATCAACCATATCAAGGTAATTACCATCTAGCTTGTTTTCTACTGATTAGGACTGACTCAACAAAGCTATTCTATAAACTTGAATTCATTTATTTAAGTAATGATACACCTTTAAAGAAAACGGAAAATTTGACAAATTTGATTTCTCTTCAAGTTGAGCTTGTTTTTAATATATGAAATAGGGGTTTAACGACTAGGCTAATGCAGACGGGCATTTGCCATTCAGTGTGCTATGACATAAATTTTGCCTGGACAGCATTGCTATGGCCGTCTCTTATTTTGAATTCCAGCTATGAAGGGTTCTTTTACGTGTAGGTCAACATCCGAATGAACTGGCCAGGCCCTCCATCCTGCACCACTGACAAGGGGAAACTGCACTGGAAAATCAGGTGCGAACCAGACACCTCCTGGTAGTTTAAGCCAGCATCTTACTCACTGAGCCACCATCTTACCCACTGATCCACCATGGCTCCCTGGTTTTCATAAAATATAATGAATAAAATATAAAGTATTTGCCATGACTTGTATTCTCTTTTAATCATATTTCTATCACTGTATCACTATAAGCTTTTGAAAGATAAAATTTTCTTTTTTTCTTTTTCGTTAGTTGAACAGATCACTTTTCCAGATTATGCTAATTGTCTTAGTGTCAAAACATTTCTACATATGTGTGGTTTAGAATTTCATACAGAAGTCCGAACAAATGCAGAAGAAATGTCACCATCAGGTATGAATAATATGTTAAATTTTTGATATGTGAAATGTGTCTAAGAAAGGAGAGAGATATAGGTATCGTAACTGAAATTAAAACAACCAGAATGTAGTCAAATGCATGTGTATGCAGGGCTGCCGACAACCAGTATCGCAGCGCAATTTGCGATACATATTTTGTCCGTTGCTAACCAAAAATTAAAATCTAACGTTTTTGATTCGCAGTTACTGCGAATCATTAATATGCCTGTCATTTTGGATATTGACACAAGAATAATCCACATTTTGAAGACTAGAAGGCTTACTCAACACTTTCAACGTGTATAAAATGTTGAATAAAATTTTATAAACAAAACTGAATTCTCCGTGTGACATTTTCTTCTCGAACTGCCCAGACACAATACTATATAACACAGGGACAAAACTCTATGAATAGGGACTATTAAACCGGAAATAGGGAATCAATAGTACCACTCACGTTGTGAGACATCAAGTAATTATATCATATTCATTTTGAAAGAAATAAATCCAGTGTATCTCCCACGTATTGTAAATAAAATATAAAAAAAATAAACACATGTTAACGTATTGTAAAATGATAAATCAAAGTAAAAATTCCCGTAAAATATTATTGTTTATATCGCGTGTGTCTAGTTAATCGAGGTGCGCCCGATTGAACAAAAATAATAATACACGATAAAAAGCAGACGAAATTGTTTTCTAACGAAGATTTCTAACGTAACAAAAAAATTACAATTAAAATGAGTGGGGCTTCGGAAGTCACTGTCAAGAATTGGCTTCAGACGTAAGACCTAACTAAATGTCTACATCACATTCACAAACTGTCACAAGTACTTGTGGCAGTGCTAAAAAATCTAAGAATAGTCAGAATGGAATCTAATCATATTTCAATTCGTTATGAATTAAAGTAATATCTTGTTATTTAGGTGTTTTACGTTGAAACTGAAAAACTGCTAATCAATTTTTAAATTTGCTAATCAAATTTGGCAAAATTGGACTTTTTGATTAGCAGTGCTGCTAATCAACTGTGAAAAATTACCGACAGCCCTGTGTGTATGATAATTAAAACGATCCGAATGTGGTCCACGGCATGTGTATTGATTAAAATGAAACCTGAATGTGATCAACGTCATGTGTATTGAAATTAATGCAACCTGAATGTGGTCAATGTCATGTGTAATGAAATATATGTGAACAAAGCTTCTGAATAAAACCAGGTTAGGCAGTCTATGATGTAAGCAAACGACCGGACAGATTGAAATTCTAAACCTTCGGTGGATTAAGATTATCATAGCAGTACTCTTAATTTGGTTCATTTACTCTATTCTATGTAATAACCACCCAACCGCTTGACAGTAATGCCAACCTTGTAGTTTGCCAACCTTGTATTGAAATTAATGCAACCTGAATGTGGTCAATGTCATGTGTAATGAAATATATGTGAACAAAGCTTCTGAATAAAACCAGGTTAGGCAGTCTATGATGTAAGCAAACGACCGGACAGATTGAAATTCTAAACCTTCGGTGGATTAAGATTATCATAGCAGTACTCTTAATTTGGTTCATTTACTCTATTCTATGTAATAACCACCCAACCGCTTGACAGTAATGCCAACCTTGTAGTTTTTTTCAAAACTGTAATAAAAACTGACTTCCTTATAGAAAAATACCATAATCCCCCTTTGATAAAACATCCATTCTGTTTGGCAGTAAAGTACTTTTATGTATATTTGTTTTATTTCATCACAATTTATATAGGGGCCCTTCATTTGTATCCTACTTGTCACTGACATCAGAGCTAATGGTTGAACATCTCAGAGGCATTTACAGAAAGTATTATATGTTATAATTTATAAATATCTCTTTATTTCAAGGAAAAGTTCCATTTATTCATGTTGGTGCCTTTTTAGTGTCAGAGCTTGATCCTATTATTGCATTTGTGAATACGAGGGTGAGTATAGTAATATATTGGTCATTTAATAGATTGAATATATGTATAGAGTACGCACCAATCCAGATGGCGACACGTATACAGACTGATTTTTCCCAATCTATTATTTACAGGTCTTATAGGTGTTGGTCTGTCCTCCCAGTATCGGGACAGGTAATGACTTTATCATGGAAAATTTCTGATAACAATATGAAGATGATGGAACAAACCATGGGTTCCACGTCGGCCATATATGCCGATCAAGACCTAGGGCTATGGAAAATGACCGTAATTAGATTTGACCCAACGGTCATTTTGCACTCCGGAAAGAGAGCCTTTTTTTTCAAAACCCAATTTTCAAACATGGCTACGATCGACCTCCACTATGTAACTATACAATTGTACGACCAGTACAGAATAATGAACACATATAGAAGCCACATAATCTTGTGATTGGTGTTATAGAGTTGTATACATAGTCGTCAACAGATTTTACTGAGTGTTGTGTTGATAATTAATGATGAGTGTCTGGTAGTAGAACAATAAAAGTTAATTGATATGTGGGAAGGTTTGTTTGTGAACAAATTTTAAAAAATGAAAAGTGGTATTGGGGGGTTCTTGGCATCTTGGGATTCTTGGTAGAAGCGCAGTTTCCAGTAACACTTCTGTTAGCTTCAAATTGGTCTTTACTTAGAGAATGTGCTGACTAGTAGTTCCTGGCACTGGATTGTTCAGACTACCTTTCGAGTTATGATCTACCAGTAGACCTACAAAACATCATGTACTGTATATGTTATACTTTATATTGAATTTTGTCATTTGATTTTTTATCAAATAATGTATTTCTTTACCCCTCTGTTTGTTTTTAGGGTTTTCAATTAAGTAGAGATCTAGATGAAGGATTGAAATCAGAAATGAGAGCTTATATGGCTTTAATAGAAAATGTTATGGTTAATGCAGAGGTATGTTCTCTAAAATATCACAAGTTAAAACATTTATTTACTAAATGAAATTAGTTATTGCTGTACCATTTTTTTTCTACGATTATACTCCAAATGAAATTATATGGGCTTTAGTGTCCTACTTTCTTGGAACGACTAGACTAAAGAACACAGGCTTACACCATACATTGTACTATGAGGACAGAGGAGCTACGGCCTACTCATATTTCGAATACCAACTGTCATGGGTTCTTTTACATGTCAACAATGTGTACATGGGACCTTGGTTTTTCGTCCCATCCAAACAACTAAACACTGCACCAGTGACATGGGGAAACTGTGCTGGAAAATCCTAAGGAACCTTAATGAGTCAGTGTCCTACCCACTTCAAGCGGAAGGACTTTTACTAAATATGAGTGCATATATAAATATACTTGCAGTTTAATCAATCTTGGCTTGATGTGAATTTTAAATATTGTCGTTTTTTTATGTTTCAGTTATATTTAGCCTGGATAGATGAAGCAGTTTCAGAAGAGGTAAGAATATTAGCAGTTGGCGTGTTTTCACGTGTGTCCCTGTATAGTATTGAATAATGGTCTGCCAAAAGGTGTTTTTGATTGTTAAAAGACCAGGGGTGAAAAAAAAAAGGTTCTATTTAGATTCGTATGTAGCCGTGTGTATAAGAATACATAAACAGTGTCCATTTGGGGAAGACTGAGTTGTTGCTTGTCTTGTCATTTGTCATCCTCGGTAACCCCAGTGGACTCATTCCGTTCCACTCCACAAACCCCTTGTTTCATCAATGGGACAGACACATATTCAAATTATCTGCCCTTGATAACTGTGCTTTTTTTTGATTGGTTTGTAGAATCAAGCTACGATCAAGGGCAGATAATTTGAATACCCCATGGATGAACCCAGGGTATAGTGGAGTAGAATGGAATGAGACCACTGGGAATACCGAGAATGGTCATTTATATACTTTAGATTTAAACAAATGTCCCTCATCATAAATACATTTAATTATTATGAGTAAATAATAACTTGAGATCGGATTTATCATTGGCAATTATCAATGAACTAAAACGATCAATTCAAAACAAGTGATTAGTATTTACCGATTGACACATTCCGGATTATTGACTAGTTGATTGATTTATAGTATGTCGCCACAATATTGTGATTGACACTCAACGTAATAGTCAATCTATAGAATTTTAACATTTTTTTCCAACACTTTTCAAAACATTATCTCTAAAATTAAAACTTTAATCACCGCTCTCATTTTTTTATTGCAAATTGCGACTTTGGCGACCAACAGCGTGAGACCTGTCTGCAGTGTATTTACATATATTTTAAATTTTTCTCTCAGATAACCAAACCTAGATATGGCTATATTCATCCCTGGCCATTAAATAGACTATTACCCTGGAAGAAACAATCTAATGTGAGAGCTAGACTCGACAGTATAGGATGGGCAAAAAAGACAATGGATGAGGTATTATTCTTTCATGTTTTAAATTGTAACTTTTGTCATTTACAAAAAATGTATGATCTAGCAAGATTGAGTTTCGCTTAGTTGTTAACCACAGGGAAATGAAATATGTATGTCTTTTCTGCATCATCGGCTAATGAAGATGGGCATACACCAGGTGATGTGTTGGGTGGTAATGTTTGCCCTGAAAGCAGTGCTATGGCCTACTCTTATTTCCATTTCCAACTCTCAGGGGATCTGGGGGATTGGATGGCCGAATGGTTAGCATGTGTGCGCTGTATCATAAGACCTGTCATTGAGTCAACTGGTGTGGTTTTGAATCCCCGGTTGTACGTGACAAGGAGTAGGGTCGCCTGTTCAATCTCGTGGGTTTCCTCCGGGTCCTCTGGTTTCATCCCACTGCTAAAGACCCCTACGTGCAAGTGAATTATTGAAATAAAATTAAACCATATGTTAATCAATCCCAAAATGACCTAGTTTGTGTCGAGTGGACCTTAAACCCCAGTTCTCTCTCTCTCTCTCTCTCTCTCTCTCTCAGGGGATCTTTAGTGAGCTGCCAGTTGTATGCACAGAATCTCAGCTTTATTGTCTCCCTCAAACAACTAGGCAACAAGCCTGGGCACTAATCCTAGGGAGAAGCCAGGATAAAACTAAAAAAAAAACCTTCTTAATGAACACCCAGTTTGAGATAGGGGACCCCTTAGTTTGTAAGCCAGCATCATACTCAACTGACCACTGAGGTTCCCGTTAACTACGGGGAAAGCAACTCGTTTGCTAACAAATAGTATCTTAGTGATCCCACCATACTTTCTTTTCATCTTTGTGTATTTCTTTAAAATGGACTACACTTGATTTGAAGACTAAAATAAAATAAATCGGTTCAGTAGTCGCTGAGAAAAATGTGTTTTATGCCTAAGAGTTCCACTATACTGATAGATTTTTTGGTAGCTCATGGTTGTACCATGTTCAACACATATTTTATATTGTAATGCGCTATATCAGGATAAATTGTTATTGTCCCCCGCCTTTCGAAGAAAGCAGGGGACTATTAAAATGGGTTCGTCCGTCTGTCTGTCCGTCTGTCTGTCTGTCCGTCACACTTTTTGGGACACAATAACTCTCTTCCTAATTGAGCTAGAATGTTCAAACTTGGTGTATGTGTTTATTAGGTCAATGCCTTGATGGAGTTCGAAGATGAGCATTTTCCGCTTAGGGTAAGCAGAGATAAGCAATTTGATTGGTTGATGCTTTGGGACACGATAACTCTCTTCCTAATTGGGCTAGAATGTTCAAACTTGGTGTATGTGTTGATTAGGTCAATGCCTTGATGGAGTTCGAAGATGAGCATTTTCCGCTTAGGGTAAGCAGAGATAAGCAATTTGATTGGTTGATGCTTTGGGACACGATAACTTTTAATTGAGCTAGAATGTTCAAACTTGGTGTATGTGTTTATTAGGTCAATGCCTTGATGGAGTTCGAAGATGAGCATTTTCCGCTTAGGGTAAGCAGAGATAAGCAATTTGATTGGTTGATACTTTGGGGCACGATAACTCTCTTCCTAATTGAGCTAGAATGTTAAAACTTGGTGTATGTGTTGATTAGGTCAATGCCTTGATGGAGTTCGAAGATGAGCATTTTCCGCTTAGGGTAAGCAGAGATAAGCAATTTGATTGGTTGATGTTTTGGGACACGATAACTTTAGTTCTAATTAAGTGAGATTGATGAAACTTGGTGTATAGATTTATTATATGAATACCTTAACTAAGTTCGATAATGAATATTTTTTGCTGAGGATAAGCAGAGTGATAAGCAATTTGATTGGTAGAAACTTTGGAACACAATAACTCTCCTTCTAATTGAGGTAGAATGTTCAAACTTGGCATAGGTGTCTATTAGGTGAATGTTTAAACTTGATGTATATGTAGATGTTCATTAGGTGAATGTCTTGACTGAGTTCAATAATTAACATTTCGAGCTGAAGCTAAGCAGAGCTAATCGATTTCATTTGTCGATGGTTTGGGACAAGATAATCTTGATTCTATCTGATAGAGAGTGATGAAACTTAGTGAAAAAAATAAATGTGCGATTAATTAATATGTGTCATCTATTTATTTTGCAATTTCGGCGGGGGACATCAGCCTCACTGTTGGCGTGTTATTATTATTCTCTGTTGATATATATTGGTCAGGTCAGGATTACAATTATTTCCCCAATCATAACAATGTTGGTGTTGGCGCTGTCTAATTGTGCTGATGGTGTTAATTTTTTCATTAACAGAAGAGAAAACCTTGAATTGACGAATTGCATTTTAGCTCCATGACCATTTGAGAAGAATGTATTTAGTAAATGTATTTATAAAGATTGTGTTTTTTTCTAGGTGTGTGATGAAGTAAAAACATGTTGTCAAGCTTTAGCAGAAAGACTAGACAGTAAACAGTATTTTTTCGGTGACAAGTAAGTTTTCTATTATAGTGTACTAGTTGTTAAGTATCAACTTTTTGAAGACCATTTTAGACTACCTAGTATTATATAGTCCCATAATTCCAGATCTGGGTAGAAGCACTTATATCACTTAAGTCATTCTCAGTTTTTAGGTTATTCCAGCAGATGTGTCTGCTGTAACATACCAGAAAGGCAAAGATTTTCTTAGTTCTCCGTATGGCTATTCTGTAAAAAGGGGATTGGGTGGCTGAATAGCTTAAAAGATAAGATTTAGATCATAAGATGTGTAATTGAGTCAAGTGACATGGTTTCCATTTTCTGTATGTGACAATGTGTAAGGTCACCTGTCCAACCTCATCTCCATTCTCCGGACTCCTTCCACTGCTAAAGACCCCCACGCGCAAACAAATTATTGACATAAAATTTAACCATTCTTTAGTCGCAAAATGATCTAGTTTGTGTCTAGGGAACTTAAAACCACATTTCTCTCTCTATTCTGTAGTAGACTTAAAGTCATGGAACATTTCATGAGAATATAGTGCTATAATATATTTACAAATCATTTTACTCCACTTATTGTGTTTATTATTTCAGACCAACAGAATTAGATGCACTTGTGTTTGGACATTTATATACAATACTGACCACTAGATTACCCGTTTCACGATTTGCTGAAATAGTTCAACAATTCTCGAATCTCACAGCATTTTGTACAAGAGTGGAGGAAAATTTCTATAAAAAATATGGAAGAGACTTTTGAATGCCGAAATCTCTAGTTTTTATTGTGAATTATTGGTGTAGGACCAGTTTACTGTTTGCTAGCATCATACATGTCTCCACAGATTCAAAAGTACAAACCAAAAATTGTGAGTAAGCATACACTGCATTGTTTATGACATCCATCAACAGATACCGCTAACTGGAGCAATGGTCTGGACCTAAATTTCAGAAACTAATGCTATTTTGCAGAAGATAAATCTCAGGGTCAAAGTTAGCAGCCCAGTGGTTTAAGTACAAAAGTATAACATATCTGTTCCCTATGTTGAACTTATGGCCAAATGTTTAAGAAAAGTAAGAACTACAGTTATCCTGATCAGACTGGAAACATGGGTATAAATGTTATGACATACAAGTTTGTAATATAATGATCTGCCGAGAACTTCACCAATCCAGTGCAGAATAAGAGACATGTAAAGTGTTGGCAAACTGTACATATAAATATAAGACTTATATTATACTTATTGAAATGTTGTTTATTATCAACAAGTGAGAGCGTTATATAAAAAAGTTTGGGATATAAAAGCTAAATAGATTGTATGAATATTATACAGAATATTTATGTATGTGAATAAATATTTATATCTTCTATTCTTATTTTTATCCATCTTTTTTTTTTTACACCATTTGGTAAAAATAAATATATTAAAAAAAAACAATTAGAAGCAGTTATATCAAAAACAATACAAAGATATATAAAATTTAAAACTATGAAACAAGATTTGTTATATTGAAGACGACTGTAGGAGCAGCACAGCCATTAAATTTACGAATAGTTTTGCAAACACGCCTGGGCAACAATATGTCACTCATAGTATATGATAGGAAGCAGGCCCGTAGCCAGAGAGGGGCAAGGGGGGGCAATGCCCCCCCCCCCCTAAAAAAAATTTGCCGACCATAGCTCTAAAATACCTACTGTAGACTGTGCCGAGTGTGCCCCCCCCCCCCCTAAAAACTTCACTGCCCCTCCGAAGCTAGCAAGCTGGCTACGGGCCTGATAGGAAGTGAAATGATAATATAATTAAATTATATCCTCTTTGTTCATCAGCATAAAATTAATAAACGTTAACAGAATATTTATTTACAATATCATAAAATATAAGATATTTTTGAACAAATGCATTAAATATGTGGTTAAGAGAAATAAACCCATAGCCATGCATAATAACAGATAATGATGCTTTACGTCCCTTTAGCAAACTAACAATGTGGTCTTCTATAGTCAAGCAAACCAAACAAAAAGTTAACAATTACAATCAACATTATAGTAGTTTTATTTTTATAAACTACTGTTAAAGACATTCTACTTATGGAACTCAAGTGTTATTATCTTATTTAGTTACCTATATCAATACCGTATTTTAAGATACTTGAAATCTAGAAATCTGTACAAGTGTACAATGTTGACTGATTTAAGTATTTAGAAATACCGGTATATAATTGACTGATTTAATTATTTAGAAATACCAGGATATAATTAAGCAGCTCTAACAGCAAATTTAGGCTTTTTATAGTATTAAAGAGTGACTTTAATAGATATAATAAAATATCAACTACCCTTCAGTAATAATACAAAATATCAACTGTCCTTCAATAATAATACATATTTTGATATCCGATCTACACAGGAATCAATTCTATGGAATACAATTACTGTTTATTACTGAGGAGTGTGTAGACTTGGATTCTGTTATCATCATTGATAAAGAAATGAAATGAAATGGGGTTTAACGTCCTACTGTACTGCTCCGAACTGGGCTAATGAAGACGGGCATACGCCATACAGTGTGCTATGAGGGAAATTTTGCTCGGACAGCGGCACTACGGCCTACTCTTATATCGAATTCCAACTTCATTCTGAGCGAAGTTATGGCCATTTGAAGAAAAGTGTAGCCTTGATTGCCATTACTACCGTTGTTACAATAAGTCTAGCTAGATTATCCATTTTTTAATTAAATTTTAATTAATCGAATTAGTAATATCTGTTTTAATCTGTTCAAAATCACAACAATTTGATGGTCTAGAAAGTTTATTATGGGCTTGGATTGTGAATAAATGTCTAATTAATGGTTTCTATAACATATGAGGCCAAACAAAAGATCTGCAATAGGCAGATTTAGCTCTTACATAATGAATCTTTGAGTCAAGTTCTAAACTAGCTCATGGTAACTATTCGCCATATTAATGTGTGTACATAGGTTTTGAATAATCACAATGAATTATTTTACAAATAAATGTGTATTTAAAATAATGAAAATATTGATCTCCTTTATTCACTGAACACATTTCTATAATATTAATCCAAGTTATAATATATTAACAATGGCTTTTGGTACACATAATGGCACCAACAGAACACACAAAGGATTGCCGAGAATCAGAATATTTTTTTTATATGGCCTAAGTATGAACAAAAATATAAACATATAATTTAATCCTTTATAAATAATGACACAACAATTACATTTTGATGAAATGTAGTATGGCATATTCAATAAAAATTCAATATTTGGTTTAAATTTTAGCACCATTTCATTGCATTTTTTTTGCTTTTTAAAAAAAATAAAAATATTTCATTACTACAGGGATTATTCAGAGAAAAATAAACATAATTTGAAATTACACAGATACTACTATTATCTTATAGTTTTTGCATAGTATGGCAAGCAGCATTAATAAATATATTATAAGAATATAAAATTTATGGAAACAATATACAATGTACAATATAAAGAGAATATAAATACAAAAGACTATTAGATAGATCTCTTTATATATACATAAACATATACACTCCAAGCAAAGCTAAAATAAAGTCATAATATCTTTCATGCATAATTATCATTCGTGACACAAAGTTCTGCCCATTCTTAAACAGGTCCACAAAACAGGTTGGTTTTTAAGAAATAATTTAAAAATATTTAATAAAAGATATCAACATCAGTGAATTAACGGCTGCAAGTTCTATACTTTATGGCGCCAATTCATAGGCTTTAGCAAGATATTCTTTGGGAACCAATCCTATACTTCCTTTAAGCTCTCCTACCCACCAATTCTCTTTTTCAAAGTCTTTACTTAACACATGTATGATGTCCCCTTTCTCGAAAACCAATTCATTATCCGAATCTGCAGAACAATTCCATTTTCCATAATACATGTTTTCATAATCTTCATTGGGATCCATATCCGGAATATCAAGTTTTGCCATCCGTTTAGCACCTGGAAGTGGTGGGAGAGGAGTTTTTGGCACTGCTGGCAGTGGGGTGTTTGGCACTGCTGGCAATGGGGTGTTTGGCACTGCTGGTAAATCTCTACGAGACGGAGGGGGCACAGGTGGTACATCAGGAATAGGTGTGCTTGGAATAGGGGGTGGGGGGGACTTTGGTAACGAAATAGTAGATACTTTGCGTGCTTCTGGTCCTTTAGGAGGCTTCTTATTAGTATCATCATCTATAGCCTCGTAGACTTCATCAGATTCCATGACCGGGGCTTCATATTCCTCCCCATCTCCTTCGAAATGTTCCTTTTTGGGTAGAGAAGACATTTTTTGATGGACATCATCAATAAATTCATATAATTCTTCCGACACTGTATAAAAAAAATATGAATAGATGTTTAGAATTATTTCACTCCCATGAAGGTGAATGGCAGTTTATTTTGTTTCTTCTATACACTATGTTAGATATGTTCAGAAAGGCTGCAGTTCACAGACTGACATCGACTGTGTTATCTATTAGACTTCAGTGAGTTTATAAATAGATCATTGGACAGTATTACAGCATAATTGGAAGCGCTTAATTTTCATTGGCTGTTTACAGTCCACAAGTAAGAACATGACACAATGATAAGACTTGTCAAATGAGTTTATAAATAGATCATGGGACAGTATTATAGCATGATTGGAAGCGCTTCATTTTCATTGGCTGTTTACAGTCCACAAGTAAGAACATGACACAATGATAAGACTTGTCAAATGTTTCTGGTGAAATATACAACAAAACAGAGAGGGATGCATAACAACAAAATGAAAAACACCCAGTGCTCAAGCAATCAAATATATACAGCATGATGAAATATGCCCTGCCCACCAAATTCTAGGTCTACCAGTAATTCTAATAAGAGTTAAGACCGACATATTGAAAATTGAGTAAAAAGATAAAGATCAGTGTCTTACCAGGTTCACTATGACAAAGTTCAACAGATTCTTTCCATGAATCAAACTCTCCTTTATTCTCGGCCAAAAACTGTGATAAAAATAAAATATGCAATTCAAAATCAAAATTTCTGTTTGAATTCTGAAGTATATAGAAGACTCAATTATCAAGTAGAGAAACCTGATGAAGGTTATTATGGGACTGGATAATCGTAAATTGGCTTATTATTATCAGAAAATAACAACAATAGATGCTCATGTTTCATTTATAAACTTACCTCATATGTCCTTTTTCCTGGGGCCACTAATTCAAAAGATAGATCCTTTTTGGAAGCATCTCGAACTAAATGTGGAGCAGGTCGAAATTCATAACCTTAAACAAAAATATAAAAATGAAAAAGATTAAAGATACATTATGTAAGATTTAGATAAAGAGCTAGTCATTCTTGCTATAATAGTTCGAAAATAGATAATGTAAAATGAATAATTTGAAAATTTCATTCCAATTACTCTATTGCGAGCGATAATATTAGTCTTTGAAGGTTTGACAAGACGTGTGCAATAATTTCAACCACCGGACTGGTTGTTCGAAGCTAAGTCTTGCTCCTCCATTTTTAGCTTAAATCAAAATATGGCTGAACTGTTCTAATCTATTTAATATCGGAGAAATCCGATGCCATCGAGAGCTGATTATGGCCTGGATAAGTTAATTAATGTCTAATTAATAATTTAGAAAACATTTCAAGCTGAAAGAAAGACCCGTTATAGGCAGATTTAGCTGTTGCATAATGTACGTTTAAGGCTACAGATTATCAACATAACTCTTTAAGAAACTATATGAACCTTAGATTTACTAAAACATTGCAAAATCCTCCAAACTGAACTAGAATAACTAAATTTTCACAAGTGATAATCAAACTCCTAAAAACATTTCATTTATGGCTCATAAATTGAAAATTAAATTGATGGCTTGGTAGAAATTTATTGTACACTGTACTTTTGAACAACTGGCAGCAGGGATGGGGCCATTACATTGCCAATGTAATTAATTACATTACCATTACTTTTTAAATGTAATCATTACAATTACTTTCTCTTTCTTAGCAATGTAATTAATTACCATTACCCATTACATTGAAAGTAATTAATTACCATTACCCATTACATTGAAAGTAATTAATTACCATTACCCATTACTTTATGACTATATAAATAAAAAACATTTTTCATAGAAATTAAAAAGACAAGCTTCTTTTTCTGCCATGAAGCGCCTACAAAATCAAACTCAAAATAATCCTTGAGTTACTTAATAGATATTTGTTTATGAATTGTGATTTCTAGTAACTATAACAACAAGGCAAATTTTATAGTGATGGGCAGTGGTGACAAAAACTGACATTTTCACTGTATGACTTGAAAAATTAATCAAAAGTATAGTTAATTAACTTTTAAGTAATTTTTTAAAAAGTTTTAATCAATCCAAATAGTTTGTCTATAATATATTGTATAATAACTGGTACATTATTCAGCATGACTCTAAAAACAAAATATATATTAGTTTTAAATAACCATAAAATGATGAGATTTGGTTTATTTGGTTTGTCACTTGTTACCTAGAGATTAAGATTAAAATGTAGTAAGACTATTTATTGTCTTTTAATCTAACCGACTGATTGATTGATTGATTGATTGACTGAGTGATTGGCTGCAAATTAGTACTAATCTTTGATTACAATATACATCTTTTCAGAAATCCTCTTTTTATGTTACATGTCTTAAAAAAGGGTCCTACATAAAAAGTAATAAAAGAAAATGTTTAATGCCTTCTTATTCTTCTTATAATTTGTTAAATCGGACTTAAATCTTTTTTAAAAATTATAATGAATTGGATTTGTGTCAGATACACTTAATTATTTATTTGGTGCTATAAAATTTTAGGCTCGTCAAATTGGAAATATTTATATGTGCCATAAAATATAATTGAAAAGTAATTGAAATGTAATTGACCATTACATGTTTTTTGGGATTTAATGAAATACATTTCCATTACTCATTACTTTTGAAATCTTCAATTACTCATTACATGGCCATTACTTAAAAAAATGTAATGATTACATTCCATTACCATTACCCATTACCACTACCCCAGCCCTGACTGGCAGAGACGCCCAAAATGCCAATTCAGAAACATTAATTGTAAGATTTATCAAAACTGCATTAAATAATTAGAACCCCTCCCATTTTGCTAATATAACTAAACTGTATTTCATACCATTTAAATGAAATGCTCCTTTCTGTTTTTTGTCCGTTGGTTTTTCAAAATAATAGAGTACCGCTGTATGAATAACACAATATCTTCTTTGGTAGCTAAACTTGCCAATTAATCCTGTTAACATAAAATATAAAACATTTAGGTGTATGGGTTGATTAACAAAAAATATTTTTTTAATGTGACGGTCATTGTAAAATAGTTCTGGGTTCGATCCAGGTGTAAGTCATGCAAGTTCCATGGGATTTTCCAGCATGGCTTCCCCTTGTCAGTGTATGCCTGTCTTCATTAGCCCAGTTGGAGCAAAAAAGGAGGATGTTAAATAAGATTTACATAAAGAGCTGGGTGTTCTTGCTATAATTGTTCAAAAATAGATAATGCAAAATGAACATATTGAAAATTTCATTTAAATCACTTTATTCTGAGCCAAGTTATCAATGTTTGTAGTTTTGACAAGATGTGTGCATTGATTGTTTATTATCCTATCCACGGTACTGGTACATTCAAGACTTAGACTCCATCTTCCATTTTTAAATTAAATCATTAAATGGCTGAACTATTCTAATCTAGTTAAATTCTCAAGCATCTGATGGCATCTAGAGTTGAATATGGTCTTGTCATGTTAATAAATGCCTAATTAATAATTTATATAACATTTAAGGCCTAAAGAAAGCCCTGCAATCGGCAAATTTAGCTCTTATATAATGCATCTTTAAGTGCATCCAAGAAAATGTTGACACAGATGGATTCTGATGTGCGTTTAAGACAAAATAACCGACATTTAACCTATCATTTTCTATCCAATGTGTCGTTCAACCCACATTTAATAAACAATGATATTTACTTTTTAATTAATCACAAATGTATCTGAATTACATGGACAGTTTAAAATTTGCACCACCTTACAGTTTACAAGATGACAGTGTAATCAGAATTTCCTGATAATTAAGATTTATATTTAGCAAAACAATTTTAGAAAAATATTGCATGATGTGTACTGACCATAAATCTTAATTTAACTTGTGTAACTTACCCTTTCGTTTCTTTTCTAAATAACCAGTTATAAGTGGTTTATCTAAGGCCACTGCAGAAACTTCTTTAATATCTGAGGTAAAAAAAATCATTAAATTATCAAGTCAATATTTTGCCTAATTTGTTTACCTCAAATTGATACAGGATGGGGGACTTGGCAATTTGTTTAGATATAATGAGGTCATGCGTGGACGTTAAAGAACCCTTGACAATTGGAATCTTTAAAGAGTAAGTGGAAAATTTTCCCCATAGTATACTGGATGGTGCATGCCCATCTCCATTAGCCCCTGGTTGGTGCAGGATGTTAAATCCCATTTTATTTATTTCACTGCCAGTTGTCACTCATCTGTTGATTTCACTGCCAATTAAGACAGACACACAAGCTCTCCCGTCAAAAGGCAAAACCTAGTAACTCACTTTTTTCTTATTTTGAGAAAACAAAGGAAAACGTAATGAATGAATATTAAACCCCAGCTCATCCATTGATTTGACTATTGAGTTACTAGGTTTTTCTGTGGTATACTGGGCAAATGAAGGAAGTTGCTAGGTTGTGTCATGGGTGTAACTGCTTACAAAATCAAAAGATTCGAATATCTAGTATAACCACAGGAAGCACAATTTTGATAAAAAAGTGAGTTACTAGGTTTTGCCTTTCGACGGGAGAGCCCCACCAATGAAGCTGAATAGAATATATTTCATTCATTTCAGTTCATTGTTCTAATTTGTGAATGATTATTATTATGAGTTATTTTGAGTCAACTATTACTATATATATATCAGTACAGTCACAGGCACTTGAAGGGATTAAAATAAAACTTCTTACTACTGCTTGACTATATATTATAGTATATATAAATGCATGTTTAAGCAATCCAATACAAACAAGCAAATTGTGCCTTTGAATTAAGGGCTAGGGTTTATAAACTTACTTTCACTGTAGGCTACTTCTTCTTCGCTATTAACACTACTTGTTGTAAACACAGATTCATCTGGAAATAAAGAGAACAGTTATATATCACAAAAAATATACAAGAAATACCAGGTTTACATAGGCAGCGCCAGTTAAGAATGTGGATGAATACTTGATAAAGAATCAAGATGATCTAAATGTGTACACTGACTGAATCAATTCGGACTTTGTGAATTCTGTTGAAACAATATACAAACCATCTGGCACAGGGTATACTTATACCATCTTTAAAATATCTGAGAAGCTGGGAATTGTAATCACACCACTAGCCTTAATGACTGACCTTATGATCAAAAGTCTTTAGACTATTCAGCCATCTAATCCCCCTTTCAACAACCTCTAAATAAGAATATATTAGTTACTAACCTAATTCAGCAGGTACTTTTAGTTTACTATCTTCTTTAATATCAGGTTTTAAAGCACTGTACTCTTCTTGTAAATTATGTATCGTGTCTGCGATTTTATTCTTCTGTTTCTTGGCTTTATCGCTGAGTTTTTCATTTTTCAGAGTTTCATTCATGAACGTTTGCACGTCTACATAAAAAGAAGTTTATGTTTAATTTATTACTGTATGTATAGAAAGGATAATTTATATTGTCTTAGTATTAGTGAATTGAATAGAAATTAGCTTGAATGTCCTACTATTCTGCACTGATTGGGCTTATGAAATGAAATGGGGTTTAACGCCCTACTGTTTTGCTCCGAACTCGGCTAATGAAGCAGGCATACGCCATACAAGGTGTTATGAGGGAAATTTTGCCTGGACAGCGGCACTACGGCCTACTCTTATTTTTTACGTGCACGACTATGTGTACACAGGACCTTGGTTTTTCGTCCCATCCTAACGACTAGACAGCTTTCCTTACCAGCCCCTCCTTTATTACTGACAAGGGAGAACCACGCCGGAAAATCTGAATGAACTTTCTCGGCCAATGCAGGGATCGAACACCCGACCTCCAGGCTAGCGAGCCAGCGTCTTACCCACTTAGCCACGTGATCCCCAACTGGGCTAATGAAGACAGGCATATGTCATACAGTGTGCTATGAAGGAAATTTTGCCCAGACAGTGGCACTACTGCTTAATCTTATTTCAAATTTCAATGTGTAAACAGCTTCCTGGTTGTTTGTTCCATGTTAGACCCTACATCCGACACCATGGACTCTGGAGAATACTACCAGTGTAGACGTTAAAGACTATCATTCAATTTGGACTCTTCACGTTTCTCCACGAACAGAACTGATTTATAAAAATGACACTAAAAACAGAAACGATTGGATTTAAATCAGTTTATATACATTTATATTACATTATCAAATGCATTGCAACCCATTTGTGTCCATTTCTAAGTGCCAAAGAATAGAGATTTAGCCTCTTTATGGATGAATGATGTACATATTGGGTTTTAGTTGTGTTGGGGCTGGGAGCAGAGGTCAATAGGTGGGAGGTGGGGACATTCGACATTAGTTACCTTAACATCCCCTGAATATTTAATGTTTCTAAAAACAACGGGAAGTGGTATTAAAGCAAAAAGAGCAATGCATGGGCCTATGCATATAGTGCCTAGTAGCACTTTAAAGATCCTGACAGAAATACTCCAAATATAAGTAAAAGTTATTAGTAGGCCGTTGCTTGGTTATAACTTTGCAAATTTCCCCTTTTGCAACACCCCATAGCATATTCTTGTCCTCATTAGACAGGTTGGCGCAGAAAAGCAAGATGATGAAACTTATTTCATTGACTAAAAAAAAGGATGAAGCCGAGTTGAATGAAATGATTGTCATATTATCTGTAGTACTAGTAGTGTATGAAGATAATCTTTCAGAGAAGGAAATTACATACAGAAAACGAACCTGTCAAACAGTAGATCTAACTTACCGATTAATATTTGTCGGATTGATTCATTGTATGAGGTCATCTTGGAGATAAATTTTTCCTCTCCAAAAGATCGACTGATAAATTCACTTTATCCTAATTTCTATCTTTCCTGGTGGACCTTCAGTAAAACACTTCCTGATACTCATCTCTTCCTACTTCCTAGTCGTGACGTAAACAAGCTACGATTATCTAGCCAACTTGTAGAAAATATGTTTGGATAATCAAGACTACTAATTTTTCGTCTCCCACTGACTCAAGGGAAGCAAATCCATTTTTCAATAAAAATGTGTGTTCCCTCCCTTGTGCCATTTAATTTGCCCTTGTAGGCCTATTATTCAATCTGATAGTTTATTTTTGCATTCGGATTAATTTTGGTCAACGTTTCACTCGGATTAGATTTTGACACGTTGTGTAGCGTTTTTCTTTTTTTGATATTTTTTTTTCTTTTATGTAAATTGGAACTATCGAAGAGACAATAATAATCCAATGTCCAATTGAAAATTAATTTCAACCTGAAGCAGAATTGATACAAGAGATTTTGTACACTTATTTTTTCGTTGGTAAATGTCCCTGCAAGTATTAAATGTGCCTATATAAAGATTGGAACAAACGGAATGTTGAGCAGAAAGCTACAGCCAGTCATGTAACAGCCATTTAACATTGAAGTCAATGGGCAAATAATCGCTAGTCTGAGTCAAGGTTTCAGACTAGCAATTATGTGCCCATTGACTTCAACGTTAAATGATTGTAATATCACAGCTTTTGTTTAACTTTCCGCACGATTTTTAGTTGGGGGGTGGGGGGGGGGGTGGGAGTGGAGGTCCCAGAGGGTAATAAAATATTAAATCATATGCCGTGGATAGAAATTCAAAGAAAAATAATATGTACATGTCTAGTTAATAGGGATCAATGACTCCAATGCTCCAAGCCAAATATGAAAAAGATCCATTAAAAACTATAACCTTTATGCGTTCACAAGGTCTTTCGGAAAAGGTCAAGTAACACTGATTTTTGGACGGTTGTTTATTGGTCATAATTTGTTAAATAATATGACGTGGGTAGTAAGGTAAAGAAAAAGAAAATGTACATGTCTAAGAATAGATTATAGTCAGTAGCGGATTATCAGTGAGGCTGATGAGGCTGTAGCCTCAGGCCCAAAGATTTTGTAAAAAAAATTTTTTTAGACTTTTCTGATACGATTAAAAACGCATAGACAATGAATGTTAGGGGGTTGGGTTTAAGCCCAACGGGAATCAACATAGGCCCTGACCCGAAATTAATTAGGCCCACGCCATTTTAAAAATAGGCCCTATTTAAAAACTAAATAGGCCCCCCAGCAACTGCCGCCTCAGGCCTTGGTGGAGCTTAATCCGCCACTGATTATAGTTAAGTAACATTGATGTTTGGACAGTTGTTTGTTTTTTTGTACATTAAAGAATGTTAGTTGCAATCTATGTCATGCTTGAATAACTTACAACCCAATATCAAATCTATATGGAAAACGCGTGTCTTGCGTATCAAGGCAAGTATTATGTAACAGATTCTTTAAAACATAATTTGCAGATAATTGTTTCATTGAGAATTATGGAATATTAAATAGTTCTCCAGGGACAAGATTATATAATATATTGAAGACAGACGAAGACCCGAGTAGTACCGATTTTGGAAGAGGCACCAAGGTTTACACATTGAACAAATATTTTAATATTTGAAGTATTTTATTATCTGACATGGCGTATTACACATTTACATTACGTATTACACGTTTACATAAGACACAATTTAATATATTTTATGTTGTGTGGGCAAGATCATTACATTTGCAGCTCAGCACTGATGAAATCTGAAACAGAAGAAATTCATTTTATTGTTCATTTATTGAATTTTTAAACCACAAAAACATTACGATTCACGAAAATTCAATTTGACATGGGAGCCATGATGGCTCAGTATGTTCAACACTAGCTCACTAAACAGCTGGAATCCAGTATAAGTGTAAGCCATAGTAGGGCGTAGGCTCGTCTTCATTAGCCCAGACGGCACAGAAAAGTATGACGTTAAACCCCATTTCATTTTATTTCAGTTTGGCAGAGCAAATAATTTTTTTTATTTTTACTGGAAGTCCCATCTATAGTAAAAACAAGTTGTGAAAGGTGTAGTACTTATAATAAAACAGGGAATAGTGATGAAATCACTATTGTGGAAGCTGGCGTTAAACTATCCAGATACTACATTTTTGTATACATATCAAATATCACACGTTACCTGTCTTACAAGTGTCGTACCATTGGCACACATCAGGTTGTATGACGCCATCTCTGTTTCATCTGCTTCACAACATTTATCAGGCATGACACCACAGCCCCCTTCACAAATACCAACTGGTACAGGCTCACCAACACACGTACCATCACTTAAATCTTGGTACTGAGTATACAGAGAACAGTTTAATGGTAACGCTAAAATAAGAGAAAAGTTGGCATTGATTTAATACACTCTATTTCAATAATTCGCTTGCGCGCTGGGATCATTAGCTAATCTGTTTCACAGAGATAATGCGAAAGCCTTCTTTTAACTTTGTACAAGAAGACTGACCTTTAAGTTCGCGTGGAGTATAGGTCTACTATTTTATGTACCCATTTACACTAAGTATGAAATATTTTTTATCCAGATATACATCTCACACTATTTTATTTTTCTTCATAATTTAAAAGCATTGTTTCGGAATTTAATTTGCAGAAGAAAACAGTCAATAGTCAGAGCTAATTAACTCGCCGGATATCATCCCTTTTAGTGCAAGTAATGGCCAAGCGAATCTTTACTGCTGATCAGTTTGGTCAGCATGGGAGGAAATTGGAAAACCCAGAGAAAGGCACAAGACTCGTTGGACCAATGCCCACCCGCTCCCCGGAGAACTACGGTAATAGTACAATACTGCATCATGGGGGCCCTTTTATCCTCAACCTAGAGCACATTTCAAGATTTCAATTTCCGAATTAAACCTAGCGCACACTTGTCGATTTTAATATTTTCGTACAGCGAATATTTGTTAGATATTCTAACTCCTTAAATCAGAACATCTATCAGGTGTTCCAGAAAGAATACACATACTCTTTCCCGTGTACAATAACCACTAATATTTAAAACGAAGTGAAGCGACAGGTTTGAAACGATTTCAGCAGCCGGAGCTAAGACGTTTAGGATAATCCCAGGGCCACCAGCAGAGTCGCCAGTCTCGTGCTTTAACCCCCCCCACCCCCCCCACCCCAAAAACAACAGCAAACGTTTGTTAGCCATGTGAAGTCACCGAAAGAAACGTGTTATCAGGTGTTCTAGAAAGAGTAAGGATACCCTGAACGATACACGTCATTATCTAATAACCTCTATCGTTTAAAAATGCATACAAATGAAGAACTGACTTATGTATATGGACTTCCATAGCTTAGGTATAACACTAACACCGATGTTCACTTTTTGTTTTGCTATCAATTCGTAACATTTATACATGAGAATAAATACAATGCGAGCCTTTAAACTCACTTCCACAAGGCGAATTACTGAGTACATGGTATCGTCTATTGACTTCACAAGCTTTCTTCTGTAGCTCACATCTATTCTTGAACGTCACTTGTCGATACCCCAACAGACCACAGATAGGAGCGTCTTCTCTGAATGTGCAGTTCGGACAGATACATTCTGGCACGGAGGGCATGAGTGGAGATGGGATGCAGATCTGTCCGTATCCTGGACACGTATAATTAAAGCATGGGGCTGAAATAAATGTATTATATATTAATCTGGGTGTAAGGTAGAAAATATAGACAGTGCAAACAATCATAATTTAGCATAAAAAAGCAACAATGGCGGAAATAGTATACACATTCGCCCTGCTGTAGCTTTGAGGCTAATTTTTGACCAACCAAATGTTTATTTATATATTGTTCGTTAAACTGAGTATACCTCTTTGATTTGGCTAACATACTAAATTATTGATTGAGTTAAATCTGATTTATTTAGCAAAGTTGGTATATTAATGCTTTTACGTATACTTGGTATAGATAAGTGAGTGGTAAGATTCAGCCGATTATGCGTTCTATTATACGGTAAACTAAAATACGATATTTCAAAATAACACATACGATCAATTGAATTCAAACTTTAAACTTGAGTTTAATCAACGAGGTTTAGTTCCTAGCAGTTTCTTGCAATGACCCGACACCCAACCTAGATGCATACCATTTCACACGATGTTGTTTGTAATACTAGATAAAGTAATGATCAGAAAAATTAATATAATATAATATAAACGTCGTCAACGCTATCCAGGGCTGATCCACGAACATGGGATGAACACATATACTAGTCTTAATTTCAGTGATCATATTAATTAGTTCAAAGCTGTAATAATTCTGAACAGGAACAAAATTTACCATCACTACAGTTTCCATAACAAATGGCTGTTTCGTCTAAGGCATATAGTGTAAGTTCATAGGCAGTTTGCGTTCTTATTTCTGTTCTGCTTCTGACCATTTCACCTGGACCACAATCAACACTACATGTACTCCATTCTGTCCAGGCGCTAAAAGGACCTGAAACATTATAAGAAGTAGGAATAAAAAAAAACTTGTTTTTATAGGTACAACGCCAGATATTAAGTTGGTGTTTAGCGACTATGCCATTACTCCGAAAAGCTTTTACACGAAAATGTGAATATTGTAAGGGCATGGCTGACGGCAATAACGTTAAAAAGGTGGGTGTGTAACAAAATCATATTTTTCATTAAAATACCGATGCGCCATTTACATTTTCTGCTCAAATATCAAATTTATCGCATTTAATTAAGAAAATAAAATAGAAATACCAACACTAGATAACGCCACGGCTTTGATTCAATCGGATTTTTTTTTTTTTTTTTTTTAAAAAAAGCCTCCCAATAGTATTTTCCCGACAAAAAAAATGGCAGCGGGCGTATTAAATAGTGAACATCATAGATGAAATTTTAATTCTACCTATCTTTGTAAATCTTGCTCGGAATTGAACCATTTTTAGACTACATTCGTATTAGAGATTCACTTTTCACAATAGTGTATTTTTACAAGGGATTCCTATAACGCTAAATGATACGTCGAGACTTCAATAAACACAAATAAAATGATCATACTTCCAGATGCCTTATCACACAATCTAACATCAGTATGAATAGTGGAATTGTCATCATTAACTTCACAGGAGATTCTTCTAAATTCACAATCATTTTGAAACAACAGTAGACGAGTGCTGCACACTGGGCCTGTAAATTAGATATATTTTAAAATAATACAAGATAACGACATGACAAAACAGATACAGAACAAACTGTAAAGGAACAAAGCAAAACAAAAAAGGAAATTAAATGCACCTTTTAAAAGAAGTCACAACTTAAAGTTGTCGGCGAATTATATTTATTTACATATAATTATGTACAGAATTTATCATTAGTCTACAGATTTTAAACCCACTATGTGCAATTAGATAAAGACGATTGGAAAAGAAAAAAGAAAACTGCGAAAACGTTGAACGACTTACTTATGTGCACGAAGCGGGCTAATGAAGAAGATCCATACAATGAAATGAAATGAAATGGGGTTTAACGTCCTACTGTTCTGCTCCGAACTGGGCTAATGAAGACGGGCATACGAAATACAGTGTGCTATGAGGAAAATTTTGCCCGGACAGCGGCACTACTGCCTAATCTTATATCGAATTCCAACTGTCAAGGGATCTTTTACGTGCACGCCAATGTGTACACGGGACCTCTGTTTTTCGTCCCATCCGAACGACTAGACAGCTGTCCTTGTCAGGCTCTCCGTCCTGCAGCACTGACAAGGGGGAACCACGAGGTCCGTACAGTGTGCTACAGGAAATAATTTGCCATGATAGCTACCCTAGGGGATCATTAAAGCACCCCTATGGTACACACAGGATTAAGGTTTACCGAACTACTCGAAGGACTAGATCTGGGGAACGTTCTCAGCCACCATTGTGATCTAAATAAGATCTCCTGATTAGTGCAGCTGCAGGCTTTACTTCGTGAACTCATTGCAGATACTTCACTGAGGTAAAAATATTTATGCTTGAAGAATACGTATATCCGCGAAACGTACCTTCTATTACCTTTGTCCATAATTTACTATTTTACACGTTTTCATAAACATGAACATAATTTGATTGCTTTTGTCAATTTGCTCATGATAATATGTATGCATTATCGTAATTGCATTCAATTAAAGAGCGAGAAAAAGAGAAATGGGATTTAACGTCAACTTGAGAGAAACTAGGTGGTTTCAGGACTACCGCATGCTTTAATTTTATTTCAATAATTCTCTTTCTCTCTCTTTGATTGAAGGCAATTACGATATTGAATCCATATAATTAAATAGTAATAGTTAAATTCTAAATAATTAAATTAATTAAAATGCATTTTCTAATTCAGCTAACATTAATGTACTTACTGTTTTCTGATCCACATTTGGGACAAATACATTGAGCTAGGTTTAGAATAGGATCTACAGCGCATTCCTCGTATGGTTTATCACATACTACACCGGTACAGGTCACTGTAAATACGAACAGGTGAAAGTAGGATTCAAAACTTCACTAAAATCGCCTGACATCTTACAAGGAATTTGTTATTGACAGCCCCATGCTCATGGGATATACACTACCGTAGTTCAAATGGCAACTCAATCCTAATTATTTAGAGACCCCACTTGCTAGAAAATAAACACCGTGATAATTCATGAAAGTTCGAGCCCTAACTAAATAAACCGAAATGAAATGAAATAAGATTGAACGTCCTACTTCTATTTACTACCCGGGCTAATGAATATGGGGGCAGACGCCATACATTGTGCTATGAAGAGGCGCTACGATCCACTTTTAATTCGATTATCAATTGTCAAGGGTTCTTATACGTATACGTGTCCGCCAATGTGTGGGACCTCGTTTTTTGTCCTATTGTTCCTTGCCAGACCTCCCGTCCTGTAACCCTGGCAAGGAGAACCCCCAAGGAACATTCTGGAAAGAGGGACCTCCAGGTTAGCAAGCGGCCAGCGCCATACTCGCCAAATAACTTCGGCTCCCAACAACGTAAACCCAGGATATGGTTACAGTTACATCTTTATTTAAATTACATACCCTTACAGGCTCCTCTGTAATTCACTTCTATAAACTTAGCGGTTCTACATGCCTCTACTATTAACTTTCTTTCTGTCGTATACGTTATTCCATCACTACCACAAACCTTTAAATATAAGCAAAGTCAGTTCTGTATTCCGAGATTGTAATTGTAAGGATGTGTTGATCTCATGTATTCATATATCTAGCATTTGGAAAAATTGTTCTGCGCATGACGAACAATGAACGATGTCATTCGTCTACAGAAAAAATGAATTGTGTTTCTAACCTGTCCAGCACGAAAACAACCGTCCCCTCTACACGAACAACATTTTTTACCACCAACTGCTGTGACTTTTTCAGCCGCATTCGCTGAAAAAAATACAAAACATGTCTGACGATTTCCCAACAATGTTCATATTATGTTTTAATAAAATTCTGTTGTTGATATATTTGAGTCCAAATGCGTCGTTGTATGCACTTTCTAATGATAATCTAATCACCAATTCGGTATCTGCAATGTCCCAAATAGTTCAAACACACCCTTCGGTATCCGCAATACAACACCCCTATTTCAAAGTCGCGTTGCCGGTAAGCTTGTGCAAATTTTCCATTTTCTGAGTTGTCTTGTGATAATTCATAAATGGTATTATCACATCTACCCAAAGAGACCAGAACTGTTTCCCACAATATAGATTTGTTAAAGCCAAATTGTTTCTATTTGTAAAATGTATTTACCTATGCAAGTTCCACCTGCGCCCATATCATAGCCTTCACAGCATTCACATATAAAACTACCATGTGTATTGATACACTCGGCATTGGCATCACAATTATCAAACCCAGCTTCACATTCATCAACATCTGAAATAGTGATATTTGTATCGTTGTGAAGATTAACTACGACATGATTCAAGTGTTTTTTCTATTAACACCTCTTTGTCTCATACAAAGCTCAATAAGGCGGAAATGTTTTTCGTCGAATCCTCTTCTATTTCAGAGCTTTAGACACATCGAGCAATTATGCATATTAGATCAGGTCATACAATATACACCAACCTCTGATCCAACAATAATCTTTAGTTTTAAACTTCAAAAGAACCAGGCATATAGTTTTTTCTAGCAGCTTTAACGCAAGTGATGTCAAAAGGGATGAAATGCGTGTCAATGGAATTAATGTTTTGGTCCATATCACTTTCCATAATATAATGTATATAATGCAATATTCTTTAGAGAATAGAATGGGGTTTAACGTCTCGTAGATACTTGAATTGGATCATTTTGAAACTAACATACGGATTTCTATTTCTATGATATGCATCTAGATTTAGTATGAAAACATTGCTTACTTAGAGCATAGGTTTACGGAATTTGAATCCGAAATGAAATATTCAATAGATTGAACACTTTGTTTCAAAGTCAACTTCCAATCTAATTTAACATGGAACTATACGGTCAAATCAAGTCAAATACTAAAAACAATAAATAAACAGAGAATGTCCCTTTACCACCCTAGAGGAGAGTGTCAATACAAATAATATATTAGCAAACATCCGTATACTTACCAACACAATAGTTTCCGTAAGGTACAAAACCAGGAATACAATGACATCTATAACTACCTATTGTATTCGTACAATTTTGACCAATATGTATACAGTCATCTGTTCGGGTTTGACATTCATCAATATCTATTTCAATTAAAGAATAGTGGATAATCATACAAGTCGGTACAGTTTACTTTATATCTGACCTAGTACTATTGATAATATACCCCCACTCTTTTAAAATGACTTAATACTAATACTGTGCACAATAGAGAGAATTCCAGACCAAGAGTCCATAACAATCAAGGCAAATTTGAGTTAATAGTAAAGTTTATTTCGTAAATGGGAAATCTATCACAATAATAATAATACACAATGGTGAAATAGCATTAAGTGACCTCGGAAGAGTAAAAATACTACCCCTGGTCCCGTAATCTACCACGTTACTATAAAATTATATAAATAGGCCGACTTTCTGGCCTGCTAGTACCAGTAGTTTTCTTCAATCTCCAATTCGCCCGGGTTGTTAGAAATACCCTCCTACCATTTTGAATAAGAATATTAGAAAGATTTTATCTTATACACGGTAAACCCCTAAAAGGCAGATTATGACAGATTATCTAACCATGAAATTAAACAATATTAATGTCAATTGAAAACTAAGAGTTTGGTTAGGTTTATACAGAAGATACCTTCACGTTAGGTTTATAAAGAACATACCTTCACATTTTGTACAATCGCCAATGTAACCCTTTTTACATTGGCATTCGGCGTTATTATCTCTGTTACACTCCATGTTTTCCGGACATGTCTTATTAAAACATATGTCATCTATAAAAAACATAACAAATTTCTTTTTTAGAAAACGAACATAACAAATCGAAGGAATGAAAAAAAAACCAAATTACTATTTTAAAAACGAACATAACAAACTGAACCAAAAAAAGAAAGAAACAAAATTACTATTTTTAAAAAGAAAGAGAGAAAGAAACCCAGTTACTTTTTAAAAAAAGGGGGGGGGGGGGTGGATGGCCGAATGGTTAGCATGTGCGCGCTGTATCATAAAGCCTGTCATTGAGTCAACTGGCGTGGTTTCGAATCCCTGGTTGTGCGTGACAAGGAGGAGGGTCGCCTGTCCAGCCTCATGGGTTTTCTCCGGGTCCCCCGGTTTCCCTCCACTGCTAAAGACCCCCACGCGCAAGCGAATTATTAAAATAAAATTAAAAACCATGTGTTAGTCCCGAAATGACCTAGTTTGTGTAGAGTGGACGTTAAACCCCATTTCTCTCTCTCTCTCTCTCGCTCTTTAAAAAAAAACCAAACGAACATAACAAACTGAACGAATAAAAGAATTAAAACCAATTAAAGACGAACATAAAAAAATTTAACAATAAAGACAAAGAAACCAAATTACTATTTTTTTTTAAAACAAACAACCTGAACGAATACGAGAAAGAAACCCATGTACTCTTTTCTCTAAAAACAGTTATTCTGCAGATCATGTTCTTTGCCATTTGTTTATTTTTGATCATCTGATTGAGTAGAGGTTTACTTTCGATATTTTGTTTTGTGCAAACCAATCGATTAAATCTTCAAATGAAGACTAAATTAATCAAACTTTTTTTCAGTAGATCATATGTATCAAATACCTGAAATTATGCTATCATCAGCGCATATCATAGCACACTTACAATATTACTAGCAGATTGATATCCGTAGATTCAAAGATGAAACTGCGACTATTTTTCTTTAATTGAATAGAAATAATGATAAAAGCCCTAAATGAACATTTTTTGACGAAAATCGGTCATTCCATTACCAATATATTGAGCCCCCCCCTCCCCCTTTGTGCCTACCTCGTGAAATCCAATTATATAATTCCCTGAAACTTGTTGTGAAGTCATGCGCATAGTTCTAGATCAATTAAAATTTGTCACATAATCCTCGCCGTTTTAAGATGACGACAGGGTTTATTCGTATCAGTTTGAGCCTTACAACCGAAACACCAATGTAAAAAGAAGTTGTCGCTTCAAATATTGAGAAGTTAATCCTAGTCCAATAAAGTTCTGTGATACTGTTTTAAAAAAAATGAAAACTTTTTTTTCCATGTGGGATTGGCCACAAGTCCGCGAATTCCCCGCCGTGGAAGTGTCTGGATAACCAGGTCTATATCCTTGTAGTGGTGAAGAATGAAAATATTGTCACTTTTTTGACTTTTGATTTACATACTTAATAAAGATGTTTGGTTTTTAATACTTTATTAAAGTATTATATCGCGTGTCCTGTCGTCGGGTTTGTCTGATGGGCCTTGATTATATGTGGTGCGGTCCTCCTGCACTCACTTACTATTAAAACTACTTTTATGTACGGTGTGATATCTGGGACTGCCCCATTAATAGATGTAAAATTAATATTGTTTCATACTTCCGCAAGTTATTCCATCTCCAATGTAGCCATCTTTACAGTGACACCCGAATACACCGGTGTCTTCCTTCAGGAAACAACCAGCATTGGGATCACATGTAACTTGTTCCTGTTCTGTGGTACCCGTTGAAATACACTTTAGCAAACTGGTACAGTTAAAATTCATAAACGTGTCACCAACCTTTAAAATTCAAAATTAATAATTATTCGAATACCGAAGTAATCTCTCTCGCTCTCTCTCTCTCTCTCTCTCTCTCTCTCTCTCTCTCATTACATACTCAGTTTTGTGGTTTCGATGCCCAGGGACTTGAGAGATCTTGATTATTTTACCCAGGGCCGGTACCTTTAAAACGAACGCTTACAAAATGGTTAAAAAGAATCGAATGAGCTGGAATGGGGCTTATCATATCGTCGACTTGCATTACCTTCACAATGCCCGGGGTGGGGGGGGGGGGACAAGTGGGAACACCGACCCGGTCACACACAACCACTCAATTTAAAAAATGTGTTTATATAAATCTCAGGGAACACAGACGTGATTTAACTTACGGCAATTTAAACACCTTCCAGGATACAACCACATGAAGATGGTGGAAACGAACGCTTACAAAATGGTTAAAAAGAATCGAATGAGCTGGAATGGGGCTTATCATATCGTCGACTTGCATTACCTTCACAATGCCCGGGGTGGGGGGGGGGGGACAAGTGGGAACACCGACCCGGTCACACACAACCACGCAATTTAAAAAATGTGTTTATATAAATCTCAGGGAACACAGACGTGATTTAACTTACGGCAATATAAACACCTTCCAGGATACAACCACATGAAGATGGTGGAATACATCGTCTACCTTCCAGGACGAAACCTGGAGCACAATAACAGGCTTCACTGCAGTAACTCTCTGATCCGGGATGAGTGCCTTGAATTTCGTTTATACACGTTGTTTGTCTCTCTTTATCTGGCTTACCCCGCGGTCCACAAGGCCTATCTTCAAAATTCTCACCACAATTCAATTCTAAAATGATTAGGATACAGGTCTTCAGTTCCCCTCCAAACAAACAATTAGTAGTAGAAAAGCAAAATACCTAGACTCCGCAGTCGTGGCCACTTTTATCATCATCATCATCGGCGAGGCCTTTGTTCACAATGTCAAGCGAACAGCGGTGACTGAATCATACGAAAGTTACTAAAATTTATGTTTGTCTAAAAGTAGCTCGCTTTAAAACAGACACAAAGCTAATTGGTCGACATTTTGATTCCTAGGTCGAAAACATTTTAGATATATTTATTATGTTCCCATTTCATAAATCAAAAATATTTATTTAGTCTTTGTGTGTATAAAATATGTACAACGCATCAGAACCACATTACCAAATCATATACTATTCTTTGAATATTGTGGACATTCTGGGCAGTTTCTTTTCTTAGAGTAGACATTTCTCTGCTTTCAAAATGGGACTGAACAAGATAGATTGAACGCACTAGGGTGTTGCTACGCCCTTTTTGTTTCTACCAAGAACAAAGTTATATATAAGGTATGTTCCAAAATCAAAAAAATATTAAAAGCATGTCATCCAATTCTTTGAATATGGCGGACATTCAGAGAGGAGATTTATTGTCAAAGTAGACAGTTCTCTGTGTGTAGAATGGGGCTGAACAAGATACAATGAAAGTACCAGGACGTTGTCACACCTGTTTTATTTCTATAAAGAACAAAGCAATAAAGTAAGTTCCCAAATCAAGAAAGTTAAAAGCACAATGATCTAAATAGTAGCTTACCACAGAAACCAGGTTTTCTCCAAGGATCTATCTCAAAGTCAAGATGTTTTTGACACTCATTCAGAACTCTTTCAGCACTGGAGCACATACCAAGTTCAACATCATTATAAACGTGACAAATGTCGAATAGACAACTGAATTTAAGTTGATCCAATAATTGAGTGTCCAGGAAATTTAGGCAATCCTTAAATGATACAAAAATTCGCCAAAAGTTATATAGGGATTTGGGGAAGAAAGCCTTGACATTTCGACTTGAAATTGATTTTCAAAACGAAATAGTTTTCTCATTACACTAATAATTTGATAATATCACAAAAATTTCCCGACTAAAAATGACCTAAATAAAAAAAAAATAAGGCACTGAAAGTGTTATCAAATGTTCTAGAAACATATATAAAGAAGCATCAACGTGCAAGTATACAAACCTTGAACGGAGAAATGTCCGGGCTGAAGACACGATCACAATAATAATTGAGCAACTCTGTGTCACATACAGTCAAGGTGAAGAAAGCCTGGACATTTCGACTTGAAATTGATTTTCAAAACATAATAGTTTTCTCATTACACTAATAATTTGATAATATCACAAAAATTTCCCGACTAAAAATGACCTAAATAAAAAAAAAATAAGGCATTGAAAGTGTTATCAAGTGTTCTAGAAACATATATAAAGAAGCACCAACGTGCAAGTATACAAACCTTGAACGGAGAAATGTCCGGGCTGAAGACACGATCACAATAATAAGTGAGCAACTCTGTGTCACATACAGTCAAGGTAGTATCTGAGGCGTTACAAGGAGCGCTACACTCAGGCACCGTATTTAGATATTCTTCTACCACCCACGAATTGCCAAAAATGTTTTGATTCGGGGTCTGAAAAGAGATTCGCATGTGTGAAATGTAATTAATTATCAACTTGCTAATTATATACCCTCTAAAAATACCTTTCACTTGCAATGGAATGTTGTTTTTCACCACAGAATTCAACTTCCTCTAATATATTCTAATATATTCTAATCTAATATAATAGGCATCTAGTATTGACAATTTGTGTCTGTTTGTTGATCAGGGGCTGGTGTTAACATTTCACCCGATCATATAAAAAAAAAACAAATAAATACAAGCGTACTATGGACCACGGGTCGAGTATGACATCACTGCAGCCATCATAGAATTGTGACATAATATCGAAAATCGCTACGAAATTGTCCAAGGAACACGCCTGCAAAGTTTTATGTCGATCGTACATGAATTGACCGAGAATTGAGCATGTTCCGAAGAACAAGAAGATGAGTAGCGGTTAGGTCTAATTCCTGGTCCAATAACTTACTACTGTGCCAACTAAATCTCCACAACGATCACCAACTATCCATTCATCTTCCATATCGTCATTAAAGTTACCACAAAGGCCACAACTCTTTCCTTTAAAATCTTTAGGTAGAAGAACTTCGACTTCATCACCTCCATTCCAATAGACCTCTAGACCAAACGGCGTGATGACAGACTATAAAACAGAACCGGTAGGTTACAATAATGCGTTACAATAATATTATTTAAAGATGCATTATGCAGGAGTTAAGTCTGTCTATTGCGGGTGTTTTTCTGGATTCAAATAACATATAAATATCATACTCACGGGTTTGTTTATTATCGTGGCTTGATCATTGATACTATTTACTCCGTATACTGTCAAAACTACCAACACTCATAACGTTTCGAATAAAGTAATTGGACTGAAATTTTCCTTAGTTTTTGTTTATAATCCATAGCAAAAGTGATGAGCTCTTTATCTAAATCCCGATCAAAGGGGGGGGGGGCAATAACATGAACAGAAAGGATTTTGAATTTCGAAAGCGTTTCTCCTAATGACTAGAGAAACAATCCCACCAAGTGTTAACAGAAATTGTAAAGGAAAGATATGTAGATTAAGAAGACAGTTTTGGCTTACTTACTACTTCTCTTCCGTTATCATTTACAGCTATATCATCGTTATTATAGGCTATAAAATTACGTCCGTTTATTCGGATAACACGATCCGGTCCCAGGTACACTTTCTGAAACAGATATCAGTTATTATTATATAAGCAGCCCAAAAAATTAATCCTAACTACTATTGCAATGGAAACATTTGCCAGAAACAGACATTAGCCATGATTTCTCCAGAATTATTAAACTAGATATAAAATCACTGATTAAAATAATATATCGTTATTCGTGTAATGTGGGTATTCAAAAGTACATGTAGTGTGTATTGAATTTGTTGGAATTCGATATAAGAGTAGGTCGTAGTGCCGCTGTCCGGGCAAAATTTCCCTCATAGCAAACTGTATGGCGTATGCCCGTCTTCATTAGCCCAGTTCGGAGCAGAACAGTAGGACGTTTAACCCTATTTCATTTCATTTCATAACGCAAGCATTTACGTTAATTGATATACCGTAAACTTTCTGTACCAAATTCACGTTATTTTAAATCATTGATGATTTTTATCGATTGATTGCAAATATTTGCATAATCAAAAGTCATATGCTTGAAATTTTTTCAGCCAACACCGGGATCGAATCCGCGACCACTATGTTTGCGAGCCAGTGCCTTACTCATTGAGTTCCCCCGCCCCCGAGTCTTCTGTCAAGCTCAGAAAATAAAAATATCGATTCTACTTACCGTATCATTAACAACTACAGTGACATCCTTGACCCAGGTTATACCTGCTATGTCCGTTCTACCCATATCCCAATTATGTGTCCAAACCTCGAACGTTGGTTTTACGCCAGAACAACCATCTGTAGCCATTTTGTATTGGCAATCACCCATAAAATGAAGCCACTTTTCGTCGAAAGAAATACAATGTGGATCTCCAAAACAGGCACATATACCAATACCTATTTCCAACGTCAAAATGAAATTACAAGAGATCCATGGTAAAGTTACAAGTTAACAGATACTTTTGGAAGTATACCACCCTGGAATAGTTTCGTGGATGTAACAAAGACAAAATTGTGCTCTTCGAAGATTATCCTTTAAATCTTTGAAAAACACGGATCATCAAATGAGCAATAACAAGAGCAACGCTAACGCTGCAATATACGTCCACATTTCTGCTTTGATTTGATATGATCATTTTTAAAATGAAGAAAATGAAATATGAAATGGCTTCAACGACTGTAATATGAAAAGAGGCTAAGTGTGTGTGGCACCGCCCAAGGGGGGCGGGCCATGCATCAAAATCAATAGTTTCAAGATAATCTAATCAGAATTGTGGCCTGTGTTCGATAAAAACAATAATTGGGCATGGCTCTGTCCCTGGGGGTTGGGGCATGCACCAAAATCAATGGTTGTCGTCTTAGTCTATGATGAATACATATGCCAAATTCCAAGACGATGCATTAAGAATTGCGACTTGCAGGCGACACACAGACACACAAAGAGAAAATGGGCGTGGCTCTGCCTATTGGGGTCGGGACATGCACCAAAATCAATAGTTGTCGTCCTTAGGAATATATATAGCAAGTTCCACGATTCAAAATTGCGGCCTGTATACGATAAGCATAAAAAATGGTCGTGGCTCTGCCCCTCAGGGCGGCACATGCACTAAAACCAATAGTTTCCGTCCTTGGGCTATAAGGAATAAATATGCCTAGTTGCAAGGCGATCCCAAAAGAATTGTGGCCTATGGGCAGCACACAGACACACAAAGAAAAAATGGATGGGGTTCTACCCCTTGGGGTCGGGCATTCACCAGAAACACTAGGGATGATCCTGAAGGTATAAGGAATAAGTATGCAAAGTTTCAAAAGGATCTGTTAAGAATTGCGGCCTGTAGGGGACACACAGACAACACAAAATTTAGGCGTGTTCTCAGGGGTGCTGTAAAATTGACGGACAATATATATCTATTTTTTAAGGTCGACAATTTTAACACGGTGGGGGGGGGGGACTTTTTGCAGGGTGGGGGGGTGGGGGTCGCCTTCCTGCGCCCTAATTAACCCCTAGTTACGGGTCTGCAAAGAATAGAACAATTTGCCCTTTAAGTTTGTGGTTTGAAGTATGTATTTTATCATGTTCGGGCTTCTTATTTTACATTAACTTATCAGTATACATAATTACTTACGTTCACAGGTGTTATTTGTACCTACTCCTTTATATCCACGTCTACATTTACAGAAGAAGGAGCCTTCTGTATTAGTACATTTAGCATTTATATCACAATTATGTAGAGTTCCTCCGTCATCTTCACATTCATTTATATCTTCAAGAACAAATTAAAAAAATATCCACTAAAATATCTGATATATGCAAACAAAGATACAACAAAATAAAATAAAACGGATATATTTGAGATGAGATAAAAATAAACCTCTAATCACCATAAAATATATCAGTGACTTAAAGGGACATTATGTAAGATTAGATAAAGATCTGACAGTTCTCGCTATAAAACGACAATGAAAACAGAATATGCTGAAAATTTCATTCAAATTGCTTCACTCTGAACCGAGATATTAGCGATTCAATCTTAGGCTAGTTTTGATTGACATTACTAACTTTGGTGCGATAATAAACCAAGTCTCGATTATCAAATTTTACGTTATATTATTAATCACAAAATGTATTCAAATATCACAGGCTAACGATGGCAATAGGCAGAGTTAGCTCTTGCATAATGCATGTTTAATAAAGAAAATACAATTCGTCATGTAATGATTTGCACTGCAAGACATAATGGCGTTTAATGGCTTGTCAACACAATACTTCAGTCATTTTGAGACAAACATAATATGGTAATTATAATTTCCATCTTTCCGTGTGCTATGCAAGGTATGGTAATTGGTCGCAATTTCTACATGTTAAGGGTTCATGTACGCGCATGACAATATATACACTGGTTGTCCTAGGTTTTCGTTCCATCCCAACTACTAGGCACACTTTCCAAATGAGCATCACAGCCGCCACCAATGACGGGGTTTAAAAATCCAGAAGGTTCCTTTCAACCCAAACGATAATAAACACCCCTTTAAACACAAGTTTTACCCCTTCCCAATACTTGTTTTCCAAATTGTAGCCATTATATCGAATCTTCTGGAATCTGCTAGAATATGGACGCTTGGTTTAGATATTTATTCTATTTACAAACTATTGGTTTAATCTATAGAAATGACATACCTTCGCATGATGTTTTGCTTATAGGTCTGTAACCATCGTTACAGGTGCAATTGAAATCACCAGGAAAATTATAACATGTTGCTGTTCCATCACATGGTTTAGAGGAACATTCATCGTCATCTACATAGTAAAAATAATTAATCTTACATACATTGGGAACTCTGTTTGCCTTTATAACAACATTATAATAGCAATAATCACGAATCAATAGAGTGCATGGAATCCAACATGATGTGCTGTTCACCTGGTCTGTTATATGTTTAGAAATAAGAACGATGTGACACACGAATGCAATTCTCCACTTATAAGGTGTTTGTTTATGCGAATGAACCACCAGCATAATTACATATCATTAATGGGAAATGAAATGAAATGGGGTTTAACGTCCTACTCTTCTGCACCTAACCTGGGCTAATTGAAGACGGGCATACGCCATACAGTGTGCTATGAGGGAAATTTTGCCCGGGCAGCGGCGCTACGGCCTACTCTTATATCGAATTCTAACTGCCAAGGGATCTTTTACGTGCACGCCAATGTGTACACGGGACCTCGGTTTTTCGTTCCATCCGAACGACTAGGCAGCTGTCCTTGTCAGGCCCTCCGTTCTGCATCACTGACAAGGGGAAACCACGCCGGAAAATCGAGATGAACTTTCTCGGCCAATGCAGGGATCGAACACCCGACCTCCAGGCTAGCGAGCCAGCGCCTTACCCACTTAGCCACGTGATCCCCATCATTAATGGGGCTATTCGCAAAGACAAATATGTGACAAAAACAAACTGCAAAATGGATATTCTGTTTAAAAAGTTGGAGAAATAGTATTTCTTATAGAATTTGTTTGCGTGTATTGCGGTCCTCCTGCTCCTACTAACAGAATTTTTGAAAATGGTTATAGATACACGAATCTGTCATATTACTATTGTTAGATATAATGTACGTGCAGTGAACAAGGATTCGAGTTCGAGTAAGCGTGGGCAGCGTCTGAAACAATCTTTAAATTATAAAACAAAATGTATTACCATAACACTCTCTACCATTTGCCCACACATCGGGTACTCCCAAACCCCGGAATTTTTCTGGGCAGACACACTGAAAACCATTTGGCGTATTGACACAATTAGCCCATGGATGACAATCATGGAAACCAGTAGTACATTCATCAAATCCTACACAAAATAAAATGGATAAATAAAATTTATATTCATTGTTGGGATATGGCATGCATATATCTGTGTACAGTGCCCTGAGTGGATGCAGTGTTTATGTGCTCCGATATTTTTATAATATTTCACAACCTCTAGATGGATGTATTGTGCCAAGTTGTGTGTGACTATCTTGTGCATCATTTTGTGCTGATTTTTTGTTCAAGCTATCTTGGATTATGCAGATTTTTATAGTTTTATGGCATACAATACTGTGTATAAGCGAATTTCTACTCACTACTGACCTACATTTTACTTCTGGTGGACAGTCAATAAAACTAATTCATTTTGGGGGAGATTTCTACTCACCATTTGTTTAAACAGATTATAGTCACTGAACCTTTAATCACCTTGATAATTTACAGAGAAGAGTTATTTCTTATCAAAGCTGACATGCATGAACAAAAAAAAATAAATTCACGACTGTTGGAAATTATCCCCAAACTCAGAAAGTCTCAAACCAAATCAAAAAGAAGACGTTGTCGAGGGAGAGGGGGGGGGAGGTAGAAATAAAAGGCGTCGAATACGTGTTATTTCAACTCCAAGGAACCACCAGAAAAATAGACAAATTAAAGGAATTAATTACTCTAATCTTATCCAAGACTTCCCTAAACATAAGTCTCCCTCTTTGCAAATTGCATTGTGGAATGCGCAATCTTCACGTAACAAGACACTAGATATATATGATACTGTACTTGAGGATGATCTTGACATCCTCGTTATCACAGAATCGTGGCTAAAAGTAAATGGTGATAATTCGATCATCACAGAAATGACCCCCCCCCCCCCATGTTATACACTAATTAGTGTGCCACGATTAACGTCAAATGGGGGTGGATATGCTGTGCTACATAAACTTTCTCTTAAACTTCAACTTATGAAAACAAATTCAGAATCGTATTAATCGTTTGAAATGTTAGAGCTTCAAGCTTCAATATCAAGTCTATCGTTACGAGTGATTTGTATCTGTCGTCCCCCTCCTTCAAAATCAAATGAAAGTCGTAGTACTATGCTCTATTCGGAATTGGAAACACTTTTAGCAAAACGTATCCAGAAAATCTTACTGATTATGGGTGATTTTAATCTACATTTTGATGAACTAGAAAAGCCTGAGATCAAACGATTTACAAAACTATTTCAGACTCACGACCTGATCCAACATGTGCATTCAAACATATAGACCACAGTTCCTTTGATTTAGATCTTAAAAATTCCCCTCTCATTAGTGATTCACCTGACGACCTTGATCTTTGTGTACTCTATAATGACACACTATCCAAACTTTTAGATAAACATGCTCCAAGCACTACTAAGACTGTCTCCTATAAAAGGAATTCGCCCTGGTATAATGAGGGTGTACACCTATCCAAAAACAAGAGACGCTTTGCTGAACGACAGTGGAGGCACTCTAAATTAGAAATATAGCGACAAATTTTTAACCATGCTAAATCCCATACCACATGAGTTATTCGAAAGCTAAATCAGAATATTATATATAAAAAATTGCAGAAAACTCAAATTCACCCAAATGTTTGTTTGATTTTGTTTTTTCTCTTATGGGAAAACAACAAACAATCATCCTGCCCAAATGTGACGATGACACTTTCAACTCTTTCTTTGTCTAGAAAATTGAAAATATTAGACAAGGCCTTGACACGGAAATTCTTGCTATGTATAGTCCAATCATAATCAATTCTTCGTGTTTTGTGGTGAGGAACTGGTTGCCTTTGAAGCGTTAACCGAAGAAGAGATCAAGGAATTAATCTCGGGAAGTAAACCAACGACATGTGCGTTGGTCCCTGTGCTCACATAATCATGGTTTACATCTTATCTGACTGAGAGAGAGAGAGAGAGAGAGAAATAGGGTTTAACGTCCAATCGAAACAAACTAGGTCATTTCGGGACTAACATATGGTTTAATTTATTATTTCAATAATGCGCTTGCGCGTAGGGATCTTTAGCAGTGGGAGGAAACCGCAGGACCCAGCGGAAACCCACGAGGTTGAACAGGCCACCCTACTCCTTGTCACGTACAACCGGGGATTCGACACCACGCCAGTTGACTCAATGACAGGCCTTATGATACAGCGCGCACCTGCTAACCATTCGCCCCCCCCCCCCCCCACCTTATCTGACTGACCGTGGGTAATCGGTTCATGTTGATAGTGTTTCCTTCTGATAAATCAGTTCTACATGTATAGCAAGGTGTACCACAAGGATTGGTTCTTGGTCCTGTGTTATTCACCCTGTACACTAGACAGCTTGGTAAAATCCTCTTTGATAAAGATCTCTCTCGCATCACTTCTTCTACGCTGCTGATATGCAGCTCTTTCGTCATTTTGAACCCAGTAACTCCGCCATAGCAGTAATAACTATTGAAAACTGTGCAGACATTGTCAAAACATGGATGACTATTCATATGCTAAAATTCAACGCCTCAAAACTAAAGCGATGTTAGTTGGAACTAATAGTAAAATGGCGAATGTTCATCATTCATCAATCCGTATCGGAGAATCACAGATCGATTTCTCAAATAATGTGAAAAATCTGGGCGCCTACCTGGATTCAAATTCATCAATGGTACAACATATCACTAACATTAATCGTACTTATCACCGTCACCCCCGTAACATAGGATCCATAAGAAATCTGATCGTAAGAGATGCTGCTCATCACATTGTGCGATCCCTTGTGCTCTCAATTTCAGATTATCGTAACAGTCTGTTGGGTAATTTGCCTAAAGAACAAATCAACAGACTGTAACAGTAGCAAGAATGGTGACTGAAACGGGAATGTCTGCCCATATAACTCCAGTACTTAAAGGACTTCACTGGCTCTCTGTGGAGGCCCGTGTGAGATTTAAAATCCTCTCACTCACGCATCAGTGTTTTCATCAAATCGTACCAAGTTACCTATCGGAACATGTTTCAAAATACCATCCTAGCCAAGCACTACGATCGGCTAACCAAATCTTAGTTTGTGTCCCAAAAGTTAAATTAAGATTATTTGGACAGCGATCTTTCCAGTATAACTCATCAGCATTTTGGAATAAACTACCATCAGAAGTTAAAGATGGACCAACCTCATTGCAATTCAAGAGTTTATTAAAAACACACCTGTTGAATACTATGATAAAGAAAATTATTATAGCACATAAACCATAATGTCATTGTCCTTTTTGTAGCGCTATAAGCATATACTTAGTGTATGGAGTTTAGCGCGTTAAAAGTAGACTACTATATATTATATTCATTAGAGAATACCTCAGTTATTAATACCCCCGTCAGACTGGGGTGGCGTCCTTACTGCGACGCTACTGTGGCGGAAAACGGTCGCAGAGCGCACCAAGATCACTATAAGCGCGATAAACGCGTGATGGAAACGCCAGATATCGTGCTGTGGTCTCCATGGTCGTGAATGATCGCCTAGTCACCGCGTTTGTTTTAAGCATGTTCAAAACAAACGCCAAGGCTTTGCGATCTAACCTGGAAAGTTGTAATGCCCCAGTCAGACCGGGGTGGCGTCCTTACTGCGCTGCAGCGACCGTACGGCGATCAGAAAATGCACAAGGTCGCCGGCAAACGTGAACACAACGTACGAAAATGTCCCAAAATATAAAAAATTTGCAAAAAAATTTGCGTGTTCACATCTTTCTAGGGCAGATCGCAGAACCTTGGCGTTTGTTTTGAACATGCTCACCGAGACCACAGCGCGATATCTGGCGTTTCCACCACGCTTTTACCACGCTTATGGCGATCTTGACGCGCTCTGGGGATATTTGCCGTCGCCGTAGCAGCGCAGTAAAGGCGCCACCCCGGTCTGACGGGGTAAAGAACGAGACTTTTATCAAGTTTGTAAATTTTTTGGGACAATTTCTCTCGTTGTGTTTACGTTTGCCGGCGACCTTGTGCATTGTCTAGTCGCTGTACGGTCGCAGCAGCGCAGTAAGGACGCCACCCGGTCTGACGGGGGCATAAGGAAGGTCAGATAATAAAACAAAATCAATCACCAGCTGATTTCAACTAAATGCGCAACATGCACAAGCCTTCAAGTTTAATGATATTAAGGGAACATAAAACAAAAAGAAGTATTATTGACTAACGCAATATAATACTGCCCATATTCAAATACTGCAAATGTAAAATTACAACAATAACAGTTAGCTATATGAATTCGTAACACTGTAATATGTATCAGGTATTCGAGAAAGCGTCCATGTTACTTTAAAAGACGAATAGACTCCTAGAGAAGAACAAAATTGTACCGCATTCTGACGCGGATTAAAGCCCCCCCCCACCCGCCCATGAGACCTAGTAAGAACCCCCTCGGGACAAAGCTCATTTACATAACTCGATTCCATTGTGTCATCAATCTTTCACTCCTCTGTCTTATACTATCTCTTCACTATCATGTTAGTATTATCCAGGCCCGGATTTAATCTAAATTTTAAAAAAAGATTGTTACCGATTGCGGTTTTTCCACAGTAGAGATTACTAAGAGTTATGTTTCCTGCTGAGTTTGCAACACCGGTTGGTTTAAATGTCATACTTCTTATAGGCAAGTCAGCCGTAACTTGCATAATACCAGAGTCCACTCTATCTATACCATCTTCTTGTCCAACACCACAGTTACATCTCCTATAACCAGTGAATATAAACTTCCAGTATCAGTCAAGGGTGCATGCATACATTTCAGGTTGGAAGATAGATTATTTCATAACCACTTAGTACGTTTATCCGAAACGTTCTGGCAAGGTCAATGTATATCACAATTTTGTTTTTAAAAATGCAATGCAGCGATTACAGCCCCCGCTTATCCCCAATGATCCGATTTCAGGTGGAAGTTCAAAGATAATTTGTTTTCATAAAATATCATTGTTGATGATTTGGAATTTGAAATTATGACATTTTGAAGATGTACCTAGCTTCAATAACGGGTCTTGTACCATTACCGCCACACAAATTTTCTGCACCACATGTACAGTCATTTCCACCAGGTGTACCAGCTCCAAAATAGGTATGTTCATTGCCGTCAACACCTGTCCAGGAAAATTTACCAGCCTCTAGAAACTATTGCCATATAAATAAAAAAGTGTAAAAACTGCCATAAACATTCATCGACATATACAAACTGTTTCCGGGTATAAATCGAGACTTTGTTTATTCTCGTAACAACGTTAGCAGTGACAATCGAGACTACACTGTTCTCCAAACGGTCATAAATAATTTGACTGAAATTTTCATCATATTCCCTTTACATTACCTGTGTTTAACTATTATAGTGAGAACTGTCAGCTCTTTATCGAAATCTTACATAAAGCATCTTTCATACATATCGGTAAAACTAAATTTCTAATTAAAAAGAACAGTGAGAGTGAGAGTCGGCGAGGTGGCCAGGGAGATCACCTCGAGAAAATTGTGAAAAATCGATGCCATTTGGTGGATTCTGACGTTATATTGGGTAAAAACAATTATGTTTGCTATTTTGAAAAATGTCACCGGACAGTGATGATAAACTATAGAAAGTCGACTTAACCTTTGTCATCATCCGAAAGGCAACCATATAAAACGAAAGAGAACAATCCTGATTGGGCAGGACATATGAATAATACAACATGTAACATAATGATAGGAATCAAAAGTGACCCCATCTCTTGTAGGCAAAATTATGGCGGTATATTAGATTCAAAATTCTAACATGCTATCGTCTAATTTCTAACCTCCGTTCATGTAATTTCTAACCTTAATTCACGTAATTTCTAACTTCAATTCGTGTAATTTCTAAATTAAGACAATGTATAATCCAACTTCTTTATTTGTTCAGTGTAAATTTTAATTCTATTTCATCTTATTTCTATTATTTAGACGAAAAACGTCTTCTTCATTGATGCTTTACACGTTTATAATTTGGTGTCGCCACTGCGTGCTCATTTGGTGATTGCGCACCTGGTAGGGACTATTATGTTTATATAAACGACTCGCTCTTCGCCTGTTTGGTGGTTGGGCGGAGTGTTGAGAGAGAGAGAGAGAGAGAGAGAGGGAGGGATAGAGGGCGGGGGGTGTAACGGCCACTCGGCACAAACTAGGTCATTTCTGGACTAACATATGGTTCAATTAATTTCAACAATTCGCTTGCGCGTAGGGATCTTTAAAATTTAAAATTTACACTGAACAAAAAAAGAAGTTGGATTATGGGAGGACCCGGAGAAAACCCACGAGGTTGGAAGGGGACCCTACTCCTTGTCACGTACAACCAGAGAATCGATGGTGAAATTGAAAACAACATCGAACGTGAAATGGTTGGTAAATACTACTTCAAATAAAAGCCAAACAGCATTTTTTTTTTTCAATTTTCTTGAAGACAGTTAAGCCATCAATAATATTTATTTACTGTTAATCTGTATTACTAGGGATGAAACGGCCTTTAAAGGAGACTGGGATAATCTGTTCATGTGGAAAGCGATGAAGTTTTTATTTCTGATTCCTTCATTACACCGACCTGACTAACTTTATGGTAGTTTTTTTCCAAAAATATTTTATTCAAGTTGCATAAAGCAATACCGAAATTCATAGATAGCGGTTTATTGTCCTACTTTTCTACACCATCCAGGCTAATGAAGACGAACTTACGGTGTGCCATGAGTGAAATTTAGCCCGGACAGCGGCGCAACGGTCTACTTTTATTACGAATAACAGCTGCAACGGTTTTCGTCCGACCCGAACTACTAGACACTGTATATGTCTACTATAACGGCAACCTCCGCAAATCACAAGGACGGAACTAATAATGTCAGAAATATTATAAAGCGTAGTTTTGCCAGTGTGTATACTAGCTGACGATGTTATATAACCCATAGACATATATTTTTTTTATGATATAACTGATATATTCCGGAGTGGTTCTCCCTCCCTTGTTATTGATACAAGACGAGGGTCTGGCACGGACAATGGCTAGTCGTTCGGGTAGTATAAAGAGATATTTTTAGAGCATTAAAAGAATAATTTATAGATCCACAGTATATAAATAGTAATTGGCTTAACTGTAAAATAAAAATAAAATAAAATTCTCCAAATCCTGCACTTGTCTTTAAAAAATATTAACAAATACTGTTTAGCTTATATTTAAAACAGTATTTGCAAACCATATCACGTTCGATGTTGTTTTCAATTTTTACACTCCGCCAAACCATTCAACCTGACGAAGAGCGAGTCGTTTGTGGCAACATAATGATCCCGCTCAGTGCTCAATCGCCAAATTGAGCACACGGTGGCGACACCAAACGACGTCATAATGATGGTTGCTAGGTAGAGGTATCAAAATTCTAAATTTGCTCGACGTTCATGATTAACATGTAAAGTGACAATGAAGTAGACATTTTTCGTCTTAATAATAGAAATAAGACGAAACAGAATTAAAATTTACACTGAACAAAAAAAGAAGTTGGATTATACATTGTCTTAATTTAGAAATTACATGAATTGAAGTTAGAAATTACATGAATTAAGGTTAGAAATAACATGAACGGAGGTTAGAAATTAGACGATAGCATGTTAGAATTTTGAATCTAATATACCGCCATACAAAATACCTTTAAATTGGACTGTGATCATTATAACTTTCTTATGTCATTTTCATTGACTTATTTACGGCGGACAGATGTCTTTTCAACCACTGATCCAGTGCATCAGTCGGTCACACATACAAATTATAAATGGCATGAACATATCCAGCCTGACTCGGCCTACTTTGTTGTTGGAGAAAAATAACTACATAGGCCGGGCCTACCCTCCAAAACACCAATGGCCCTAAACCTTACCCTGACGTTTACAAGCTTAGTAAACGATAGAACCCATGGACAAGGGCGACGTAAATATATTCCTAAACAAAACGTGGGGGCATCAATTTGATTCTAATTGGCAATGACACTACGCATTCTGGAAAATCGAATTCGAATTCCAAATAATGCACAACAAACGCACACATACACAACCCTGGTGATTTTGAGATTAAATGGTTATCTATTGGGGGTCTTTATTGGGTACAGGGTGGAAACCCGAGATGCCAGAGACAGAAGGACAAGGTGCACGCATGGGACCGAACCACAGCCCATGACTCCGACCAACCACCAAAATCGATATAAAAAAAAGACTTACGGCTGTATTTCTACAGTTATATTTAACTGGTTGATAACAGTGCGTTGAAATATCTATTAGAGCTTGTATCTGTGGATCTGTCAGTCCTTTATAGGTTACATCAATAGATGCACCATCATATGGAAGATAAATTGTGGGATCTATTCCTAAATTCAGAACTGCAGTCCCTGAAATTAGAAATCAAGTCGTCTATATGGAAAATGCTATCCACGAATGGGTAACAATTGCGAAAATCTGGACGGAGTACTATATTATGGAATACCTAACAGCTCATGTAATCATGAATATGCCAGTAAAATATCTAGTACTCGTTACATGATAACTGGAATTTCGTATTAAGACGCGTATTTTGACTTTAAAAATACCCCCCCCCCCCCGCCGCTCCTCTTCACTAAATAGAGTTCAGACGATCCAAATTATATCTGCTTTAACAAGGTACGTAAATATGAATATGTCAGAAAATATTTTGCAATTTTGGAAATGTATTTAGACCTTTTGAATGGTATACATCTCGATATCTTGTATTTCGTGTTATGGTCCATATTTACGATACCCCCCCCCCCTCCCCGCACCTCCTCTTTTAGTACAGGTTAGTGCCATTCAGATTTGTTTTTCTTCAAGAAATGTAAATATCTTATTTGCCAGAAAATGATTTACATTTTGTAGAAAGCAACAAAGCAATAAACATACTTTCAAGAAGTATATAATCAGATATCGAGAATTTTCTATTAAGATCGGTCTTTTGACTTTAAATACCCCCCCCCCCCTGCCTACCCCCACTTAATAAAGTTTAGTACCGTGAAACTTTGATTTTTTTTTCAAGGTATGTAAATATAAATGTACCGGAAAATAACTTGAAAAGTTGTACGGTATTAAACTCTATTAAGTGATGGGGAAATGTCAAAATACGATTTTCCAGATATGACACAAAATACCACTGAAAAGAATCTACACAGCTTGAACAGAGTATTACAATCTTTGATACAGTCCTTTCATTAGCACAATGTGGGTCTTGCACAATCAGGCAACGGCATGATTTCGACCATATGGGCGGTAAAATCTGATTAAGAAAACATTACGATAAAACGATATAAATCAAAACGAAGTGGTAATAACGAACGTAAAGACATACCATGACCAGGGTTGATTTCCATATTACAATAAACAAAGAATGGTTTCACTGTAGGATATTTTGGACTGATTAGAACTTCTCCAGTCATATAATTACGTCTCTTGGCATCCTCACAATCAACTGGTATATCTGAAGACAAAAACATTACTCAACATTTTACCTCGGTTTCTTAGAAGTAATATATATTTTAAGATTGAAAATCATTTTTAAGAAGGTCATTATCTGTTATTATTCCCTTATAATACCTTGCGGTTTTTCCTCACACCGAACCGGAGAAACTGTTACAGTAGCAGTTGCAGTCGCGTCTAGTTGGCCACCAGCCTCTACTATAGTTATTGGTAAAAGATCTTTGTCCGTGATTGTTCCATTGTCTTTTTTCGGTGTGGGAAGCTGTTCATCACACCGGCAATTATAGGTTCCGCAAGTTCCCAACTGTCTACATGGACATTCGGTAGTGTTTGTATCGTAAGCATCCCCAAAAGATGGCGATACAAAACCATCGTACAATTGATACTGGGTGGTATTACTGATTGGTGATTTGTTACATTCGTACAGGATACCCTGAAATAGAAGAAATACTGAAATTTGATGAAATTAATTAGAATATTTGAACCTTTGAGTCTAATTTGGAAAATAAATGTTTGTATTCCAATTTTTGCGGTTTATTATATTACTGCACCAAAGATTGTAACCCGTCATTGGAGGAATCAGATCAATATCCGCAAACATAAATTGCAAATAGTATCGGTTTTATAATTGATACATGTTTTGTTACCTGGTAACAGAATGGTGCCTGTCTTGCCAATGTGTTAATTTGTTCTGGTGTAGCACCCTTATATTCAAATACCAGATCATTTTGATAAGGTGAAGATGGCCCTGCGGACGTCTGCCTTGGATTTCCCTCCACAAGCACCTTGAATTTAGAAACCACAATAAATTTTAATGTAAATAAGTTTAGTTATATATCTTGTGCGAAAAATGCAGAATATGTTTAGTTGTCCAAGATAATCAAGAAGATGTTACCCATCTCGCCCACTTTCCCAAGCAATAATAGACCCCATGAGGAAACCAATCATTAAATATCCACAAAGATAACAAAGGTCACAAAGTAGTATTGGCGTGCAACGTTTAAAATGTGCATTAATTAATAGCATAGATATATAAATTATCTTATATTTACTTCAGTGATGGCGTTTTCGTTAACAGGGTCGAAGAAACACACAACAATAAATGGATCTACGCCATCTGGACCATCAGGATCAATAACATAGGTTCTGTTGCTGTATGCTGTCTTAGTATTACCACTTGTCAGGATGTCATAACAATCTGGTCTTAGTTCTACAATAAAATGCAAAATGTTTCCGCAGAAATTACTACAACAATGCAATCTGTCAGGCGTTTGTTTTCATGGCTTTGTATAGGAAGTTACTATTTCTGATAAGTAACCCGCAGTTGAGTAATGGGAGAGTAGTATTTGTTTATATAGTTTAACAAAAGGTTTCTAATAAATTTTGTGATCTTTATAATAACATATTTATCACTACAAAATATGTCTGCCATGGGTCCAATAATTTCGTCGACATCGATAAAATTTGAACAAATGCTTGGAAAATGATGAAATCCTTCCAATTTTCTTTCTTCCATGGCTATTCATTAGGAAATTATTATTGAGCAATGGGTACTTGATGAATAGACTCACCGTAACATTTTACTGGCTCTATTCTAAGAATTCTTTCTGTGGGGCTAGCACCTAGCACTACCTTAGAGATGGGCAGTTTAGATTTATCACCCAATATTCCACCATCCGTCTGATTTCCAGGTGAATTGCAATTACAATTGGTTCCATCTCCCTCACATTTCAAAAGTCCTGTAAACGTTTATGAATAAATACTGTTTAATAATGCATTACAAAATAAACATTGTATGATAATAGTATGACCATAGATGCCTAAGGAAAGGGGACAAATGTTAAACTTGTTATAGCCTAAAGGTCAACACACAAGGGAGACAATTCTGTGATGTTTGGTTTTAGATATGCTCACTATACTACTGAAATTTTCTTTAAAATAAGTTTAAAGGCCTAGGCAAACTTTAATACACGAAACCAACCCACTCACATAAAACTTACATGGTATTTAATGACAGTGGTTAATTTTACGTGAATATACGTGAACAAAAGCCCATCCATATTGATTTGGTTATTATTTGGAATAACGCTTTTGGGTCCACAGCAGTACGCATTTGAATACGTTTCATTTTTAATTGGATGGGAATGGTCCGAAAGCCACATTTCATTCCTTTATGCATAATTACAAGTACTATTCCTCGGAATGCTAAGTTTGCCAAAATATACTTACTGCCAATGTTTCCACCCCAATCATCTTGTGGTGTTCCATCTCTAGCATACCACCCATTATTTCCAACTAAATTGAGACTACCGAGACTACCATCATTACATGTGATATAGATCTCTTGTATACAGTAATAAGCATTATCTATCATTTTTTCTATGCCCTCTCTGGTGTGGTAAAAATATTCTATTGTCTGATCGAAGGCCGTGTTTGCAGGAATATTAAAAGTTGTTTCCCTTGCACGTATTTCCTATCAATTGGGAAAAACATCCACATGCTTAAATCATTCAATCACGGAAATATATTAAAAAGTTCTGAATATAAAGGTAATATTTTAGAATAAAATCTTATCTGAAATGATGATATAAACATAATAAATAGAATTGTAAGTGTAAGGGCTTCTTCTTTCTATTTTTATAGTTATTTCAGTAAAAACCAGAAATCAAATGGGGTTTAACGTCCTACTTTGCTGCGCCACCCGGGCTAATGAGGATGGGCAAATGCCATGCAGTGTCTGATGATCGGAATTATTTTGAAATCCGACTGTTAGAGATGCCCGCCAACATGTAAACGTTACATTGTGTTTTCGTCCCACCCTAACGACAAAAATATTACAACATTGATATGTTAAGAATATAATATTCCCGGGTAACAAAATGGAACAGAAATACCTATTATTTAGGTCATTACCTACCATTATACCTATAGCTGGATATGATGTCATATCGCAATATATGGGCGTTTCCGGGAGGCCACCTCCTGGTGTGAGGTAAACGACGCCATCATCTGAACTTATTACTCTTTGATCTTGACAATGAGTTTCAACGCCTATAAACAACAAATATTATATCATTGCAGGTGCGGAACCATAAAATATTTTTGTAAAACAACACTTTTATGAGAAAAGTGTCACGGTCGTGTGCTTTATCCTTTATCGTCAGATGGTGGGATGGGGTGGGCATTCAAAGCGCCAGATAATGATATAGGTTTATGTGATATCACAATTAATGTTTTGCATCAATGAAATTGAATCACAATGTCATCGTATTAATTCATAATTTGATTTCTCTCTTTTAAATGCAGGACGGAGGGCCTGACAAGGACAGCTGTCTAGTCATTCGGATGAGACGAAAAACCGAGGTCCCGTGTACACATTGGCGTGCACGTAAAAGATCCCTTGACAGTTGGAATTCGATATAAGAGTAGGCCGTAGTGCCGCTGTCCGGGCAAAATTGCCCTCATAGCACACTGTATGGCGTATGCCAGTCTTCATTAGCCCAGTTCGGAGCAAAACAGTAGGACGTTAAACCCCATTTCATTTCATTTCATTTCTCTCTTTTAAAACCTCAGTGTGTATGTATATATACGCCAAAATGACGATAGAGACCATGTATTTCTGAAAAATGTTCAAGGCCGGGGGGGGGGGGGTGAACCCCACTGGACCCCCTCCCTAAAGTTACATTGTCTCATGTACCAGGCAAACCCCCTCCTGCAAAAATTCCTGGATCCGCCCTTGCATTGATAATGTTTGTACGCGATGGTGTGGTTTGATAACGTCTATATTTTGCATTGGATCGTTTCTACCCTATAATTAAAGTGAGTAATCGTTCACGGTTTTTGACAGCTGAAAGGGCGGGGGGGGGGCTGAATGGGTGCTACGGGCTTGATACCGTTTATGATGAGAATTGCAGATGTTCCTGGCAGATATATATTCTCAGTCGAGTATATTATTTCCAGTACATCGTTTAATATTTAGGATAAAATATACTGTAGCAACTGAGGCATTTTTGGACATCCAAAAATTCGTTAAAAATGCAATAGGATCTCAACTGTCGAAGCCATTAAATATGACGCCCATTAGTGCTTGACTATTGGGGATTATGGATTAGGTATGGTTAATTTCTAAAGACTCTTACCAAAGGTTTCCCCGGAACAAGTCAAACTACCAACTTTGAGACCACTAGAGCCACCTCCGGCATCTATACTCAAACATACTTCACAGACCGGTAAACGTGTAATATTATAGATATTACCGCCTTCTGTTCTCTCGGTTCCATCAACTGTGTCACAATCACAGTTAGCTGTTGGTCCACCTACACATGTCCCCGTCATACCACAAGCACACATATCATGTCCACCACTTAAAGACCAACCTACAATAATGGTGAAATATGCAAAACATTAATAACACTCCTTCGTAAATTTGCTGATTATTAACATTTGTCGAATATTGTGCGATCAGGTCATCAACATTACTGGATTTCAGATTTAAACTTGATGGTACGCAGGGTATAGAGTAATAGATAGCCTCATTTGCAGCAACAGCCGGTAAAGGAGTGATTTGGTGGACTCTGTGGATTAATATAAAATTAGGATTTGGACTTCATTAAATTCTTAAATCTTTTGGAGGCCCAGAGGGTGTGTTTTGGCATAATCTCCTCTATTGCCCCGGGCACAATAGACGAACTTGAATTCTGGTTTCTTTGGTAGTGGAGGTTTTTGGAAAGATGATCCTATCGGCCCGGGGCAAACAACGGGAACGGTCTTTGGGTTTTCCGTATTTGCAAACGAAGTTGCGTATACGGGCGAAGGTGTGGCAAGCTCAACCAATTTCTGCGCCTCCGGGTAAGCCATATTTTTTCTCTGTTTATCTGTTGCACCTGTTTCTCATTTCTACGCAAAGGACACTCTTGAATATACACGGTGGCCCATTGGTGCCATTCCTTAATTTATACACTATTCTAGTAATTTGCCTCATATTATGAGAACGATTCACTCTGCAATACAATGAACGAGTGTTTCGCTATGAAAACAATTGTAAATCAAAAAACATAAAAAAAAACTTTTCTTCCACCGCGGTAGAAACCTTTTCTTCGCATAAATTAACGAACATCAATGATCCACGGTATTGGTACCATTGATCTATATTTAACTCATTTATCATGGTCTATCAATAGTTAGACAAATAGCACGAAAGACGGACGGATGAGCGGACAACTCGAAACTCCTCATGGTAACAGGTGGTATAAAATTATATTTACCCAACTGTGCTCTTCCATCACATGTTGTATAATTAACATGACCGGTCCAAGGTGCATTATTACATGTATATTGTAAATTTTGTCTACAAAATTGAGACGCCTTTACCAGTGACTATTATGGAAATAAAAATAAACATTATAAATTTATAGATTTTATATTTCAGAAACTTATCAAACTAATAAATGAAACGGCCTAACGTAAAATGACGTCAAGGGGGAGGGGGGAGAGAGAAATGGGGTTTAACGTTCACTCGACACAAACTAAGTCACTTCGGGACTAACATGGTTTTTAATTTTATTTCAATAATTCTCTTGCGCGTAGGGGTCTTTAGCTGTGGGAGGAAACCGGGGACCCGGAGAAAACCCACGAGGTTGGACAGGCGACCCGATTCCTTGTCACGTACAACCGGGGATATGTCGTCAAGGTACCTTTACATGTTAAGTGTCTACAGAAGAGAGAGTGTTATGAAATGCCAGATTATTTGGGTTTTTTTTTACATTTTAGAAACTTACGAAACGATTATATGAAATGACACTGGACAGAGTTCCCTTTTTGTCAGTTATGTATGTAGTTCGATTGATATTTGAATGGTCACAATAGATAAACAAAATCAATAATTATTTTTAGTTTTAACAATGACTTACTGCCGCTTGTGAATTGGTGATGGTATTATTACTGTGATCCAAATACACAACATCGTGACATACAGAACTTCCTGGGGTAGGTCCAGTATACATTTCTGAAAGGTTAACGTTACCCGTCCATGAAAGATAATGCATTGTTTAAGAGTAGCGGTTATAATTATGCCAGACATTAAATTGTTGGGGTTAACATGTCTAAAACATAATATAATGACATTACAGATTTAAGAAATAATAATAAAGCTACCATTTTCATGTAATTGTCTAAATTAATGTATGTATTTGTAATATATACAAGATAACAAGATAAAATATGCATAAAGTCGTGAATACACTATCAACTTTTCGGTAATATATTGATCAACATTTCGTCAACATATCTGGTCAACATAAATTTGACTTTATATACACTGATCAACTTTTCCGTAACATTTTTGGCAAAATTTGTTTGTGTCCACAACATGTCTGCCATTCTGTCTCTGTCGCTGATTTTAAAGCTGATTGGTTTACGTTCATCAAATTCTCATCAATACGGCAACAGGAATTGTATTCGCATTCTTTCGGCAACATGTTGGCCGGTATGTTAACGAACTTTTTCAAATGTTGATAAACATGTTACCGAAATGTTGAAAGTATACATGCTGGTTTAAAGATGATACATTAAGCTAGGTTGATAAATTAGATAAATATTCTTACCATTTTCAATACCAATCCTAGTAAAGGGAAATTCACAGGTAACAGTAAATGGTGGATCACCGCCGGATCTATCAGGATCGATGGTGTATTTACCATTTTGAATAGGAGCTTCTCCAATTCTCGCTTCCTCTTGTAGGTATACGAATAGATCGTAACACGTTGTAAATGTTTCTGTTTGTTAGAAATAAATGCAGTTTGTTTTATTAACAATGAGTTATGTTCACTTGTTTCCTGTTGATATTTTCGTAGGGCAGCGCGTTGGGGGGATTATGTGAGACAGTAAGCGGGCTATGACATTGATATTACTCTGTTAGTCATGAACAACTGGAATGGGGTGGGGGTGCAAGATACAGATTTTGCTTATTCTTTACTATTACTACTAACGGAACAACCCCAAGTAATTAAAAGACTCTTGCAAGAGTTATCGAGACCTTGTTAATGTTGCTCCAAACAGAGTGTTTTCTTGCCTAGATATGGTGCCTATTTGTTTTGCTTACTCCTTAATCATAGGGTAAACCATCTCCAATTCGGCTAGGTAAGTGTATAATCATCCTATTTAATACTTGAAAATGGAATGTAATGGAAATGAAATCAGATTTAACGTCTTATTGTTCTGCACCGACTGGGCTTATGAAGACGGGTGTAAGCCATACAGTGTGCCCTCCTGGGCAGCGGCAATATGGTCTACTCCTATGTCGAATTCCAACTGTCAAGGGTTCTTTTATGACATGCCAATGTGTATACGGGACATCGTCTCATCCGAACGACTATACGCTGTATCTTGCCAGTCCCTCCACCCTCACCACTGACAAGGGTGGGGAGGGGGATGAACTCACGAGTCATCGTATAATTCACCGAGCCACCGTGGAGGGTTTATTAAATGATATTGATAATGTTGTAAAACTACTCACCAAAACACTTCAATGGGCCGAGGGTAAATGTTAATGAACCGGCAGGGTATTGTGATACAACTGCAGAAAAATCTAATTTAGCAACAGGGAGGTGAGTAATGTTACCAAGTTCATTAACGTCTGTCCTAGAACATCATTAATTAATTATATAATAACAACATTTTACAGATAGTATCAGCCACTAAATAAAACCAATAAATAAAAGAATGTGGAGCCATGTGGCAAACAACAAACATCAACATGTGGCTGTCATTTTAAAGTGGCATTTTGTATATACTGTACAAGATCTTTTTTACGAAAAACACCAACATATGATTGTTATCTTAAAGTGGCATATTATATATACAAGACCCTTATTTATGTATACCCTATTGTAATGTCTCCTTCATATGTAAATAATCTTTATTAAATCAACCTGTCCATACTATCATATACATTGTATTGGACGTTAAAATTATAATTCAACATCAACAACAACAAAGTTGAGCATACATAATTGCAATATGTAATTTAATACCACGTATCCCGAACATGCCTTTCCGATTCTCCGAACTATTGCAGACTCGAAGATTTTTGTTTTACTTACCCATTAAACCAGTTGTTATATAGTACACCGTTAATTTAATCTTTCGGGAACATGACTACTTAACATGTTTGAGACAATCATTATAGTAGTAAAAAAAAATATAGATGACATTTTTCCGAACTTACGTGTTTGAACCAGAATCACAGTTACAGACGGTTCCATCGATACAATCAATTGTATTATCTATATTACAAGCACAGCCAAAATCACCTTCAGCACCACCAGATAAATAGGTAAATTCCTGATCATCAACACTAAACCATTTGACTTGAAGTCCAGCTAAAGATTTAGGACAAAATGTTAAACAAAAAAACTATTAGCAGGGAAGGGGCCCTACCAATCATTGACAAGACCCGCCCAAAAGGTATTCCAATATGTGACCCACAGGAAAATATATGTTAAATCTTTGATGCGGTATGCATATATCACTCTATGAAATATACTGTGTGCTACTTTGGGCGCTCTTGTCACTAATGAGTAGGATCGGGGTTATAGATAAGTCTGTCAATTTTGTTATATCATTTAAAGTTTTCATATAATTCGTAGAATGTGTATGTATTTATAAAGCACATCTTTCCTTTGAGTGCAGTTGACAAAAGAAACCCTCTTGTCGGTGATTAGTAGGACCAGCAGGCAAGGGAAACAACAGTTCCATATTTGTAGATTAAACATTATGGTAGGTTGCCACTTTCACGATTCGCGTACGATTGAAATCGTGGTTTTAATCGTGGAATAATCGTGGCGATCCTATCAGTTCTTATTATATATTGTGGTCAGTTGTAGCAAACGTGGTGATCGCATCGAAAGGTATTTCGAAAGTATCTGTACGTACTAGATCCTTGACTCAATAGGGAAGTCCTGGTGGGAACATAGCATAAGGTGGAAACACCGTAATCAGACCACTCCTCACATTGTACACGTAATCATAGAAAAAAAACCTACTCTATTTAACTAATTTAACGTTAATTTAAAACCCCTTATAACAATAAATACCCTTGATATCAATAAATTCTATAACCTACAATATTTTAAAATATTCTAAATACTATTCAAAAACGCATTTTTAATGTCTGATTTTTGTTTAATCGTTATTATATAGACTGTGACTTATGATTTGACGTAAAGTGTCTTTTACATCGTGCATGTATTAGTCGTACATATTTTTAGTGGTTCAATGAGCGTAACAAAGACTCGTGTAAATCAGTGTTTTCTATGTAGGCCAGTACTTCTGTAATTATGAGAGTCTGTGGAGGTATATTATGGGAATGATAATATTGAAAATTAATTATTGGGGAGAACAAGAAAGCTTCTTTCACGGATCTATTCCAATGCATAAAACTATTTAATTATGTGTGAAAGGCTCAAAGAAGCCTTTATTCTACTTCCGAGCGACCATCTGGTGGTTAGTTTTCAATCAATGAAATACCAACGCCCAGGCAAAGATGGGGATGTGACTAGCAATAACTCCCGCCAACGTCCTAGAGTATGGCTCTGTCTCAGTTTGTGATGATTTTCTTTGATGTTTTGGGTGTATATATACATGTATATTCCACACTATTAGTTCTATATGTACAAGGCGGTCAGAAGATTTAAATTCAACAGAACCGGGAAATTATTCGTATCTTGCAATTTCATATTAAAAAATTATCAACTAGCGGTTGACCCGGCATTGCCCGGGTAGAGCCCTTGACAGGAGGTGGGAAACAAAACTCGTCGACTCCAGAGCCGTTTCTAGAGCCGTATATGACTTGCTCGAGCTACACTTAGCATTACCGACAACAAATGAAATGGAATGAGGTTTAACGTTCCACTGTTCTGCTCTACGCGGGCTAATGAAGACAGAGCCGACCACAGAGAAACAGACAGACAAACGACAGCCGCATATACATAGCTTATTTATTTGCAGAACCTTGCCATCAAAATTATTTAAAGAATCTTACCACTATGTATTTTGAAATTATTGCAGTGGAATATTAATGACTGTCCACAAAACGTTGATCGATATCTAAGATGTTTCATTTGCTCCTTATCTACAATATTCTTGTAGTCAATCTCATATACGAAATTTGAACTAGTTACTTCCGTCTGAAAAAAAAAGTATAAAAATGATACAAAATATGCAACTGACCAAATCTGGGTAACGACTTTTTACTCATACTTTGAAATTAGTGACTGGCAGTTCCCATTCCCAGACTTTTCTTAGAATAGAGCAGTTGGTTATTTTGCACAGCTACCCACTGTTACCTTATATTTTGGTCTTATGGAAGGTTAAAGAACTCAGAGTGTGTAATAAAAAAAAACTAACAACATATAACGCGAATGTTAAAGGACCCAGACAGCGTGATAAAAACATATAACGCGAATGTTAAAGGATCCAGACAGCGTGATAAAAAACAAACATATAACGCGAATGTTAAAGGTCCCATGCAGCGTGATAATATACATGTAACGCGAATGTTAAAGATCTCAGACAGCGTGATAAAATACAAATAACGTACATGTTAAAGGTCTCAGGCAGCGTGATAAAATACATATAACATGAATGTTATTTTTAAAGGTCTCAGGCAGCGTGATAAAATACATATAACATGAATTTTATTGTTAAAGGTCTCAGACAGCGTGATAAAATACATATAACGCGAATGTTAAAAAGGTCTCAGACAGCCTGATAAAATACATATAACGCGAATGTTAAGAATAGCTGCTATGAAAAGAATAGATATTTTCATTGACGACCAATACAGATGTATTTTAGCCATCAATAAAAATATTTTGGAGATCTCAATAGCACTTTCAAAATGAAGACTGTTATCTGTTTATAGTAATTTAGGTCTTCATAGTTTCAAAAAAATATAGAAGGACCGTGTGTCCAGTAGCCATTCCTTTGACTTTGCCTAAGTTGTATTTTGTTTTACTCCGTCAGCGGTTACATGGACTTCATGCAATTGTGGGCATCTGAGCACCCCCACCCCACCATAGGCAAAACAAGAAAGTTCTTGAAGCCGCTGTGTATACATTACCCTGTCTTCTAATTCGTGATGTATTATGGTAATTCCCTGTGGTGGTACCAAATTAAATTGACACTCAACTGGATATGCCTCAAGATTAACTGGAAAAAAGTTACAATTCTAATAAATAATTTGTGATATGTGTGGCTTTTTCGGTAAAGTAGCAATGCCTGTATTCTTTTCGAACTTTAGAACATTTTGTACTTCAAATTACATAGATATTTTGAAATGGCGAGTCTGTCTTGAAATTGAAACCAGTACAATCTTGCAGTAGACATCAAAAGGTTTGGACAAGTTTTAATAATGACGCAAGGAATTTTGAACTACTGAAAATCTGGAAAAAAAGGTTCTGCTAGTATCCCCAATTGAACTTGCACATTGTTGTAGAATATATTTCTATAGTGAATACTTAACGGGACTAATGTTACTCTATTACTTACTCTCTGAGGTTTTTGTTGGATCGTACGGCCCATCAGGATCTATGAGATACGTATAAGGCAAACCGACACCTATAGCAAGATATTTTTCACAGTTAGGTTCGATTCCTGAGAAATAAATAAAAAGAAGTTCATTAAGGTGTAAAAAGAAAAGATCAGTGGAATATGGATTTGCTCAGGGGTGCGTAAGAGGGTTAGGTTGCCAAATGGTTCACACGTACACGTTGGATCATAAGATCTTCGTTGAGTCAAGTGGCATAGTTTCGATTCCCGTTTGTATGTGACAAGGAGTAAGGTCACCTTCTAGCGTTGTGGGTTATGTCCGGGTCAACCTACTGTTAAAGAAATAAAATTTAACAATATGTTAGTCCCGAAATGACCCAACTACTACGGACAAGACGCAATACGCAGAAATCACAAACAAACGAACATATCAAATTAAGTGAATGGATGCGGGGACTAACCGTAAGCGCCCTCAAACAAATTGTGGACGGACGTCCGGACTGGCTGGGGCGACGACAATATAGTACGTCCACCTGAAAATATGTCCACCGATAACCAGGCGAAGTAAAGACGAAGATGACCTGATAATCTTATGAAGGACAAAATAGACATACGAATTCGAAACAAAAAGGAATTTTTGCCAGCGCTCAAGAATTTGCTGTCGGAGCCATACGATGGATTACGATGTCCTCATGAATAGCCCGATTTTTTACGATCAGAGCGAATTTGAAAATTTACTCTATCGTGTGTCCATCTGGAGTCTATGGGGTTTAACGTTCACTCGACACAAACCAGGTCATTTCGGGACTAACATATGGTTTAATTTTTTATTTCAATAATTCGCTTGCGCGTAGGGGTCTTTTGCAGTGGGAGCAAACCGGGGGACCCGGAGAAAACCCACGAGGTTGGACAGGCGACCCTACTCCTTGCCATGTACAACCGGGAAATCAAAACCACACCAGTTGACTCAATGACAGACCTTATGATACAGCGCGAACGTGCTAACCATTCGGCCATCCAACCCCCTTTAACTTTATGAAGTCTCGGTTCAAACACATAAATTTATGAACATATTGTTTTACAACTCACCAAATTGCTGAGTACTGCAAATTAACGGTCCAATGTATAGTTTAACATAGGCTGAAGGTTGACTTAAATCTACGTTGAATCCCGTTATTGGTAAATCAAATTTAGTTGTATGATTAGCAATATCATATCTAGTAACATTATCATTCATATCACAATTACAGGTAATATTCTCCAACACACACGATCCTGTTATTCCACATCCACAGTGTTCGGTGATATTCTGGCCACCAGGAAAATAATCTACTCTTTTATTGTCTTTAGTAGCATATACAAATACTTTCTGTTCGCCTTCATAATGAATGGGAGCATTCTGAAATTCAGAAGCAGTAGTCTGTGCAACAAATCGAACATATTAGATTCCTCTGAAATATTACTTCACTTCTTAAGCGGTTGTTAATAAAAAATATTTTAGTACTTTGTCTACAAAAACAGGTCAATTGCCCTTGTGTTTGTGGTAGGCCTTTCGGTATTGAAGATACGACATGAAATGAATAATTTTAAAGTAACATTATGCCAATGACCTCATTTGTCTAGATCTACAAATATGGTCATAGGTTTTGTAACCTTCAAGTGCCATAAGAGACCCACCCTTCACATTTTCACCCCCATTTCAGCTAATTTCTAGTTCAGTGTTAAGGCCAAAACTTACAAATAAATAAGATATTTAATGCAGTCTGACCAATCAAGTACATAGTTAATCGTTACACCATCGCCTAGTTAAGAATGAAATAGGTCGTAATAAGATAAAGGTTATTTAGTGTCATTGAATTATGGAACGTATAAATATAGATTATAAAACCATATCATTTTCCAGACTCTTATTGGTTTATATATAATGTGACATCGACTGCTGGGTTATGAAAAGAAACATTAAAACACAACGTGAAGTCAAAGTGAAATTCACATACTTGACCAGGGCCATAACGCTTCCTAATATCATATAATGGTAATACAATACTATTTTTACATATAATTTTGTGTATATATATATATATATATATATATATATATATATATATATATATATATATATATATGTCAATAATATGGTTTATGCAAATTTCCAGATGATCATAAAACATGACATTGTCAAATAATGTCGATGTTCATTGTACTTACTCTACATTCATATCTGACTTCTTGATCACAGAAATGCGACCCATCTATTATTCCTTGCATTGTTTCTGGGGGTGTCGTGTAGGTTAAATTAATGTTTCCACTTTCTGTCGGAATGATTGCTTTTTGTCTAGAATATTAATGAAAACTTTGATAAAAACTTAGACTGTAGCTCTTTAGGTGAAATTAATCGCCAAATATCAAATTTACCAATTGGCAAACAAAAACAACTTATCAATATTAGTATGCTGAGGACCTTTGGAAGCTAAAGACAATTTTAAAACGTTTATAGTTCAAACAAAATCTGCTTTTTGTGATGGAGTTTAACCAAGCGGAGACTATACGCCTCTTTTAATCAGGCTGTTTCGAACATACTATTATCATACAATGTTTATTTTCAAATGGATTATTAAACGAAACACGTCTTCGTCAGCCAGCCAGGTTGATGTAGAAAAGTGAGATATTAATCTCAATTTATATCTATCCATGATTTATTGTTGGCTTATTATGGAATTTTACTGGTCATTAGATCCCAAAACAAATTTGGGATCGACAAGGATGACCTACTTAATTTTATTTGTAAAGGCCCTGATCCATTAATTGTAATTGTGAATTTACTTTCAAAATTAAATCATAGCTATGACGCCATCTTTTGTATAAATTGACCATTATGTGGAAAAGTATATCATTAACCCCTGAACAAACTCAACACAACTCACTAACTGCCCATTCTTAACCCCTAAATATCCATTCTGAACACCTAATTATCCATTTTACTCTTTAAGAATGGTCAGTTACCTGTTCAGAATAGACAGTTAGTTTGCTATAAAGAGTGGATAGTTTATTCTGATTGAAATAATGTAGTTGTTGTGATCAATTTGTTCATACATTTTATAATAATAACCAAACACATTTACACAGTTTAATGGCGATGGGCCTTCATATAAAATCAAAATTTCAACGAGAAATTTCATTTTAGGCATCAAGCATTTTCTTCATTCCACTGAAAACAGTATCGTTCATTAAAGAGACAAATCGACCATTAGTTCTCCAATTATGGTGGACTGACATACATAACTAGTTCATATTTTGTTTGGTTTGTAAAATCTTCCTCATTCTCATTGTTTACTTCTGCCACAAAATATTCTAACAGTTCATTTAGTTTTTTCTTATTAATATTTAGAATGTCCATATTTTCTTCTTCATTCTTAAGCAATTCCATTTACAAAATAAATTAACTGCCCATCTTGTCTTGTTCCCCGTCTGCTTCGATAATTCTTGGTGAATCAAATTGTTTATATCTTTAGAATTTAATTGTGGGCCATACGTTGGAATTTTTAGATCACAAGTCTTTTCTGTTTTATCATCCTCGCTAGAAATGTCCGAAACCAAGTCACTTTTAATAGTAAAATTCCCAGTGTCAAATTTATCTTCGTTTGGTGGTTGGTTTTCAATAAATTAGACTGGGTTAATAACATATCCTCCTCGCTTGATATGTTTATTTTCTAATAGATTTAAACCTATAGTTGAGTACTAATAAGAACTTGTAATGACTGGGAGTTGGGGTGATTTGGAGTTTGAAAATTTATCACTAATTATGAACTTTCTATTATTGAGACAAAGGAAGGCTATAATTTAAGTACATTCTCCTACATAATGGACAGTTTTCGGATTTTATTCATTACATAATGTGCCTCACAATACTTTTATTCCCTCTATTATTACTAAATAACTATTTATGAAGATCGATTGCTTTGTACCATTATTAAGAATTAAGAATACTTGTGAAAGACCCAATTCCCTAAGCTTTGTACAGATCGCCACATATCATAAACAACACCGAAATCCCATGCAGTTTCCCACGTTGCAAAATGTTAACACACACTATACTAGACACAAACCACTATCTAGTACGTATGCAATTCCATGTATTCAAAATAATCAACAGGTAGACTTTTTATTCTGCAGATTAGATATTTGTAACCCCCGCAAAATAAATCAAACGTAATTGGCATTGTAAAACTGGGAGCCAGCTAATACGGAATTGGAAAGATAAACTTCATTTACTACTGCTATTTTATATGAACTTACTGATCATGGGGAACAACTGTAAGACCAACATGGCCGTATTTTGTCATATCACAGTGAACTAAAGTTGGTTCAAGAGGTCCATCTGGTCCATCTATATCTATAATTTGTGGTCCATTGTCATTTATATGATCATCCTGTTTTATTGCGTCACAGTCCTTCCGTATGTCTAGAAAAAAATAATTATGTTGTTTTTTAATTTAAGAATATTTAAAAAAACAAACTCAAATTTGGCATCAACAGAAAAAAAGATTCATACCTACTAATCACCAACATAAATCGACAAGAACCACACAGAGTGTGTCTGTTGTCAATAACGCCCATAGTGATAGACAAGGAAAGAAACGTTATAGACATGCACATCATATTCAAAATATAAATTTAAATGATTTCACATATTATTGACATAGTTATGGATAATTGACAAAAAAAAAAAAAAAGAAAAATACAAAAAACACAAAACACGCTCTTGTTGGTGTTTAGTAAGTCCCAAAAGGTTTATATTTAATTAGAACCCGTAAAAAATCACACTTCCTTACTCTAATGTCTTGCACTTGTAAGCTGACTAACACGGTAGTGTAGTATAGCTGTGTTGCACTTAATGTTTATTATTCGTGAATTGTACTGCCAAATTAGGTATGGAAACCCGTTTATGCCTTAATAGCTGTATAGTGCTAAATAGTAAATCAAGGTTAGACTTTTATTCAAATATAAATATACAAATGTCTTCTGTTAAGCTAACATACCTATTGGTTTTGGTGCACATTTTATTTCTGATATTTGGTATTGAGCTGATCCAGGGTTAAACGCTACTGTTGTAATCGGCAGCATGGAACGATCAATGATCTTGCCAAAATCAACTCCACTGGAACTCGAAGTGCCTTCACAATTACAAGCAACACCATTTGTACAATACCCAAGGAGACCACAAGGACACTGACAAAATAAAGGTAAGCAGTGTTTTTATATTATTTAAATGTATAAGCTCAGCTGTAGGTAGGTATATATTTATTGATTCTACGTTGTTATCCCTTAAAGATACATTTACAGTACAAGCTGCATAAATTTGATGATATATTTGAACGGAAAACCTATTCAAACTAATTAATGTATCAAAAGTTTGTTTTAAATTCCTCGGGAGATATTTAATTGGAAGAAAACTAGCCCAAACTGTAATGTGCATGTTAAACATTAAGCGTCCTTGTTTGTCACGTGGCGTGAATTAGGGGAGGGTACGTTTCAGGTTGTACACATTGTCGTTATCCTCTGCCAGCTTCTCTTTCCGTCTCTCATTGTTTCCACGACCTCTAGTCATTCGATCAATAAAACCAAGCGCTCCATACGTTATTCAGGCAAACAACAAGAGGCATACTACCCCCTTAGTGATCCCCTTAATTTGCTGTCTCATTGGTGTTTTCCAGGAAACTCGGTGTTTTTCTGGTAAGAATGAGTGTCTCTAGCTATCTTCAATACATACTAAATTTGCCATACCTTTATTGCCAATAGGGGGTCACGGTGGGTAAGTGGGTAAAAGGCTGGCTCGCTAGCCTGGAGATCGGGTGTTCGATCCCTGCATTGGCCGAGAAAGTTCATCCTGATTTTCGGTATGGTTCCCCTTTGTCGGTGATGCAGAACGGAGGGCCTGACAAGGACAGCTCTCTAGTCGCTCGGATGGGATGAAAAACCGTGTACACATTGGCGTGCACGTAAAAGATCCCTCGACAGTTTGAATCTGATATAAAAGTAGGCCGTAGTGCCGCTATCCGGGCGAAATTCCCCTCATAGCACATGGTATGGCATATGACCGTCTTCATTAGCCCAGTTCGGAGCAGAACAATAGGACGTTAAACCCATTTCATTTCATTTCATTTATTGCCAATAACTATATAAATACTTTCGTGTGGATGTATCTTTAACCATGACAATATTGAATTTAGAATACCAATCTTGTTGCTTTAGTCTATGCTATCTATGTATACCAAATAGCAATCATAAGAGCAGTTATGCATTCATAGTTTTACTGAGCTTACCATTTGATCTACTCCTGATCCTCCCCATGAATTGAATACTGTTCCATTAGCATTTGTCCACGCAGCATCTGTTACACCTCCAAATAATTGGTAACCAGCCGAACATGCTACCCTTAAATGAGATATTTACAAAGAAATGGTTATGCTATTACACCTTAAAGATGCATTATGTAAGATTTTGATAAAGAGCTGACAGTTCCCGATACAATAGTTCAAAAAAAGATAATGAAACGAGAATATGTTGAAAATTGCAGTCAAATCACTTCATTCTAAACGGGGTTATCACCGGGTTGAAGAACGATGTAGCCTCGGTTGTCATTGCTAACTAATAATAAGTAAAATCTCGATTATCCATTTTAAAATTATATCAATAACTGCCAATTGTATCTGCTGAAAATCAAAACCAGTCTAAGTTCTATATAATTGATTATGGGCTTGGCTTGTCAACAAATATCTAATTAATGATTTATATAGCATTTGACCCCAAACGAAAACTTTTGCAGGGGTTGATTTAGCTCTTTAATGGACCATTAGGTCGTTTCGGTAGCCCTGCCAGGGGATTTAGTAAAATTCATTTAGGGTTACAAGACCCACCAACCTTCTAAAGTAAATATCTCGTAGATACACTCAACATACTACTGATATGGTAAATATGGTGGCACTGGAGGCGATCACTTACTTTTGTGTTTGGTAACAAAATTCAGAAATATTTACAAGGCCCTGGATATCTTCAGCCCTAGCGTTCTGGTATAATATGGTTTGATCTGCTATATTTACAAGTCCTGTGGTTACTGGAGTTACAATAGTTATACCAATACCGTCTTCAAATACGCACTTTGGCTGAAAATCAATTAATATTGATATATTATTGTGGCGTTAGTTTATGGGTTTCATAACATGATAAAACATTTTCAAGTAATTCGTTGTTAGTTTATTTCGCTAATAACAGGTCGTTTATTAACAAATTATAATGTTTAGAATTTCAGATTTCAATGATGATAATACCTGCATAGTTTTCAATGGACCTGTTCCGTCGGGATCAATTTTAAACGTTTGACCACTCGAAGCCCCGGGATTAGCAATACGTATTTCTTCACAGCTCGCAGGCAGTTCTGTAAATTATATTTATAGAAATTAGTAGACCAATTAGGATTATTCCTCATTTTTTTCTCAAAAGGACAATATATCATTTGTACTACTTTTCTTTTTGAAAGATTTACAGGTTTTGAAATTTCTATTTTTGTTATTGTGCCTAAAGTATTCTATAAACAATTAAGTGCTATTTGTTCAATCGATGCCGTGACCAAGATGATGTTACAGTTATAAAAATTATAAATTATATAAATAGCCTCATTAGCGATATATCATCTTAATTTGTATCAACAGTTACAGCTTTTGATAATCGTCCTCATTATCAACCGTGAGATATTTTTATTTGATAAACAATAAAATGACCCATGCGTGTGACACGAAAAAAGGCAAGCATACATGTACCCTACATTAAATCTTCCGCAATAAATAACAAATCTATCGTCTTACCTGTACATGTTGTTCCATCTCCAGTATATCCATTTGGACAACCACATTCATAAGAGCCAATCGAATTGATGCAATTACCAGGAGGAGCACATTCTATTGTAAGACACTCGTCAGTATCTTAGAATAACAACATAGATATGTCATTAAATGTTAAGCTTATATATGTTTTTACAGGTTTCTGATGTATCTTACCATAGATATGTCATTAAATGTTTAGTTACATATTTACAGGTTTCCAGCGTATCTTTCTTATATAAGATAAATATGCATTGTTTTCCTTTTTGTATATGAATTAATCTACATTTTTAAAAAATTGTACACAAACATTTAGAAAAGGCTGTGGGTAAATATATTATGTATATCATCATGGTAAAAATGCACCATGTCTTTACATCCTAATAAAAAGATTATTATTACATTAAAGGGACAATAACACGCTTGCTGGCTTGAAAGCTCCAGAAAATAAATAATATCTCTATCTAAGTACTAGATGTTTAAGTGTCCTACCTGTTGTGTAAATTATCCATAACATCCTAATTTACTTGTCCAGAGGGTTCGAAAATATTTTTAAATTGAAGTTTCATTTGAAAAGGTTTACGTTAGACGTTTCAAACCATTATGTTGAATTTTTCAAAATTTTTAAATAAGGTGTGTTAAGATGAAATTTGTATCATCAATTAATTGAAATATTCTAAAATAGTACAATTTGTTGACCAGAATAAAGATTGGGACATATTTATGATATTACATGTATTCAGTTACAACAAGAGTGGTATTGAGCCTTTAATGTATATACATTAGGCTTAGATATTGAACTTATTTAAATACAATCACTGTATAATAATTATGGTAGAATACACAGCTTTTACACCCCTTCATAGTGATTATTATTAGATTAACAAACAATCACTGTAATTGTTCATGTTTTGCCAGTTGTACAAATTAAATTTAATGTTATTAGAGCAACTTAAATGACATACCTTCACATAGATCAAAACCATCTCCTGTAAATCCTGTATTACAAACACAATCACTGTTGGTACAATCAGCTAGAGCATGACAATCCTGTTCAACAGTGCATGTTCCTAAAAATAAATGTTTATTATTAGATACAATTATGTTTTAGCCAAGACCGGTATTTACTTTTCTTTCTAGTCCCTACATCATATAGATCTTGGGTGTTATATTTAATATTTCTCAATAGTTATTCTTAGTTATTTTTAAATATGAGGTTTATTCCTTCTGTATTTTTAATTTCTCATTAGCCCAGGTATACCCCCAATTGAATACTCATTATCTAGATTAGATTAAACATTAACTTACGTTTACATTCAGTAAAGCCATCACCAGCAAAACCGGGTTTGCAGTTACACTCATAAGCCGAACCAACATTATTCCTACAGTTAGCATTGGCATGACAGGGACTGGATAAACACTCATTTATATCTACAATTCAAAATATCGTCATCGGGTTGGATAAACATTCATTTATATCTACTATTTAACTCATTAAATCAAATTTCCGTTTATCATCAAAATAATAACAAAAGTTAGGCCATTGATATAATTAGTTAATAATTATGAATAATGCAGTCATTAATATAATGAAGACGGACTATCGACACGCAATTGTGGGGAAAACCGGGCTGGAAAATCCCGAGGAACTTTCTTGACCAACACTGGGAGCGAACCAGAGATCACCTGGCTAGCGAACCAGCGTCTTACTCGCGGATCCCATGAATATAAATAGTTTAATATGAATGGTAAAGCCATTAATAAAAATAATTAATATGAATGATATGAATGGATAATAAATTCATTAATATAAATAGTAAAATATGAATATTCATTATAAGACATATAGAAGTAGATTTCACAAATTTAAAACACTTATATGGATATACTGCTTCTGAATTTATTAGCATGTTAATATTTAAGTAGTAGTTTATCCATGATAAGTATTTTCAATTTTTAGAAATATGATTATTTTAAACCATTTGTTGGCATTTGTTTCTGTCATTTTGTTCTGTTAATAAATCAGAATCATTGTATTTATTACCAGAACATTTTGTTTGTCCATCTCCTCTGTAGAGTGGTTTACATTCACAACTTTTTGAAGGGTTACAAAATCCATCTGTATGACAGTCATCGTTAGTTCCACACGTAGTCGCATCTACATAAATAGAAAATATTGTTAATATGTGCATACCGATAACATCTAGAAATAATATACCGGTTGTCATAAACTGCACTCGACATTCCCCTGTCTTCTTGATCTACAACCCTAAGCAAAAGTTTTGAGAAACGATTATCAAGACGTAAATATGCCTGGAGAGTGAGGAGGGGTGGGACTTTGGGGATACTTTACACTAAAGCAAACATGACACAAGTCCAGATACAAAAGTACAACAAAGCTGTAAGTGTTCTTGAAAAAGTGAGGATTCTATATTTAGCGCGCACCTGGATTTCAGGGGATATTTATTAGCTATTTATTTTATTAGCTATGAAAAATTCTACCTGTAACTGACTTTTTGGAAGGATTTAATATACCTTGCTTCCCCCAAAATAAGATTCCATACTTTTCTCTTATTTTCTGAACATCTGTGCAGCTGGGTTATGATAAAGCGATTGCATATCATTATGACGAAACTGTGGACAAAAATAACATTTACGTACCGGGTTCACAGCCTGTGTGACCGCTTTCTTTTAATCCATCACCAGAAGACCCTTCCTGGCATACACATGTGAACGTAAAAGCAACCGTATCTTCTACACAATCAGCAAGGTCATCACAATAGAAGTAAGCTTCTGAACAGTTTCCAGCTATGGGAGCATGGGCTGAATAAAACAATAGAATCATTAATATAATTATATCATTCAAGAAACAAATTTAGCCTAACTTGATATGCAAGGAATTAGTCTACAGATTATTGATGCAAATGCGTCCATAGTCGATATATTGTGTTTGAGATAAGGATTACTTTCAATAAAAAAAATGTTGTCATTTATTTAGTTACGATAATATAATATAAATCGTTGTTGAAAGTTTCCATTGAGAAAATACCTCTAATTTTGTTTGTCCAATGTTGTTGAAAGTTTCCATTGAGAAAATACCTCTAATTTTGTTTGTCCAATGTATACGAGATTAATATATGTTTAAAACATGTTCTTACTTGCAAATGTTCCAGGAGCCAATATAATAAATACCAGCGACAGTAAGATCATATTGATCTCTTATGATGAGCTGTGAACGCCTGGAACCATACATAATAAAAGGTGTTATAAAAGGTTATTCCGGAGAATATAACGTATATAAAAATGATTTTAAAAACCAATTAAGATATTATCTATGTATTTAATAGATAAACTTAACAGAGCTATTCAATTAATTGACTCTTTCCATCCTTGAACCCTTCCATCTCTCCGCTATTCCGTCTCACACTTTGAAACTCGATAATTCTTTAGCAATGAATTTTGTCAAAACTGAGCATATATCTTTACGATCACAGTCACTCCTCGAATATCGATGCTTAACGTGCATATTTAATTAGTAAACTGTAATCGGATTTGTCGATTCTTTTAAAAACAAATAATATTACTTGTTGTGAATTAATTTGGATACTTTCATTATGACAGTCACTCGCCAAACTCCTACTGACTATGATTAATTTATTGTGTGACTCAATAATTTTATTTCTAATGGCAGGATTTTGGCAAAACTTGAAAGATACCTACATTATCACAGCCACCCGCGCACATATATAATGGAACCTGACAAAAAACCTAATAATTTATTTCCAGTGAAAGGATTTTGATAAAACATTTTAATGTTTTATCAAAATCCTTTCACTGGAAATACCATCTGCGCAAATTTTATATTAGTTTTTCAAATCGCCAGTTACGGATATATCCGCCAATATTTGATGCAGTCGATGCGTAGTCAATTTGATGTGTAGCCGACGAGGATAGATTTGCTTGGGGTGGGGCTGTGGCGATGGAAGTGAGGCCTGGTGAGCGTCTCGATACTCACTGTCGAGAGCGCGGCGCAAGTGTCTGTCTTGGAGTTTGAGAGAGAAGCGGGGAAGAGACGACCGGGCCGGGATTCCTCGGGACTGTGTTGATTCGTGGGTTCGCAGCCGGCCGAACCGCTCACGCTTTAGACCATTCGACCACCCATCCCCTCCCAAAACGAGTCTGATCTCCTACGCTATATATTCAGCAGTATATAATATTACTCATCGCAATGAGAGTAAAATATATTTAAACTATTGACAAAACGTCAAATTATTTAAACAGTTATAACATTCTCCAATCCTATTATCGATGTCCGTTCATAAGATATTGAATTTATAGGTTTATCGATACACTTAGTATAATGTCTGTTTCAAGACGAAGATATATCACATCTGTTACATCATATGGTTTGTGTTTTTGTCAGTTCTAACAGGTTATTGTTGATGATAATCCTGGGTGGGTGGGTTTTTTTTTACTTTAAGTAAGAGAGCTTCTTTTGCATTTTGCCTGGAAAAAATTTCTGGCGGCTTTATCAACGCAAACACGTTAAGAAGGCGTGTTATAATATCATGACGTGATCCGACAATAAACATGCTATCAAAATGGCGGAAATTTCATCTCGGAAGAAATTCTGTCAAGAAAAAGAAGCGAGAAGAAAGTAAATACAAAACATAAAGTGTACTATAAACTGGATTTCGCTTCATCATATCTTAATGGAGCTGAAACATTGGGCTGATATTGCTGTTAGAAATTCAGCGTTTACAATATTGTAGTTGGCATGGGTCAAAATCACACACAGAGAATGTAATCATTTATAAAATTGGAATTACGTACTGATAATTCCCGGATATTTTTTCACCATATTTGGTGCCCTACTCTATAGAATCCATTAATATCACTTGACGGTGAATAAATTCTATTGAATTTATCTTTCATCTTTTCAGCAAAAAAAGGGCTCGGGTGGGGGGGGGGTCTGGTGGTTTAACGTGTGCGCGTTAGATCATAAGATCTGCCATTGAGTCACGTGATAATAAGTAGGTCGCCTGTTCAACCTTGCTGGTTTTCCTCGGGTTCTCCGATATCCTCCCACTACTAAACACCGCTAAGCACAGGTGAATTATTGAAATAAAATTGAACAGAGTCCTCTCCTTCTCTCCCTCAGCGAAATCTCAAATTATTAATATTTAGATCATTATAAAAAAAATTAAGAAGCATTTTTTTAAATTTGAAGTGGTATCAGATGCTCTATACAGAGTAAGAATAGCCGCACGTATACGCATACTTTAGAAAAGATAAGAAAAGTAGAAAAATAATGAAATCAGAAAAAACGTCTTTTATATTATGTTTCTTACACATCTATTTAATAAATTAATAAAAACAAAAAGTGCCGTACTGTATTGTACTTTCATATTTCTCTTGGAATGAGACATACAGCAGGGCCCTTTGAACAGATTCCCTTGGGAACGGGAATTCCAAGACAAGTAGTCGGAAATGTCACTTTTGGGCACATTATCTCCTCCAATATTACATTGAATATAAGTTACTGCCAAAATAACATAAGTAGATGGTAAACTCTTTTGAAAAACGACCTCCTTAAAATTGTGAAGAAAATAATTTAAACCTACCTGAAAAGGCACTCTCTATTTTATAAACCCCTAAGTTTATACAAATTATATGAATATATTTTCCTCTGGCCAATTTATTGGGTCGATACTTGTCAAAATTTGCAGTAGGCTTCCTCCGTGGATGCTTACAATAGCATCATACGGATAACAATAGTCACACGACGCAAAATTGTCCACGTAGGTACCCTAAAAACGTATGTTTGCGTTCATTGGCCATTTCAGAAAAGAAATAATTAGGCTTCGATTATGCAAAACGCTACGTTATTGGTCAATAATATAGATATTCAGGAATTTGTGTTTATCAATTTTAGTTTAAATATCTGTTGCTTTATTATGGTTAGAAAGTTAATTTTAAATCAGAAAAGATTTCAGATGGAAATAGTTTTGAGATAGTTCCTTGAAGGTTATGTAATAATTGGAATGCAATGTTAAATTCAGACAATGGACGCGATTGTCATGGTTGGAGTCTTTGCGTGTCTTTTTTCAGGGATTACACCACCTAATTTGACAATATGTTGCCGTTTTGACGGGAAGAAAATCCCACGCCCTTGTAAGTTATCATAGCGCACTAGAAGTCGAATAGAATTCAAAAATATTATCATTTCGATGAATAGGAAAACATATCTGTATGGAATAAGAGCAGAGCGATAATCCGGTGTTAAATTATTTTATAGTTTGTACATTACAATTAATTGGCTGATTGACAGTATGAATGAGGTATAGACAGTTTTTAATGATTTTCTGTTTAATCGGTATTTTAATGAGCAAAAATGGTAAAGGTGTTTCTACACTTTTTGAGTGATTGAATTTACAAGGGAATCTCATCTGCCGTTAGACTGGAAGATAAGACCAAGATGTTTACGTCAGTTTACGCCTTTAATCTGTACCCTATAGGAAGGTGAGCTAAATAGCACCGTGGGTTAACAGTCATTTTCACAGTCATTTTATATTGGTATCGGTTATGCATAATAGAAAGAGTGCATGTCCGAGAATGGGGCCCTGTGGGATATCAGCAGTTACACCCTTGATGTTAGAGCAGACACTATTTACTGCCACCATTTGTGGTCTGTTGCACAGATAATTTCAAAACCTTTGAATTAGGTCAACCCTGACTCCAGATGTATCAAGCTTCTGACAGAGTCAACAACTTAACCGTTGTCACAGTAATCCAGTTTTTGAAAACATTTTTTATTGAACGCTACTTAGTAAAATGTAGATCCCGTGACAAATTGAATTATTATAACAAATTTCCATACGAGTTGCAATATTTCGAACCATTACAATGAAATGAAATGGGGTTTAACGTTCTACTGTACAGCCGTAGAAAGGCTACGACTAAATGCCATTAGATATCACATTTGAATTCACGTCATGATCGACAGAACTATATTTCAATTTTATTACAGATTGTAAAATTGATTAGAACCAAAAGTATAAATCTGTCCCTGGCACTAATGATGACTATTTATAGGTGTATTGTTAGTGAATGCATATTTTGATAAACCATCAATGTACAATCACCTACCTATTATTTAAGAACATGTTTTTAGTCCATTTATTTTGTTCGTATATTTTACTTGGCGTTCAAACGAGTGTAATCCTGAAACCGTGTATCATAAATATGACTTGTGGGTATGTAAGACACAATTAATTATACCTGGTTGCTTTCCTTTGGTTTTGTTATTTATGATCTTTACAGATTTAATCCCACAACACACCTTTATGGGCATGGAAAACCAAACAGCTCTTTATTCAGAGTTCTTAGTCCTTATTTCTTAATTCTTAGTCCTTAATTCTTATTTCTTCGTTTGTTGTCGTATTTCGACATTTGTATACTAAAATTAACATTTTTGTCTGAAAATCAATATTTGTTTTACAAATCAGACATTTGTAATATCAGATTTGTAAAATGTATTTTAATTGTATTTCAATATAAAGATAAAATTTATTTTAGAAAATCAAAAATTAGCCTACATTTACATTTCATCAGAGACTTACAACGAAAAACAAATCTGGAACAACAAATGTCTAATTACAAATCTCCGAATACAAATCTTGCAAAACATTGCTCCAAAACTATCTCTTCAATAACATTTGTCCAAAACATTTCTCGAAAGCCATCGAACAGGCCAACCTCGTGGGTTTTCTCCGGGTCCTCCGGTTTCCTCCCACTGCTAAAGACCCCTATGCGCAAGCGAATTATTGAAATAAAATTAAACCATATGTTAGTCCCGAAATGACCTAGTTGTGTCGAGTGGACGTTAAACCCCATTTCTCTCTCTCTCTCTCCATCGAACAGGAATGTTATGACGACATGAGCGGAAATCAACCTTGCATACAATAAGTCACCAAACAATAAAGGAGAATCGAGCAAGCATATATACAATAAGAAAAATCGCTCAACAAACCGTAGACAACAAAGCACAGACCAACCAGAAAGGCATGCTCGTATTCAATAAAGTTATTGACCATGAAGTAATGCTTTTTTTAGCTAATAAATTATAAAATATTCTATATACAGATGACTCAGAAAAACATCAAACGACAGAGCCATTGTTTATTCGGATGCCCTTCTATTATAGCATGCCCTTCTGGTTGGTCTATGCTGTTTGTTAAGCTGTAAGTGTCCTTTGGCTAATAAACTAGACATTGGAATATGGCCTAATGTGATATCAAACTAATGTGAAAACGGCACCGAAACAGATCATCGTCACCCACTCAAGCCACACCCAGGGGATGGATGCGACAGAAAAACAGGACATTCGCAAGGAAATAATATGATCAGTTTTGTAACAGAATTCGGGGACGGAGTGAGGTCCGGGGGCTGCTGTATTGTTTTTGATTTTATTAATAACCATACAGTAAAGAAATCCATATGGGTAACAAGAAAATGGCATAGAACTTGCCACAATGATGTCAACGTAAAGACTAAATTCCTTTTTAAAGAAACATAGTTAGCTCCCCTTAACTGAGAATTGATGTAATTAACCCTAAAACTATTACACACACCCTTACTGACCCCCAAGTCAAAAGTGTGTGTAGTCTGAATGAATATCTGGAAATAGATGCAGCTAGCTGTCCATAACACTTAAGAATAAAACAAATGAAAAATGGGAAGATAATTCAAAAACTCAACTGTTTGTTTTTAGTTCAACAGCTTATAACTTTTGCACATATCTATTCAGTTTTACGTTTGTGTTATGGTTGATGGAATGTCCCCATCACAACCGATAACCGTTTCTTCCACATCCGTCATATTTATCCGCGAAATCTTATCGTCAAACACACTTACAACATCCAACTTGAACAGATTTACGGTGTTGTACGGACGAGTTTAGGGGTCAATAGCGCGATCTATACCGCGATATTAATACGGTAAACTGTCAACATATAATCCTTGCGATGACTGTAACCACGAAAAGATGATTTTAGCCCCGGAAAGACAATGTCTGCCAAATTAATGGAAGCAACGCTCAATGATGTATGCCATCAGTTCCTTTTAAATACACGCGTTTGCGTTTAAATACTGCTATTCTGAAGCCTTGTCAACATATTTTATTACGCCGTATATGTCGACACGTTCGTAAAATAGGTTGACAAAGCTTCAGAACAGAATACCAGAGTTCATTCAAACGAAATGATCACATATAACAAAATGTGTTGATTCTATTTATTCGGCAAAAATAGCCTTTTTGGGTTTAAAATAATCGGAACGGTCACACTTTGTTGACATACTTTCTTATTAATATCGAGGTATACATTGTATTATTGACTCATATAGGCTTCCATGATTCAGAAAAACATCAAACAACAGAGCCATTGTTTATTCGGATGTATATAATTCATGTGCCACAAAATCAAACAATAATGAATATTCGGAAATAGAGAATTTATTCAATTCAACGGAATATGGAACGCCTAACGCCCGTATAATTTACAAAATATACATAATTTACATTTATTAGGATCCGACAAAATAATTTATTTCTTCTCCTTAATTAGAATTAATTTCAACAATGAATTTATATTTATAGTTTATATTTTATTAAATAAGTTATAATATACTTTTGAGATATATTTATATATATAAATATATATATATATATATACCCATCATCTTTTTATTAAGGGACTGCAAGATCGTTACATTTACAACTGAGTACAGATGAGATCTGAAACGAGAAAACACCACCCTTCATAACTATATATATTATGTTTAAATGTTTTTATATATACTATTCAAAAAAAGTAGGGGATATTTGATTTTGGGGGCATAATACTAAAATATGCAAATGACTACGAAAAAAGTCACTATAGAACCTAACAGAAGAAACATTTCCAGTTACATGTGACGCCCAAACGCACCAATAGCTACCGCATGGAATGCAGGTGATGCTTGGGATCATCATGGGGGTCCAACCCAAGATTTGCACGACTCTGACTTTGAATGTTACAGTCATTGTGGCATTGAATTCCAGGGTGGAAACATCAGTTTAATTGTTTTAGTGACCAGAAAACAAATTTTGATATGCGTCGGCTTACCCAAAATGAAAGGTTACGTGCCCTTGGCATGCTACAGATCGGCACAACACAGGCGGTTGTGGCGCGGACGATGAATGTTTCTCAGTCTGTCATAAGCAGGCTATGGTCCAGATACCGTGATACACAATCTGTACAGGACAGACCACGCTCAGGTCGACCAAGGGCGACAACTCAAGCCCAGGATCGATTTATCCGTACCTTGGCGTTGAGAAATCGTGTCATCACAGCAAATCAGATCAGCGCTCGTCTTCAAACAGACACTGGTGTGAGAGTGAGTGGCCAGACGATTCGGAATCGACTGCATAGGGGTCACCTTCGCGCCCGACGTCCTCGCGTGATCCCTTGTTTGAGAGATCATCACATTCAGGCAAGACGTCGTTGGTGTAGGGATCGTCAACACTGGGATAATCGACGCTGGAGCAATGTGATGTTTTCAGATGAGTCAAGGTTCACTGTTGATTTTTTGGACAGACGTAGGAGGGTGTGGCGTCGTCGAAACGAGCGCTTCCAAGACGTTAACGTCATCAGACATGATCGATTTGGGGGTGGTTCTGTTATGGTGTGGGGAGGCATCACTGTTGCTGGAAGAACGGCTTTACATGTTGTTGCAGGGCGTGTTACAGGCCAGTACTACCGGGACAACATCTTGGCAGTCCATGTTGTGCCGTTCGCACGACGTCATGGCCGCCGTTTCATCTTCCAGGATGACAACGCAAGATGTCACAGGGCCAGGATCGTTACAGGTTACCTCCAACAACAGAACATCACCACATTACCTTGGCCAGCACTGAGTCCCGACCTCTCCCCCATCGAGCATGTCTGGGACATGCTTGGACAGAGGTTACGTCAACGTCAACAACGTCCTGCCAATGTCCAAGAACTTGCTGCTGCGTTGCAACAGGAATGGGACAATCTGGACCAAAATGACCTTAGACGTCTCATTAGGAGTATGCCACGTCGGATCAATGCTTGTTTGGCAAACAGAGGAGGATTTACCCGTTACTGACTTGGTTGTGATGCTGTGGTAACTTTGCTGTTTGACCCCGGGTATCATTTTACCCTTATAATGGTCAGTCTGTGCCTTACTTAGTCTAACGATCATTTGGAATAAATCGATGAATGTGAACTTCATTTCATTTTGTCATTTGTTTCTTCGTCAGTTTCATTAGGTGACTTTAATAACACTTAAAAATCAAATATCCCCTACTTTTTTTGAATAGTATATGTTTATGTTGTTTGTTTTCAGTTTAAGCCTGTGGTGCAAGATGAGTTAGATGGCTCTTCAACTACAAAATGCGATCATACTACATTTTTAAGAGTCAGTACTAAAAATGGTTTCATGGTGAGCAGCTATATTTGGTAACAGGTCTGATTACTCCAAGCCCAATCAGTAAAGAAAGAAATTGACACCAACAACAAACTTACAGAATGCAGTACCTCTTCAAGTATTTATTTTCTTAATAAATATTCGTAATGCTGGTGATTCAGCCGCATACATACACCCACATGAAGTTGGGGATTTTGTTGGATGTCTAATGTCCTTAGCGTGTGTCGTTGATAGAAATGCATGATATCGTCGATTGTCAGCCGTTTGCATTGGATTTCAGATGCGCCATAAATGTATTATTTCATATGTAAAATAAATATTTTCTGAAGGAGTTTGCATTACCGCAGCAAATTGGATTTTTCTCAAATTATAGTTCTACAAACGCTGTGATTCTTCAGAATATGGTAAACGTTACTCCGGTTAATATTCAAGAATTGCTACATTATTAACAATATACCGTCTACATTAGCCCGATTGTTACGGAAAGGTTTGTCGTTAAACGACAAATCATTTCATTTTACCTGTTTGTCAACAGTGGTACTGTTAGTACATGTTAATGTGTAGGCGAGCATCTCAGTTTGGACAGCTTCACAACATTTATCTGGTGATACACCACAACCACCCTCACAAACACCTACAGCAACAGGTGATGCTACCGTACAACCATCTTCAGTAAAATCTTGGAATTTTGTATATAGAGAACAGTTAAGTGGAAGAGCTGAAATGTAATTATATTTGCTTAGATAAGTGAATTGAAATTAATTATTGGGAAAACAACTCTTCAATGGGGATAACAGGGGGCATTCTTCATTTCGACAACCGATTGAATATGTACTTTATCAAAAAAATATAAATGTTTCTTAGTTGACATCATTCCATTATGTTTCAGCCATGCAACCTCCTAAACCCGGAAGTGATATCAGGTGTTACGGAAAAAGTAAGCATACCCCAATACACGACACACGCCAATACATAGGTCTCAATGATTACATTAATATGTTTCTTGTTCATATTTTATCTTTGATGCCAATATTGGATTAATATGGCCATTCCAGTCAAATATATTTAACATACTGAAAGCCATTGAACAAGCTCAGTTTATAAATCAACAATGATGGAATGATAGCCATACCTCCACACGTAGATTCACTAAGTAAATGTGGTTTTCTATTGACTTCACAAGCCTTCTTCTGTAATTCACATGTATTCTTGAAGTTCAACTGCCTGTATCCTATCAGACCACAGACTGGTTCGTCTTCTCTGTGTGAACAATCTGGGCAGATACATGAAGCTGTTGTGTTATCAGCTCCTGGTACACAGATCTGTCCAAAACCTGGACAGCTATAGTTGGCACATGGACCTATAAAACAAGCAAAATTCATATAGTATATGTTTACTTTATAGTCTTTTCGACAACAAGCAGGATTATAGGGTTATTTGAGTATCTGAATTATATTTACCGTTTGTACAATTTCCATAACAAGCTGCTGTTTCTGAGATAGGCGTCAAGATTTTCTCGTAGCTAGTTCTTGCTCTGATTTCTTCTCTACTTCGATTCATAATACCCCTACCACAATCTACACTGCAGTCACCCCATTCTGTCCATGGTCCAACTGGGCTACCTGATGGAAGGAAGCAATGCAAAACAATTACAGGCAAGTTCTGATCCAACCAGGATATCTTCTTAAATGACCATGGCAATGGTTTGTTTTACATTTTTAGGACCCCACCCATTTGATCTGAGTCCAAAATAAATTTCTTGATTTGATTTGTGTGTTGAATTGTTTTGTTGGGTGAGAAATATGCGTCAATAGATAAAGCCAGAGATTGGATATGGCCGATTATTCTCACGACATAGTAAGCCAAACTTGAAACTGAAATTAAGGTAAACACGTGGATTATTTTGCTTAATCTTTGTAGACCACCTCTTAATCATATAGACCGGGTCTATCGCTAGTCCAAAATACACATCACATCATCCCAATTCAGTGCTTGATTTCAGTATATTTAATGTGGGGATTTGAACCTAAAAATCAAATGCCGTTTTTGTCTCCATTTACATCTCCATAGAAACATGTGTAGCACTGCCCGGCTACACATCTTTAGTTTTGGCCTGATCGCCTATGGGTTGACTCTGGCGTGGGTACTGATGTATATCTCCCTTTTAGGATTTTCCTTTTTCTGTTTAAATACGGCTACCCACATCATATTCATGTATGAGGAACAACAATAGGGTTTCTATACGTCTTATGTCAACGGAGTTAAACAATGGTCTACATTACAATACCTTAAATTAACATACTTTTTTGGCTCAACAAAATATGACATGTAAATGACCAACATGTTTAGAAACCTATAGATCATTTAATGTATCAAAATTATCCACATTACTTGGTATATTTCTAGATTATGAATTTTAAGTCGTCAAAGGTCACATTATTGTTACAGCTATAATATTGTTACACATCATCTTGACAGCAAATAAATAACCTTATAACAGTCAGGCTAGAACACTCATATATGATCGAGACTAAACATTGTGTACAGTGCGCTATCGTACTTCCCGTCTGAAGTCAATCAATTGTTACGTATGGTAGCATAATTAATACTAAAGACGGTAGCCGACTAGGACAATGGGATAGCGCCTTTCTTGTTAATCATACTCATGTTAACAATTGCAGGCGAAAACTGGACACCAAAATATATGGAAATGTACGTAAAACATTTTAGATTTTTGTTCGAATGTCGCAAACCGCTCAATGGTTTAAAACTACTCACTTCCTGGACCTTTGTCACAAAGACCGGCATCACTCTGGATGATCGTGGTGGCATCATTTACTTCACACATGATGCGTTTGAATTCACATTCACTGGGAAACATGATAAATCGACTGCTACACACAGGCGCTACAATAAATAAATCACATTTTAAAGGGGTATGGTAACGAAACCTACTTTAAATATCCGACAGATACCTAGTCAAACCGCAGCAACGGAAGCTCTAGAGATGTTAGTGACTTCCGAAGGTTAAATTTAAATAACTTATTGTTTTGATATACGTTTCTGTACACAGATTTAATTTACCATTTGAAGGATTTTAAAAACGTATGTGAATTGTTACCTTCAGTTACTGTGACATCACCTCCTCCACATTTAGGACATTCACATTGAGCTACACCTATTGTGTTATCAACAACACATTTCTCAAATGGTTTCTCACAAGTAACTCCACCACAGGAAGCTACAAATAATGCGAATGGCAGATAATACTAATTAAGAGTATATCAGGGAACAAGTTAATAGTGGATGAAATAGATCTGATATTTTTTTATTTCACTTCTGTTTAAAATGTGGCAATCGTATTTTGCCTGGATCAATTCTTCTTAACCATATTTGAAATTTAATTCATTGGGAATTCTGACATATATCATCGATTACGCCACCAGATTAATAGAAATTGATGATGTTACACTTGTATATGACCTAAAATACTATACCGGAAGTAAGTAGGCCATTTTAATTAGTCTGGATAAACAGACAGTGTGTGGCTGAATTTTAGGTTTTGTGTAAATAATATGACATGCCAAGTTTTTATCATATGAACCAAGGTTATTAATATTTCTGCACTTATTTTAAAACAATCCATTTAATACACTTACGTTTACATTCTCCTTTGTAACTAACATCTACATCAGCTCCTGCTTTACATGCAGCAATTCGAAGAGCTCTTTCATTGTTATAGGTTTTACCATCGTCACCACAAACCTGATATAACATATATACACTTCTATTAGAATCTTAAACGATTTTATATCAATTTATATTAAACTGAAAGTCTTTGCATTGGGCGTAACAATGCAGGTCAGTCCACTTCCTACTAGGATATTAGAAGAGAGAGAACAAGGGGTTGGGGTTTACCTTCCACTCGACACAAAGTTGGTCATCTTGGAAATAGCATATGGTTTTAACAATAGGTGTGCGCGCTGATTCTTAAGAAAACCCACGAGGTTGGACAGGCGATCCTATTTACTGTCACGTACAAGTGGTGAGTTAAACCAGTCGGCCACGCAACCCCCCCTGGAAATCAAATGGAGAACGTAGGTTATTCTGGTACATGCTTAATGGTCTAGGTCTCTAGAGTATCCATTGACTGTGGTACATCCTGGGTGGTCTGATTAGTCATTTGCATGAAAATATACCAGTGCTAAGAAAGTCTGAGTCGGGCAGAGTCATTTAGTAGCTCGTCAGTTGTATGAGTTTAAGTGGAAAACGATCGTTATATTACATACGGAACTATGTCAACATTCGTATTTGATTTATTTACCTTGCCTGGTCTAGAACAAGCTGGTCCAGAGCATGAGCAGCATTTACTTCCGGTTGCAGGAACAGGGGTGCCATCAGCTACAAAAGTAAAAAAAAACTGTCACTTAAACAGAGATTTTGCTGTTTGTATTGCGTAATTTATTTCTATTAAAAAAGATTGAAGAAATATTTTACGGAAACAATTTTATTTCTTTAATATATTGTACTCACGGACACATGTATCTAGAGCATTCTTGGTATAACCTTGACAACATTCACATAAATAGCTACCATGTGTATTGATACATTCACCATGTTCATCACATGTATCAAACCCAGCTTCACATTCGTTGATATCTACATGTATATGAAAAAATTAATATTACAGACTACACACAAGTTAAATCCCCAATAAAGTTATCACAAAAGTCAAGTTATAAAGTCGCCATGGTCGTAACAAGATTTCGTAATAAAGGCGAGAAACTCTGAGGTTATTATCTGAAATTGCTAAAAAAAATTAAATGCATTCTTTTTTCAATAGAATAGATATCAAACGTTATCAAACAAATCGATTTATAATTAAAGCCGCCATGGTGCTAACAAGATTTCGTAACAAAGGGGAACAACTCTTGGGGTTATTAGGACCTATCTAAAATCTCTAAAAATTAAAGCATTCCTTTTTTCAGTAGAATAGACAGACAACCAATATCAATTAAAGAAGAGCGTCGTCTATAATGTTCTAACAAGAAGTAGTAACAAAGGGTTATAACTCTAGAGGCGATTATTAAAAATTGTTGAAAATCAATGACAAACTAATCAATTTTGAAAAGATATGCATTATCGTAACAGCAATAGCCTTGTGTACTAACAAGAAATGCTAATAACAGACGGACGGACGTAAACTTTATAACAATGGGCCATAAATATGAAAGTTGTGATAAAAAAAATCACTGAATATCTATAGGTTTTTCCTTTGAATACGAGAAAAATCGGATACGGATTTTTGGACGAACGGCCATGTTGACGGCAATAAACGACCAAATTAAAACGATTCGTGACATGTTATCGTGTTTTCCAATCAGTGCCATTAGTAATTTGTTATTTTAGAACATTTGAACAGGTGCTGCGCTTTACTCAGTACTCGGTTTGGCTCGGTAGAATGTTCAAATTTAGCGCCGATATGCGTTTGGTGACGAAGTTCGATAAGTAGCTACCCGACTGCGTGTCCGTCACCCCGTTTGGAACATAATATCTTTTTTTTACTCATTATCATTATGCCCAAGAATTGCATTACCATTTACTTGCAAAAATTGCTTATTTTCCAACCAACGACTGAACCAAGTTGGGTACCCCGTTAAACCACACGACACCGAAACTAAAATGTGGACGTTATTGGACAGTAATAATGATAGCGACTTACCACTGCAGTAATTTCCGTATCTGACATATCCGTCTAAACATAGACAATCATATCCACCGATATAATTACTACATCTCTGACCAAGATGAATACAATTATCAGTTTTAGTAGCACATTCGTCAATATCTGTAGAAAACAACACATTATTGTTAATATAGCCAAAACACCAATATTCAATGAAAATTAAGTTGATCACATTTGATAAAAAAAAGCTAGTAAGTATATTTTTGCTATTTACTATGACAGATATTGATCAAAGTATCCAGTACCTACAGACATTATTGTCAAGAATAAATACGATTTCTTATAGGCAATCGCGAATTTTTAATCAACGTATTTCGTCACGAACTTTTCATCGTAGATGGTGGCATGTAGTGGCATTGGTATTCGTATATACGACAATTGGCAGATTGAACAATAAAACTGATGGTGTCCCTCAAAACAGTTTTTGAAACGTACATTCGGAAGCTTAAACTACCATAACAGATAATGTGGGCACCAAACCGATAATCCAAATGGATAAATACAATAACATTGAAGTGGCATTCTGTCTGGGACACACCTCTCACTAATGAGCATAATCTATATTAAAACCCAAACTGCGATACATTGACAGAGTGATACTTACCATCGCAGTTATTACAATCACCGGTATAACCCATCTTACACTGACAAACACCTTTTACACACTGCATGTTATTACCACATTTTACATTAAAACATGGATCATCTGTAAATACAATCAAATTGAAAAGGTTATTCACCAATAATGGTCTGCATCACTTACTAAATTACCTACAAATACTCCAGAATAACTATGCTGGAACACCAAAACTTCCACATATAGCGCCAGTTTTGAAATGCCTTCATTGGTTACCAACAGAGGTTCAGATCAAGTTCAAAATCGTATTGTTGGTCTACCAGTCGGCTCCCGCGTATCTCACAAAACCGGTGAAAATGTATGTATGAAAAACTGACACTTGTTTGTACCATCAACTAGATTAAAATCATTTGGTGGAGAAGCTTTTGGTGTATTAGTTATCAGCTGTGGATTGCGCATTTTGTCAAATCTAGACATAAGACACATACATGATGCATTATAAACGGTAGCCCCTGCTTTATTACCGCACTTAAAGTATGCACCTTCTGTGGATTCAGCATCCTATACCTGTCTATTTTTATTATTATGATTATATACCTGAGCATTCGAATCCATCACCAAGGTAACCCTCCTTACAATGGCAGCCATAAATTCCAGTCTTATCATCTAGCGTGCATTCTCCTAGAGCTCCACACTGAAGGGACTGTTCTGTTAAATTTCCATTTTCATAACAGACCTGCATCTTAGTACATCCAGGATCAACATATGTATCTCCAACCTAAAATGCATCCCGAAAATATAGTTAGGTATACGAAAGTCTTATATTACCTTACTTTATGAATGGATAACTGAATGATAATTACAGAAAGCTTTTATTGCACATTAGAATTTAGTAGGTTTCCGGACATTCTTAAATTAATATCCATCACTGGGCTGAGATCGGTAGCGAAGTAAGCTCTGATTGTAATTTAACTGTCATGTTCTTATCCATCAGGTCTTTTGGTCTCCTAAAGAAGTCCACCAGACACGTGTCCAGTGGAAATAACGTCTAAAAAAACAAATTCCAATCTAATCATACAAGTTTGCACAAATGAGCAGAAATATTGTGACGGGGCATCTGATTTTATAAAATTCTCGGGTAATGTCGGGGATCAGGGTAGCTAAGTGGGTAAGACGCTGGCTCACTAGCCTGGAGGTCGAGTGTTCGATCCCTCCATTGGCCAAGAAAGTTCATCCAGATTTTCCGGCGTGGTTCCCCCTTGTCAGTGATGCAGGATGGAGGGCCTGACAAGGACAGCTGTCTAGTCGTTCGGATGGGACGAAAAACCGAGGTCCCGTGTACACATTGGCGTGCACGTAAAAGATCCCTTGACAGTTGGAATTCGATATAAGAGTAGGCCGTAGTGCCGCTGCCGGGCAAAATTTCTCTCATAGCACACTGTATGGCGTATGCCCGTCTTCATTAGCCCAGTTCTGAGCAGAACAGTAGGACGTTTAACCCCATTTCATTTCATTTCGGGTAATGTCCCTGACGTTGTCTTCACCATCCCCCGGTTGCTCGAACACGCCATGGTATATGTGGAACCCAGTTCAATGAATTAAGTTTTACTTACCGCCATGTAGACACCATCCATAACACATCCACAGTCTGTTGGAAGAATACATTTCTGTCCTTCTAGAACATAACCCGGTATACAGAAACAACCTTCAGCACAGAAACCTAGGTTAGGTGGATTAGTACCCAGCCGGACGTTCATACATGTTGTTTGTCGTTGTTTATCAGGTTCACCTCTTGGTCCGCAGATTCGGTATTCCATATTTACACTACATGTTATTTCTACAACATTTCACAAAAATAATGGCTATCTGTTATTTGGCATTCGGAGGTGTTGAAGGGTATATGAGAGAGAGAGAGAAAGGGAGAGAGAGAGAGAGAGAGAGAGAGAGAGAGAGAGAGAGAGAGAGAGAGAGAGAAGATGTGGCTTAAAGCCCACAAGACACAAACTAGGTGATTTCGAGACTAACACATGGTTCAATTTTATTTCAATATTTCGCTTACGCGTAGGGGTCTTTAGCATTAGGAGGAAACCGGAGGACCGGGAGAAAACCCAGTAAGGTTGGACATGCGACCGTACTCCTTGTCACGTACAACCGGTAAATCGAAACCACGCCAGTTAACTCAATGACAGACCTTATGATACAGCGCGCCCGCGCTAACCGTTCGGTCATCTAACCCTCCTGAAAGGTATATTATAATATACCGTTACTGAACTAGAAGACAGGAGATCTTCAGTATGTAATGTACACTTCTAGTTCATACAGTAAAGGGTGTAATATTAGGTTTAACATATCTTAATTTGTACACCAACCGGCATAATGATGAAGGGCATACACCATGCAGTGTGCTATGAGGATAATTCTGTCCGGACAGACGCTACGGCCTACTCTTATTTCGGGAACCTTAATCTACTGTTAATGATATATATGGGACCTCGGTTGTTGGTACCACCAAACGACTACACGCCATTCCTTTCCAGGCCCTCTGTATCGCATCAATGAACAGATTTGAAAATCACGGGGAACTTACGTGGCCAGTATCCGGAGTCTCCTGTTTAATGGAGTCTCCTACGGTAATGGATCATGGGAGAAAATGTAGTATTCGGTCAGTACGCGTCAATACGCGGCGTTAATCAATTTACAAACGTGATGGCTGTTATATGCTATAGATTTTTCTAATTTTACTAAGCAAACAAATAAAAAAATTCGGGTCTGTGGGTATAAAAAAACAAATCACGAGTTCAAAAAAATTTTGTGCTTCTGGATCAAAGATATTTCTCATAAAGGGTGAATGAAAATTGAGTAAATTCTTAACTTAAGTCCGAGAATACATTGTGAACTCAGGACATGGTTTCTGTTGTCGAAAAGTTCGGTCTGATTCACGATTCAACTCGATGGCAAGAAGCTAGATTAGTATATTAGTTTAAAGAATAAATTAAATTGTATATTTACCGCAGAATCCAGGTTTTCTCCACAAGCCGACGTCAATGTTGATGTTTTTCTGACATTCATTGACAACTCTCTCGGCACTGGAACACATACCCAATTCTACATCTTGTGTCACGTGGCAGATATCAAATACACAACTATATCTGAGGTTTTGTAGTAAGTTTTCATCCATTGCGGCTAGACAATCCTGAAACATTGATATGGAACCGAATGGGGTTTAACGTACCGTCAACATAATATTTCTTTTTGAGACCAACATACCGATATGTTTATCTTTGGCAGTTTGGCGTGTAGAATTTGCCAGGACAGTGCATACTTACCATACGATGTCTGTCTACAACTAGCTTCGCTTGAGAACAGACACTAAGCTAGTTGACCGACATTTTTAAATCCTTAATCGACGATCTTAGTATTTTTCGAGAAATATCTGCTTTCATTTAATAATATTGAAGAGGTTTAATTGGTCTTTTTGTGTATAACACGTGTGAACCGGAGTAGGACAGCATTACAAATTAGTATATTGATTTTCAGATATGGTGGTCATTCAGAGCAGAGATCTATTCGCAAAGTATATAGTTCTCTGTGTGCTGAATGTATACCGTGTTGTTTTCACTCACTCTTCATCGAATTCCTACTGTCTTGGTGTCCTGTATGTGAACGTCAATGTTTACATGACTGGGTACCGGTTTGGGACACATGACAGATCTAAGATACATAACTTTAACCAGTCTTTTTCAATAATTCTTCGTCCATAATATCAACTAGACAATATTAAAACACATCGTATAACTTCGAAAGTGAAATTTAAAAATTACAAATAAACCGATAAGCTTGACAACAAAGTGTTATTCGAACCGAAACAAAAATTGAAATTCTCCCTGAAGCAAACATGAACAAATTGGTGATAAAAACAAATTTATCTACCCAACTAGTATATATTCTTTCTAGTAGCTCTGACACATGATTTAAATATACTATTTACATGTCTAACTATTTACTGTATTAATTTCGGGGTGCGCAAAACAAAAGCAAACCTAGACTCACCTTGAATGGGGATATTTCAGGATTAAATACTCGATCACAATAATAGTTGACTAATGGTTCATTACATAAAGTATTATTAGTAGGTGGGGCATCACAATCAGCTTGACATGCCGCTGCAGCTTCAAGATATTCAGATACAACCCAAGAGTTTCCGAAGAGGTTTTCATTATCAGTCTGAAATGAAAACGTAATTAATTTATATTTCTATTCATTGCAATGTATCCAAAAATAATTTGTTGACCAAAGATTTGTTGAATAGTAAGTGTCGATTTCCGTGGGCGTATTTTGTTTCCTGCATTCTGTGCAGTGTGTCCAATCGAGTAATTTAAGTTTGTAGGCATACTAACATGCCACAAATGTGTTGGTGGACCCTACCTAATACTACCAAACATCGCCTTTCAAACTATTGCTCTATTGCAACTTTTGATATCGATAAGATGGTTTGTGTAGTAATATGGAGGGAAAGAATTTGTGCTTAGAAACAGCTATGGAAAATAATATTATGGTTTTGATTAATTATTCTCCATTGCCAATATATTAGCTAAGGTATACGTTAAACTCTGAAAGGCAAATTAAAATTGTTTATGAATATTGTGACAATAACAAGACAGGGGTCTAAAGACAAAGAAGGGAGAAATATGATGGCTAGAACAATGGCGTTATCTTTTATATTATTGATTCGAACTTCATAACCACAAATATAGCAAGTATATGCTGGTTATTTTGATACGTTAACTAAGCTATAGATTAATGAACATGTTGGTCGTTTGAATTTTTCTTTGTTATAAAACATATATCACATTCGTTGACTAAATTAGGTAACAATCCCTGTCGATATAGAGGTTTGGGGTGAATGTCCATTCCATATTTGGAATTTAGCTGTTATCAGTTGTTTACGTTAATAACACAGACAAAAGAATAAACAGAGACAAAAGAATATGCACCTATATAAGGGAGCGGGGCTAGAATAATTTGGAGAGATCATGTGGATTCTTTAGACGACTATTTCATGATGTAGTGTTTTCTTGGATCTAGCCACGCTGACTAGATTTTTACAGGACTGGGGTTGGAGAGAAAGAGGTGTCAATTCTAAATATTTTAATGTAGACTACTGTGTAACTGTTGTGACATAAAATGTTTAGCACAAACACTATCGTTATTCCTGTTACTTATTTGAGTCGGTATCGTGAGAAAACACAATGGTGAAGTCCTTAAGAAGAAAGATACAACAGTAGCAGCCCAGAATCAACAAACCCCCTAGACGATCATGCCAGAAACAAAGATATGTGACAACGGTAGTACTACATTTGTTCTCATTAGAAAACTTATTATCATACATTTCACGCCACACGTACACAAACTTACCACATTTCCTTTCTCTTTAGCACAATGATCTCCAACAACCCAATCATCTTCTATTTCACCATTATAATTACCACATAAACCACATGTTTTACTTCTATATTCTTTAGGTAATATAACTTCTACTTCATCTCCTCCATCCCAATATACCTCTAGACCAAATGTTGTTATGACTGCCTGTTTATTGAATTAATGAAAGGCTTTCATTTAGTTGGATCAGGTGGCCAGCGGATTTCTATCTTATCATTGGGGCATCCAGTGAAAGAATGAACTTAATATTAAGTTCTTTATTTTTAAATTAAAAATTTGTCATATAAGCTGTCCTTACTGAAAGAATGAACTTGATATTAAGTTCTTTTTTTCAAATTTAAAATTTGTTATACAAGCTGTCCTTACTTAATCTTAATTTGAATTTATATATTGATTGTATCTGTTTTTACATATGCATTCTGAATATGGTTCGCTATTAAAACAGTATATCAAACGATATAAACTTAATAGTGTTGGAAAACACCCAAATAAACATACCATAATTTCCGAAAATACGATATAACATACGAATTGCTAAACATATAAGCTACCGGGGCTTGAAAAAATCCAGTTCCATCTTAAGATATATAAATATCAAAAGATAAAGCCTAACATGTAGACACGTTACAAGAACAAAAAAAACAACGCTATTTTGTTTTACTTACGACTTCTCTTCCATTGTCATCCACAGTAATACCGTTATCACTATAAGCAATGAAAGTTCTGCCATCTACTCTTATCTCACGATTTCTTCCTAACAAGATTTTCTACAATTAAAACAAGAAATTATGGGTGTAATTGATCACAGTGATGATATTACTCAATATCAGTTTGATGTAATTGATCACAGTGACGCCATCACTTAATTGTACGGCGTTCATCAGTTTTATGTAATTGATCACAGTGGCATTATCACTTGGTGATACGGCACTCATCAGTTTTATGTAATTAACCACAGTGGCATGTTCACTTGGTGGTACGGCACTCATCAGATTTATGTAATTGATTACTGTGATGTCATCACTTGATCGTACGATACTCATTAGTGTTATATGTAATGTAACACAATGTAATCTATCACTAATTAGTGGTATGTAACGTAACAAAGTAATTGATCACAGTGATGATATTACTCAATATCAGTTTAATGTAATTGATCACAATGACGCCATCACTTAATGGTACGGTGCTCATCAGTTTGATGTAATTGATCACAGAGGCATTATCACTTGGTCATACGACACTCATCAGTTTTATGTAATTAACCACAGTGGCACTCATTAGATTTATGTAATTGATTACTGTGATGTTATCACTTGATCGTACGATACTCATTAGTGTTATATGCAACGTAACACAATGTAATCTAACACTAATTAGTGGTATGTAACGTAACAAAGTGATGTGATCACTTGAAAGTACGACACCCATAAATTGCTATGTAACGGTACACAATGATGGTACCACATTAATCATTTTTTTTAAATTTTCAGAGTGTTACCAATCATTGCAGTATATCATTAGCGATCTTAATGCGAACGGATTCGGTGATAAATAAACCACTTGGGTATACATATAAATAATTTCACAAATCAAATACGTTTCTAGCTGCATTTGCTTACCGTGTTATTAACCACTACAGTAACATCCTTAACCCAGGTAATACCCTGAACATCTCTTCTCTCCATATCCCAGTTGCGTGTCCATACCCCGTACGTTTGTGGTGAACCATCACAACCATCTTTAGACATAACGTACTGACAATCACCCATAAAATGTAGCCAATGATTATCAAATGAAATACAATGTGGATCGCCAAAACAGGCACAGATTCCAACAGCTAAAATAAATAATTTGTGTAATAAATATCATGCTGATGTTCGAACATGGAAAGTCTAATTAAAAATATCATATGTGTCCTCTACACTGCACTGATAACATGAAGCCTTTAGTAAATTATCACAAGAGTTAGAACAATATCATGCTAATGATAGAACACGGAAAGTCTATTTAAAAATATCATATGTGTCCTCTACACTGCACTGACAATATTTATTAAATTTATTAAATTGATATGCGTGATTGATAATCGCAACGATCACTTATCAGTATGCAGACCTGGCTATCCAGACAAAAACAGACCGTGGAATCTGGAATTATGGTGAACCGGTCGTGCTAACTAAAAGTTTTCTTCGAAAACGCATCGTACAAATTGAGATAGTTGCAAGGACTGGGTTGCTGGTTGTCGAGAGTCTTTTACATCGAATTAACCAGTTTTATGGAGTAAAATATATTTGGCAGTTCTCCTTTAAAAGTGCCAAACAGTTTTGAATTCAGATAACATCCACAGCGTCAGATTTCTTTGTTATTTTTATTCGGAACCCTATTAATTGATACTGAGAAATTTAATACTTACGTTCACATGTACCATCAGTACCAGCTCCTCTATAACCACGTTTACAGGTACAGAAGAATGAACCATCAGTATTAGTACATCGAGCATTTGGATCACAATTATCCTTTTTCTCAGCACACTCATCAACGTCTAAATGGGAGATAAAAATAGTTATAGGATGAAGAAAAGGCGTCACCAAACTGAAATTTCTTTCGAGTTTAAATATCTAACCTTTTGTTTGACCCCATTTGATTTCTATATCATGTGCTGAGCAGCCACTTTTATTGTACCGTATATTGGTTTACTTTATTATTTTTCTCTATCTCACGGATTTTCTGGGAATGTTTCCTAATCACCAGCATCATAATCGGAATTTTTTGATATAAAGATATTTTGCTTTGAACTTCACTACATTTAGTTATTCTAGAGTATCTTCCCTATTTACTTACATACAGTCATAACTTTGTACCTACCTTGACATTGTTGCGGACCTGTTTGATAATAACCAGCTTTACAGGTACAATTAAAAGAACCGGGGAAGTTGGCACAAACAGCTGAATGTGGACATGGTAAGAACGCACACTCATCATCATCTGCAAAGAAGAGAATTTGGTTGCAATCATTGGGTTAACCACAGCGGTACTACTACCCGTCCTATAGGTCGTCTCCGAATTCATCCATTAGAGCGACTAGGTAGATTTTCCTAGTACAAATCCTGGGTCAGTTGCAATCATTGAGGTAACCACAGCGGCACTACTACCGACCCAATGGGTCGTGCCCGAATATCAAATATCAAAGGATTTGCTAAATGACCCTCTGATTAGTAGATGAGCTTTAAAGTTTTCGTGTCATTCGAACGACTAAGTAGATTTTCTCAAAATCCTTTGCCCGTTGCAATCATAGAGGTAACCACAGCGGAACTACCGTGGGTCGTCTCTGAATATCAAATGAGCATTCATGTTATCGCATCATCCGTACGACTAAGTAGATCTTCTTATAAAACATGAGGGAGAGAGAGAGAGAGAGAGAGAGAGAGGGGGGTGGGGGTAACGTCCACTTGGCACAAACTATCATTTCGGGACTAACAAAGGGTTCAGTTGTATTTCTATAATTCACATGCACGTAGGGGTCTTTAGCAGGATTCTAAGAAAAGTCACGAGGATGGACAGGCGATCCTACTCCTTGTCACGTACGACAGTGGAATCAAAACCACGCCACTTGACTCAATGGTAGACTTTATGATACAACGCTAACGCCTCCCCCCCCCCCAATAAAACTTAAGCATGCCAACGGACGTGCGACAAAGATCAACAGCACATTCGTCACAAAAACACGATTTAAGCGTCAAGATTACTTACCAAAGCACTCTCTTCCGTTCGCCCAAACATTCCATCGTCCTTGGCCTCTGTAACCTTGTTGACAAACGCATTCAAATCCATCGTCAGTGTTTAAACATCTTGCTAACTCATGACAATCATGGAATCCTGTTGTACATTCATCGAATTCTGAAAGACGAGACACAGATGAAAAATCTCATAACTTGACTGAATTTTTCAATACATTGTATATGCATTTTTCATTATCTATTTTGTAACGGTTATAGCATGAAAGGCGAACCTTTTTTTTAATCCAATGCCCCCGTCAGACCGGTTGGCGCCCTTACTGCGCTGCTGCGACCGTACGGCGACCAGAAAATGCAAAGTGTCACCGGCAAACGTAAACGAAACGCGAAAAAATGTCCCCCAAAAATACAAACTTGAAAAAAGTCGCTTTCTAACAGTTTTTGAGGTCAGATCGCAGAGCCTTGGCTTTTGTTTTGAACATGCTCAAAACAAACGCCGTGACTCGACGATCATTGGCGACCATGGAGACCACAGCACGATTTCTGGCGTTTCCACCATGCATTTACCACTCATGGCGATCTTGACGCGCTCTGAGACAATTTTCCGTCGCCGTAGTAGCATAGTAAGGACGCCACCCCGGCCGCCTGACGTCTTTAAAATTGCGAATTGATATTTGTGAATTGATGTACTTACTTAGTGTTGTTTGTCCACAATATAGTTGACCAATAGTTATATTTCCTTGTGATCCTGATTTCCCTGTAGGTGAGAATACAAGACTCCTTACTGGTAATTCTTTGGTGTTGGAAAAGATACCAGCATCAACTCGATCCTGATTATCTCCAATGCCACAGTTACAGTTCCTGAAATAGACAACCATCAACTTAAATGCAATATAAGACTTTGGTTTTACTCTTTGTAAATCTGTCAACATGAAAACGTAGCATAAGGGATCAGAGGCAACATAATCCACCGGTGCCAAGGCATAACAATGTCTAAAATATGTTAAAATAAAGGCTTAAAACACAAGGAACCCGTACACATTCATTTTCAAATTGAAACATCAACATTGAGGTCTGCCAATTCCATGGAGTAGGAATATCATTAAAATAATACGACGTGTACACGTTGTCTCCGTCAACCAGGCATTATTATCACAGATCTTGACAATCGAGAAACTTCGGCGGATTTTTCTACTTCTGTTATGTAGACTTAGTTTTCCAGTGAAAAGAAAAGAATGTGGACGTGTGTTATGACAAGGGGAGTAATTCTTCCAAAAAGTCATTGCTCAACCTAGGTTTAACTGACTTGTACACTAAAGGATTGATGGACAGGGGTGGTGACAAAATACTCCCATATGAAACAAAATCATTAAAAAAATGGACAAGTTTTGGCATCCATTCACATAAACAAATATGGTTTTAATTTTAAATACTTGTTTGATTGCTGGCAACAAGCGATTAAATTAGCGTGTGAACATTTTTTGATTGAAAGTCGGGGATGCAAGGAAAATTTAGTTACAACAGTTGTAATTTGTTGAAACGGCGTGCGGACATTTTGTTCATACTTGTCTGCCTTGTAGCAGAGGAAGACGGGACTTATCTATTACCTTTTTTGCATGGTGGCTTTACCGCCTTGACCTCCACAAAGATTTTCGCTGCCACATGTACAATCTCTTCCTGCTGGTGAACCAGCTCCAAAATAGCTATTACTACTACCATCAATACTCTTCCATGAAAATTTGTTAGCTGATATGAACTGTAAGAGAACAATACTATAAAGCTACGAGCGTTAACTTTTGAATGACAAAACTACTAGCTCAAAAAGATGATAAAGCGTGTCTTTAATGGAAGATATATAATATATATATATATCAGGATCCATTTTAAATTTAGCGATTTTAAATTTTACTTCCGGTTAATCTGTTTTACAGACGTATTGCGAAGACTAATAGCTTTGTAAAAGATGACTGCTTTATCATGTGAGGTCACTTCACGCGGCGTCAATCGTTGGCTTAATGGCGCGTGCATTGTTTACATAAAACGCTACAGTCCGGGCAGAATGGTGCCTTTAACTCATTTTTCCTACCCAATTACACTAAACTAGGAAATAATTTTTACCTACATAATATATTTATTTTTCTAATGCTTAAAAACATGTTCTACAAGTTTATTTGCAGAAGGAAAAAAGTTAATATTTGGGGCTAATTAAGCCGCATGGATGTTATCCCCATCAGTGACTGTAGGGGACTAGCGAATATTCACTTCTGATCAGTGTGCCCCTAAAGATCTTACAGTTTGGATTCAGTAGTCATAGGTAAGGTTGTGTTCGTCAAAATCACGATTCAATAAAAACCAAACCTGGTAATTTTAACACGATACTGATATTTAACAACCGCAATTAGACAATATTTAGAATTTTCAACAACAAAATGAAAACAATATAGGTACTTACTGCTGTATTTCTACAGTTATATTTCACGGGTTGGTAACAGTTAGACGAAACATCTACAATTGCTTGAATTTGTTCATTCGTGAGTCCCTTGTATGGTACATCTATAGGTTGACCATTAAAAGGAACGTTTGTTTCTGGTTCTAAGTTTGGATTGATAATAGCCACACCTATAAACGATAAAATGTGTAGGCCTACAATTGCGGGAATATGGTTACCAGGAAAACAACATACGCCTATATGCAACTTCGTAAAGGGAGTAATAGTCGTCAAGTTACATTGTCATATAAATGAAAGCTACAATAACTCCATTTCCAATGGCAAATACTCTGTAAAAATTAATAATTACTAGATCTTGATGGGTTTGCCATTAATTGCACACTCCCCGCAATGTTTATATTTTCATAAAATTACCCCAGCACAATTTTTTGTGCGACTCAATAAGATTCTCCTATAGGATTAGCAGAGCAGTCCTTCTGAAAAGGTGAAACCAAGTTTCGGTGACAGGGGAAGTAACTCTGCTTTGAATTAGCTGTTAGCCGAGCATGATAAAATAATGAGATGGTAAATACTGCCACAAGAGATGTTGGCGTTAGAAAATAAATTGTGGGGCAGAAATTATCAAGAAATTATTACTCTTGTATTTGAATTGTTTCAAATTGAGCTATGTCTTATAACAGTTAACCTCCCCAGGCCCATGGAGAGGGGGCTCGGTCGGTAGGCTCTTCTTCGCTTCGGGGCCCATGAAGTCACAGGAAGCCCACAAATATATATCCTGGTGTCCTATTCTGGTTATTCAGTGGTAAAATTAGAAACCATCCTTTTTGCATAGTTCTTACTCTGGACATAAAAATTCTCTCAACGGCCCTGAATCTCCCAATATTATTATTAGGTAGACACTTACCGTGACCGGGTTTTACTTGCATATCACAATAAACGAAGAAGGGATCTAAAGAAGCTGATGGGTATATCATAACTTCTCCAGTTTTGTATCCACGTTTGTGAGCCTCTTCGCAATCCTTGGGGAACCCTGAAAAGAAGTGGAAGGCATAATGATTCTTCGGAATTAATTTGTGTCGTTTCGGTTACGGGCTAGATGAACTATGACAATCAATTTTAAGTTTCTGTCAATAAACACCGAGAACGTTGATTTGTTGTCAAAAGCCGTTGTCCGCACTCAGATAAACATCGCGAAGTTTCTTGTGTGGTATCTCGCTTTCAATCTATGTACTTTTGGCTATTGCGCCTTTGATTACTGCTAATTGGTCGTTATCAGTGATGCTCATAATTATCATTAGGTTTCTCCTCACAGGTAAACTGTATACAGTTTCAAGGAATCAAAGCGGCAATAATACAATCAAAATTAAATTAATTACAAGTTCAAATAACCCATACTAACCGACAGGTCTTTCTGAACATTGAACAGAAGAGACGGCAACTGCTGCTCTTGCACCAGACTCTGTCTGGCCACCGGCACTGACCTCTGTAATGGGCAGAAGATTTTTATCTGTGATTGTTCCGTTGTCGTTGGCTACCATTGATCCTTGGGCGTCGCATCGACATTTGAAACCATCACATGTTCCAAGAAGATCACATGGACATGAACTAACATTGGTCTCGGGACCGGTTCCAAAGCTTGGTGAGATAAATCCATTATTTAGTTCATAATTGACGTTACCAGATATTGGTGATGCCGTACATTCGTAAAGGATTCCCTGTAATTAAACAGTGGTCATTATTCAATTTCCGTTTTGCAACGTCTCTTTTTAAAACCACCGGGTGATTATCAGTCATAAGGCTATTACATATTGGTAGTACTCTCTCTCTCTCTCTCTCTCTCTCTCTCTCTCCACACATTTGATCATGTTCACAAAATAAACATTTAGTACCTGATGACAGAATGGAGCTTGTCTGGCCAGAACGTTTATCTGTTCTTCTGTTGCTCCTTTGTATTCATAAGGTATGGAATATGAGTATGGTACTGTCTTTCCATCTAAAAATCTAGGTCCTTGAGCCTCAGTAAGAACCTTGAATATAGAAGTTAAATAAAAGTTTAAAATTGCTATGTGTGATATAATTTAAAATGTCTCTACCCCTTCGATCTGGATAAATAATAAAATTGTGGATTTCATATGTTGATTTGTTATGTGTGGTGAAATAAGTGACCATAATGCAACCATGTCCATCGCTAATAGAAATAACAAATCAAACTCAAAAGCGAAACAATAGAGTATAATTATTTTTTTAAAAGAAGAGTACAAGCATGGAAAATACGTGTTCTTTTGTAATAGCGAAATAACAGAATTTACTTGAAAGGAAGCGGCAACTATAGTGTATACATTTAAAGTGTTTCTGTTGTAATAACGAAATAATAGAGTTTACTTGAAAGGGAGGCGGCGAACTAGTTGCATGCATTTGAGGTCTCTCGTTTATATTAGCATATACAATCTAGTGGCATAAATTTGAAGTGTTCTATTGTAATAGCGAAATTGTAGAATTGGGTTACAACGAAAGTGCAAGTCAGATTCATAACTTTGTAATAGCGAAACAAATAGTGTGTATTTATAATGTAAAGTTTAATAGCAAATAAAATAGTATAAAGCTAATACCGTTTACCTCAGTAACAGCGTTGTCCCCCTTTTGATCAAAATGACATTTAACAATAAATGGATCAACGCCATCCGGACCATCAGGGTCAATGACGTAAGTTCCGTTCTTGTATGGAGTTTTAGTATCACCACTCTTCATGATATCATAGCAGTCAGCTCTGATTTCTAAAATAAATGAAATTAAATAAAATGAAATGGGAGTTTAACGTCCTGTTTTTCTGCACCAGTCGGGTTAACGAAGACCGGCATACTCCATACAGTCTACAATAAGGATTATGGTGTCCGGACAGTGACCTACTGTCGTGGATTCTTGTGCGTATACTCGACCCCGGGTTTTCGTCCCACCAGGCCCTCCTCCACCAGGCGCTCACCGAAAAGGGGAAATCACACTGGATAAAAACGGTGAATGTTCGAGATACATAACCGGGATCGAACAACGGACCTACTAGTTAGTGAGCCAGTGCCTAATTTACTGAGCCACCGCGGCTCCCAATCAAATACAATCGATACTAATCAACAAAATCAAGTAACAAAATCAGGTGGACGAGAACCATAACAAAAGTCCCATAAACCCATATATTCTATAACATTTAATCTGATCGTATCCGTCCTATCCTCCCCACACTGTCTCTACACATGATTAACTAAAGTTTTTAATTAAAATGGGCATTCAAGATATAAAGTTTCAACATCAGGTCGCACAAAGACTGTTTGAAAATATAACTTACCATAGCACTTCACTGCCCCAACTGCGAGAGTTCTGGCCGTGGTGCTTGGTCCAAGCTTAACTCTTGATATTGGTAACTTAGATTTATCACCCAAAATACCTCCATCAATCTGACTTCCGGCTTTATTGCAGTTACAGTCGGCACCATTGTCCTGGCATTTTACTGTTTCTGTAATAATATTTAAAAGATTGTATAAGCATGATCTATACAATAAGTATAATATGACAATCGAAAACTCATCATCCATAAGTTACTCTTTCAAATAACATGCAGTGCCATTCGTTGTATCAAGGCGCCTTAAGCCAATACAACGCGTTGTGTTCTTCAACACTAAATTGATACAAAATCGAAAGAATATAAACTTCCCACCGCTTTTTAAAAATATTGAATAGCTACATTTATTAATTGATTCTCACTACCTTTGTTTATTCCTTTTTATTATTATTTATTATTAATTGGACTACATATATGTAATAACACTACGTACAAAATATTAGCAACAATTATTCAATGAGTATCTCTCTAGAATTTCACAAGTTTAAATTTTACAAGTAATGAAACGTTTCCTCAAATGTTCCTTTGATCTTTAGGCTTCTTTTTTAATTTGTAAAGAATGTCAACCATAAAATAGACGGGCCAACACCCTTAAAATTAAAATATTAGGAATTAATAAGTTCACAAAGTTCATGACATTAAGTACAAACACTAGAAAAGGAGATGAACAATGTAAAACAAAACACGTACTTCCAATATTTCCTCCCCAATCATCTTGTGGTGTTCCATCTCTAGCATACCATCCATTAGTTCCAGTTAAATCTAAAGAACCACTATTACATGTGATATAGATCTCTTGTGTACAGTAATAAGAATTGTCTATCAGTTGATTTACTAGTTCTTGGCTATACACAAAGTAGGTGATGCTGATATCAAAGGGTTGGTTGGCAGGGATTTGGTATTCGGACTCTTTAGGCCTTATTTCCTGTAAAGAAATTATAAATGATGTCGTTATTTAAACTGTGGTTTCTTTAGTTTTCATAAAATGAAATGAATCCCTGGGAGACACTTGTCCTAAACAAACAGCTAACGCTGCACAAGATGTCCGAATGGACTGTGATAAATATCTAGTTTAAATCTACTACAAGGGAGGGAACACGATAAAACGCGATAATCAGTTCAGCACTACTAATTACACTAGTAATAAGACTCAGAAAATCTTCAAGAAGTATGTATTCATTTGATCTTATCTTCCACTAGTCCGATGAGCGAGAACAGAGACGATATCATAAAGGGTGTTGTTCTATAGTTCATAACTTACCATGATACCCATAGCAGGGTATGGTACCATGTCACAGTATACTGGGAAAGGTTTTTCACCGGAGTATGCATTATCAGTATCTAGATAATATACCTTATCCTCGGTTCTTGTTAGACGTCGATCATTACAATTATTCTTTCCATCTGAAAAGCAACAAAAAACTGTCTTTTATAAACATTGGCGTACATCAAACCTCAACAAATAACCACCTCCTATAACCACAGGCGTATAATCAGAACTCAACAAATAGCCGCTTCCACAACCAACCACAGCGGTATATCAAAACTCAAAGTGCGTGAGGTAACATTATGAGTTAGGAGATTAGCCTAAAGGGACCATCCCGATTTTAACAGAGTCTCAGAAATAAAATTCCGTGTACGTATGAAATTTAAGCGACAAAATAGAACGGAATGGTGTATTAACCTTGTCTCCAAATTTCAGCTCAAAATATTGAGTCGTTTGGACGTGAACGTCAAAACCACTTATCCGGAAACGTAACCGTTTTAAGATTTCGGGTCACTGATAATCTATTGCCGTTCCTTTAAAAGTCTATACAGTGCATACGTTATTTTTATAAAATATAAGTCTGGTTTTAACCAAACACACTATATAATAAAGCCGGTCTTCTTTTGTTTGAAAACGTATCACGTATATTGGGTTAGTTGCTCGGCCCTAAGGTAGAAAACTTTAAGGAATCTTAAGCAGTTTTATTCTCCAAAATATAATCGAGATTGGCCCTTTAAGGACTCCGTCTGCGATTTAGCGCTTTAGAATCCCTTGCAAACTACATAATATGAAAGTTGAATCTCTCACAAGAATATCTGTCCAAAATATGGTTCCGTTTCTTTCAGTATTTACAAAGATATGGCTAAATGAATGTTCCATCGATCAATGCTGTTCAGTTTCTTTCAGTATTTACAAAGATATGGCTAAATGAATGTTCCATCGATCAATGCTGTTCAGTTTCTTTCAGTATTTACAAAGATATGGCTAAATGAATGTTCCATCGATCAATGCTGTTCAGTTTCTTTCAGTATTTACAAAGATATGGCTAAATGAATGTTCCATCGATCAATGCTGTTCCAAAATTGATGGGCTTGCATTAAATCCGATTGAATTTAAGCGGTGAGACTTTCTAGCTTTGGTATTTTGATTTTCTTAATTAAATTTTAAATAATCAAGTACATATAAGCCTGGATTAAAGATACATTATGGGAGATTAGATAAGGAGCATGTCATTCTCACTGTAATAGTTAATAATTAGATAATGTAAAGGGAATTTGCTGAAAATTTCAGTCAAATTGATCCCCCATGAACCGAGTATTTAGCAATTGGATTTTCGGCCTAGCCTCGATCATTATTATTAAAGTCGGTACGATACAAAACATAGTCTCGGTTATACAATTTTTCTTATTTAATCAGGAGCAGCAGACCTGGTTCTAATCTAGTAAATATCGCAGGCTAGCGATACCACCGAGAGTTGATTATGGTCTGGATAAGTTAATTAATGTCTAATTAATAATTTAGATAACATCTCAGGCCCAAAGAAAGACCTGCAATTGGCAGATTTAGCTTTTGCATAATGTATGTTTAAGTAATTCACTCATCGTTACTTTAATAGCAGATTTTATAACTACATGCCTAAAAAGGTTTTTGTAACTAAAATGCCTAAATACATGTGTGTAGATAGCTTGTTCTTACCAAAGTCATATCCAAGGCAGTTCAAAGTCCCGACACTAAATCCACTACCCCTGGTCTGTTGACCCGTCGGGAGAGTGTCAACGCTGTCCAAACCTAAACACACTTCACAGATAGGTAATCGTGTCGTATTGTAGATAGAGCCTCCGTCTGTTTTCTTGGTACCATCTTGTACATCACAGTTACATGAATTCTGTGGTCCACCTTCACAGGTACCAGTTAAACCACAAGAACAGCTGTCATATCCACCACTTAAAGCCCAACCTGAAGACGACAATTGAAAAATATTCAATATGGGTTTAATCTAGTGATAAAGCAGTTATGTACAGGTTTTAAGATCATGCACAATCCAATAAACTATTACTAAAATTAATGTACAGCGATCCATCATAAAGTAAGTTATGACTATTTAACATTTACATTGGTATCTATTGATTCTACGCCACCATCCTTACGTATCCTGGACAAATACAATGAAAGCAATGCTTCGTGAAGGCACTTTAAAATTGGTTCGTCCACCTATCTGTCTCGCTATCTGTTTTTCCGTCACCTTATATTTTATCAATCCGCCTGTCCGACGCTACACTTTTTTTAAAAAACAAAACCATTGCATCTTATTGAAACAGAATGTTCAAACTTGGTGTAGATGTTCATTAGAGGATTGTCTTGACCGAGCTGGGTGATAACCATTTTCTGCTTAGGTTACAGAGAAGTAAGCAATTTGGTTTGTAGATGATCAGCATTAGTTCAATATTCGGCCTTTTCTGCTCAGGTTAACCCGGGTGATCAACAATTTGATTGCTTTGTGCCTTACAAAAATGTAAATGTGCCAATAATTATGGGTTTCAACTATTTATTTGGGTAGGGATACGGGGGACATCAGCCTCGTGCCCAATAACAACAACGGTCCTTACGTTAAAATATCACGTAATGTTGAACTGAAGAGCTATGTATGCACGATTACCTCTTTTACGACTGCGGTACTTACCAACTTGTGCCTTGCCATCACAGGTAGTGAAATTTACATTCTTGGTCTTAGGAGCATTGATACAAGCATAACCAAGATACTGTTGACACGCCTTCGATTTGTCCACTAAAGCCTTGATGAAAGAAAAAACATAATTCATATTTTTGCAAATCAATGTATATGGCGTAATCTCACCATGATTGTCACTACTTTAATTTTAGCTTATTGATACATAGCCATTCATGAAGTTTATACATGGCCATTTATGAAGTCCAATAGATTATTTGTCTCTATTTTCCTCGTTGCTTAACCTAATGTCGACGACTAACCTTTGGGATTTGTTAGGTACATTATAGTTACACATTTCCTCTTACCGATATTTGTGCTGGTGTAATTGGGTTTCCCATTGTATCTTTATATACGATTTCAAAACATTGCGACTGGCCGAGTCCTGGAGCACCACCACTTCCTGTAAATAAAGAATATTGCTGCTGTTTTTCTCTCTACCTAAGCTCCAAGAATTATGATATGGGTAATACGGCTAAAGAGCTAGGAAATCCGACATTTGTCGTTTGTTCAAAATCCATAAATTTACATTTATAACAAGAATACAGCCGTTCATATTACAATATTTGTCAATTACTTCCCTTTAAATTTTTATATATTTTTTTTCATTTGTGAATTACTTCAGCTTTTATATTTTTGCAGTTCCACAATTTGTAAAGACCTTGTCATTACAGTCATAGTGGACACTTCCGGATGCCCCTTGGATCAATGTCCGTGTTTTTCTACTGGGCATCTGTGTTCTGGGTTGCTAGGTACCTGCATGCATTTTGGAGTAGACAAATCTACTCATAGCATTTACTCTGTACTTAATATTGAAAATAAGGTTCAACTTGACAAATATATATTAAAAATCTACGCACCCGTTCACAACAGTACTTTACTAAGTTTAACTACCAATCTATGGTGTTCTGAGCTGATGTACCATATATTTTAAATAGACTATATTTATGCTGTATCTACTTACCATCTACAGGAACTGACGTAAATGGAAAGTTACAGGTTACGGTGAAGGCAGGAACACCACCAGAACTATCCGGATCGATGGTGTATTTACCAGATTCTACTGGTGTTTCTCCAATTAACGATCTGGTTCTCATGTAGGCCCATAAATCATAGCAGGTAGGGAAAGTCTCTATTTAAAACCAGAAATTGTATAATAAATTGAAACATTCCCTTCACATTATATATTATTCGGACAATCATAATATTTTATTTTACAGTATTTGTGTGATTACGTGATTAGTGGTGTGTAACGTACACAAACCAGTTCACCCATGGATAAAACTGGGACTCTTAAATTCATAGAACCTTAGTCTTCAGTGATACAGTTATTTCAAGCAAACGAAAATGAACACGGGTAGCATCAGACAAGGATAGTTTTAGTAAAAAGAACATAGTTAATCGATCATCGGTGTCCCCATTGAACTTTTAATAATAATTAATATCTAAATCAAACTCAGTTTGAATAGCCGGTGCATAATTTTGCGGCATACCGAACATTCACAAAACTGTGCCGTTTGTGTTTATTAACAATTACGAGAGTACTAAATGAACCAAAGACCGAGAATTTTGTCACCGCCGCTTTCTTGGAATCGATGAGCAATTTCATTCTAATTGCCTTCTTCGAAGAGCTTTGTCCGCAAGAAGAAGAACAAAACGAATAACACTTTGGGACCAGTTCCTGGTGAAAAGCACTCAAATTGGTAAATCTATTGTAGTTCGAATCGTACTAGATCATTTAATATACCATTAACTTACCATAGCATTTCAATGGACCTAACAGTACTCCTAAACTAGAGTTGGCACCAGCTGAAAGCTGACCGTTGACAGAAGTAAAGTCTAGTGATGAAACGGGTAAATGGGTTACATTTCCTAACTCATTGAAATCGGTCCTGAAAGAAAATAATAGCAACACATCAACAAGTAATTTAATCATGATCATCGTCAGCATCAGCATCATTTAATTTATTGATAGTACATCTAAGATTCAACTACACTTAAGGCTAATAAATAATGATCCATTCTAATTATCATCTCGGGGACTCACCCATGGATATTCAAGAACAGAAATTTCCACGGTGACGTCTTACTTTGGTTTACTTCGAGTTAGGTCGAAGACCTTAATGAACGATAAAAGCTAACTGAGAAGGGCGTTTTGTAATTTTTTTCCAATATCACCTAAAGTCTTGCAAAAAGGGACTGACAAGGAAAGATATGTTATAGATAGGTATATTCTACACAACATACCCAAAACTCTAAAGTTTTCAATTTTCTGTTATGATTGGTAGGTCGATTAGAAGTGAAATATTCACAATCTCGACCAAGGCGAAATTGACCGTTGAGTAACCAACCCAAAAATATAATGGAATTAATGTTGATGGGATTTTAATTAAAATGTATCAATATTGCCTTTTTACTATTTATACCTAGTTAATAAGCTGGCAGGTTCGTGAAATCTGAATTAGCAAACACAATTAGAATTTCGACTTACTGAAGGCTACTGCTCATAGCATCACAATTACAGGTTTTGCCTTCAGCACAATTTTGAAGTGCGTTACAACTGCAGCCCACATCACCCTCAGCTCCACCAGACAAGTAATCATACCGCTGACCATCAACATCCTTCCAGAACACACCACCCCCACCTTTAATAAATATCAATATCAGTCCACTAGATTGCTTTCTTTATAGAAAAGTAAGAAAGTTACACAGATCGGGAGGGGTGGGGGCAGGGGATCATACCCCGACTAAAAGACCCAAGTTTTCCTTTATATTCACAAGTGTAACTGGGAAAAAAGTATTAGAATATTTCTAAAATATATATTACTTGAATGGATTTTCCAATGCGTTTATGGGGATCTAAAGGATCATGCCCATTATGAAACATCGCTTGTTGTTTGCCGGTAAGCTCCCAGTTTATATTTGATTGGCGAAACAAGCAAGAGCGAGCTAAAGATGCACTTTCTTGCTCATCATTTTACTTTATTGGAAATATATGGCCATTATAGACAATATGCCACTGATCTTTGACTTTAAACGTTTTATTATTTTTCCGTATTAGTTTTTAATAGTCTGTAATACCTTGAAGATGTAGATGATAATTTTCACAGTTAAATGATAATTCCTGTACACAATAAGTTGATCTGGTACGTAACTGTCTAAGTTGATCATCACTAATTATTCTCTTGTAGACTATCTCAAAGAAAAAGTTGGCTTCCGTTAAGTTGAACTGAAATAAGGAATAACATGGTCATTATCCCTTGGACGAATATTATTGCTGGGGGTGGGGGACTTCGACGTAGGTTGTTTAGCGTCCTATAATTTATTTAGTTGTTGTGTCTCAACTTTCATTTTACTCTTCGTGATGATACTATCGAACACAACAAATATATTTTAATTATGTAAACTCCTTAAATCTGAATTATATACTTTCACATTTATACAGCTCGCCTCGGCCCGGCGTTAAAGGGGGGTTATTTCTAGAAGCACAACAAAGTAATTTGAACTGTGTAAACCCCTTAAATGTGAAAAATGTAATTTTAAATTTACACTAGGGTGCTTTTGACCATGTCAAAGATAATTTAGCTGTGTGAACTCCTTGAATGTGAAAAAGTACTTTCGGATTTATATAAAGAAGAAATGTTCGCAATCAATGGCCCCGACATTAAAGGTTCATGTAAACAAGGCAGTCTTTGGAAAATACAGTAATGTATATAATTATGATATTTAAAATTGTTTTTGCCCACTGAAAAACAATATTAAAACACTTAATCATGTTTTATTATGAAGATACAAATTGGTACTTGGCACCGACATTGTATCCAAATGTGTGATGTTATAGCGTGCATCAATATTATTCATTTTTCATTAAAGCATGATACAGTCCGCCCTGTATCTAAATCTAACATAATGCATCTTTAAACATTTATTATGCAAGAGGTAAATCTGCCTATTGCAGGTCTTTCTTTAGGTCTGAAATGTTATCTAAATTATTAATTAGACATTAATTAACATGTCAAGACCATAATCAACTCTCGATGTCATCGCTAGCCTGTGATATTTATTGGATTACGATCCGATTTGCTGCTCAACTTTCATTCATGATTTAATCATGAAATGGATGATCAAGACTATGTTTTTATCGTACCGACTTTAGAAATGATGATCGAGGCTAGGCCGAAAATTCAATCGCTAAATTCTCGGTTCAAAGTGGATCAATTGGACTGAAATAGTGAGAATTGCCAATGCTTTATATAATCTCCCACAATGTATATTTAATGATTTTATAAGTTATTGGTAATATTGTTTCCTTGATGAGATATAAATAGTGCATGTATTTGATAAAAGATGAGTGTTTAACAAGGGTGTATAATGCACAAAGAGGATGTTTTAGTCATCATACATACTAGTTTACTGACAACTTATTAGATCCTGTTATTGAAATTTTTTAACATATAGAGCATATTCCTCTTGTTATAATACTAAAATAGATAGATAATGATTTATTGTTTGATATACATGGACAACCAAAGTAATCCTTTCTTTCCTAAAAATTGAATGCTTATAATTTCCAGGGTGTTACATTTTCGTGATCTTTAATTTATTGAAACATGGTCGCCAATCAATAATTTAATTTAAGAAATTATTTATTAGTGTAACAAATTTAGCAATTAAAGTCGAGAGTGGGCTATTCATATCAAATCTTTAAACTTCACTCAGAATAAAGTAATTTGATTAAAATTCTCAATCTTTTTTATAGCGATATCTAACTAAATCTTACATAATGCATAATAATAAATACCAATTTCCTTATGTACGTGTAAGGCTTATTTCCCATGTACGTGTTTTCGTCGGAGAAAAAGTCTGTCTAAGGTCCAATTTCGATTTCTAATTCTACAAAAGTTCTTCACGGTGATGAGGGCCCGAAGGAAATCAGCTAGTCGGAGGGGGGGGGGGGGAGAAAATAACTATTTGGTTAAGAAACTATATTTCATAATGAAACCAAACGTTATCGAAGGGTAATTCATTATGGCGGGCAGTGGTGTCACTGATTTGGTGACCTTATCAGTCTATATTATTAGCGTCCATTTCTCAATCCAAGTCTAAACTGTCATCCCAATTAGCTCTAGAATATCTGATATCCCGCCGTCCCATTACATTTCTTAGATAGACAGTTCACATTGCTATCAATATATGTTATTTTTTGCATTTATATACCTACAGTTAGGGGAAAATTTGTCAACTAATACTCACGGGATTTTCTGTATCGTGATGTATTATAGTAACACCTTGTGGTGGATACTCTGTAAATTGACATTCAGCAGCAAATGGTGCAACATTTACTAAAAATTAAAACAATATTATTAATGTCGTGTAAATGTAATAACTCGTTTATACATTGGCGTACACGTAAAAGAACAATGAAAGATAGAATTTGAAATAAGAGTAGGTCGCAGTACCGCTTTCCGAACATAATTTCCCTCATAGCACACAGTATGGCGCATGCCCGTCTTCATTAGCCCAGTCAAAACAGAACATGGGAAATGAAATGAATGAAATGGGGTTTAACGTCCTACTGTTCTGCTCCTAAACTGGGCTAATGAAGACGGACATACGTCATACAGTGTGCTATGAGGGAAATTTTGCCCGGGCAGCGGCGCTACGGCCTACTCTTATGTCGAATTCCAACTGCCAAGGGATCTTTTACGTGCACGCCAATATGTACACGGGACCTCGGTTTTTCGTCCCATCCGAACGACTAGACAGCCGTTCTTGTCAGGCCCTCCATCCTGCATCACTGACAAGGGGAAACCACGCCGGAAAATCTAAATGAACTTTCTCGGCCAATGCAGGGATCGAACACCCGAACTCCAGGCTAGCGAGCCAGCGTCTTACCCACTTAGCCACGTGATCCCCCAAAACAGATACATAGGGCGTTAAACCCCATTTCATTTCGGCACAATACACGAGTATCTAATTTTTGGGTTCGCCGTGTAGTATACATGTCTTAGCATTCCGCTGAAATTCGAATGTTAGATATTTTTAGGCCTTTATGTTTTTTAAGTAATCTTTTTGTATATATTTTGTATCAGGTGATTTATGTATTATTTGTAAAGCGCTTTGTGATAATGTATGTAAAACGCTATATTAAGAATAAATCATTATCATTACATTATCATTATCAGTGTGGACATTAATGGCTCAATGAATGATTATAAGATGTGGACTTGCCATACAATATACATGCATTCATAATTTCGCTCAAATTCCAATCTGAGAAATTGATGAAGAAATTCATACAATATAACGATGTGTTTGAACTAAGTTTGGAAGTGAAATAGTTTAAAAGATATCATCTTACAGTCATCAGGTTTAGAAGGATCAGCAGGACCATCCGGATCTATCAGGTAAGTGTATGGTTCAGTTCTTCCTGTTGCCCGATATTTTTCACAATTCGGTTCAATACCTTAAACAAATGATAAAATCTATGAGTTAGCTGTGAAATATATATAATGCGAAGTGACAAATTAATGCAATAGTTCGTGAACTTATCCAGAAAGACGTGCCAAAAGGGCAAGCATTCCCTACCTTGCGCTGGCCACCGGTCACTTCTATAGTATAAGTAACAACAAATTAGACTGCTTTCGTTTCGTTTACTTTTGTACAATTTAATCACAGATTTGAGACTAATAATATGTGTAATTGACCTAACCTCTCATCTAGCCGACAGAAAGATGCTTTCTCTAAGACAATTGATTTCATCAATGGCATTGGCCAGAATTATAAAACAAATGATTAGACCTTCATGTAGTTGAGGTTGTTTGGCAATGAAGTTATATGGCTAGTCATCACATCACGACCCTTATCTGGTTTCCCTTAATCGTTTGTTAGCAATAAGAGGTCGTTTAATCCCTCTTCTTTTAGTATAACCCTAGCAAAATAATCTAATCGGGACGAAATGAAGATTGATTCAGAAAAGATTTTATTTAAGAAGCTGTTGGCTTACCAAACTGCATTTTAGCGCACATCAGTGGTCCAATTTTAACTTCAGTATAAGAATCATTCGAGCTACTATCAGTGGTAATTGACCTTACTGGTAAGTCTTGAGGGTTTGTCTGCATACCAATATCATATCTGGTAACATTGTCATTCATATCACAATTACATGTTATATTCTTTTCAACACAGGAACCAGTTATACCACACCCACAATTACCGGCCACACCTTCTCCACCAGGGAAGTAGTCAATATTTCTAGATTCCTTACCAACACTTACAGATACAATTTGTTCACCATTTATATTAATAGGAGAATTCTGAAAAAGAAAAAAACGTTTAAAGCATTATTTGAAATTATTCATCTTTGATCATCTGCAATCTCTTTCTTAACGAATAGGGCGATTAGGTGGTCGGGTGGTTTAACGCTTCCACTTTAGATCATAAGATCTGTAATTAGGTCAATTGGGGTGGTTCCGATTTCCCAGTTGTACGTGACAAGGAGTAGGGTTGCCTGTCCATCCTCTGGTTTCTCTTCCCACTGTTAAAGATCCCTACGCGCAAGTGAATTGTGGGAATAAGATTGAACCATATGTTAGTCACGAAATGACCTAGTTTGTGTTGAGTAGGCGTTAAAACCAACTCCTCCTCTCCCCCTTAATGAATAACAGATAACTATATCTAGGATATCTAGGGTGAATTGTGTTTACCTAATTCGCCAACTGCAAGGCTTTGTATGATACATTGGGGGTCTCGCGGTGTTCAGTGAGTAGAGCACTGGTGCGGAAACCTGGAGGTCTCGTGTCAATCCCGGTGTTGGCCGAGAAAGTTTCCCCGGAGTTTCCCATTGCCTAGGAACAGCGCCTAGTCTTTTGGATGGAGCGAAAAACGGGGGTCCCACGAACACCTTGGTGTGCACGCAAAAGAACCTTTGACAGTTGGGAAAAGGCTCCTTCATTAGCTCGGTCAGGACAGAAAAGTAAGACGTAAATTCCCGATTTCATTCATTCATTGAGGCATAGGAATAATGTAAACTGATTGACATAAAGAGGTATTCTATTTCAATAATTCGCTTCGGCGTAGGGATCTTCAGCAGTCGGGAGAAACCGGCGGACCTGGAAAAACCCACGAGGTTGGACAGGCGACCCTACTCCTTGTCACCTACAAGCTGGGCCGCGAAACTACGCGACATGACTCAATAACAGACCTTAAGCTAGACCCCCCCCCTCCCCCACCCAAAATTGATGGACAGCAAATGTTATTTGTACAGATGTTGTAACTTACTCTACAGGTGTAGCTGACTTCTTGATAACAGAATGCCGATCCATTGATGATACCAGCTATTACGTCGGACGGTGTGACATAATTTAATGGAGTAGAGCCAGATTCTGTTGGCACAATTGGAGTTTGTCTGAAAATGAAGGTGGGGGTGTAAAATCAAGATGGCGGTATAAAATAAAATAGAAACTAAAACATAACTAATAGGCCCACCAATTTGATTTTCTGTTTTTCGGTATGTTTATAAATGAATAGCCACGTAAAACAACAAATGTTTATTTTAAAATTTCAAAACGTTTGAACTAAAATCTTTTCAACGGTAGAGCACAAAATCTTTTCATTTTTTTAGCGGAGAAATAAAAAGAATGCTTTTAAAGATACATTATGTGGGATTTAAACAAAGAGCTAGCCATTCTTGCAATGATAGTTCGAAAATTAATATATATTGAAATTTCAATTTACTCTTTTGTGAGCGAGGATATTACCTTTCGAATGTTTGACAAGATGTGTGCATTAATTGCAACCAGCGTACTCCATTTTTAAATTAAATCAAAATATGGCTGAACCGTTCTGATCTACTTAATATCTAAGATATCCGGTGGCATCGAGAGTTGATTATGGTCTGGTCATGTTAATAAATGTCTAGTTAATAGTTTATATAACATATCAGGCCTAAAGAAACACTTGCAATAGGCAGATTTAGCTCTTGTATAATATATGTTTAACTGGTGTTCCTGAATAACAGAAAATCAAACCGTTGTGGCCTAAGTGAGTATGTTTTCCACTTTGTTACATTTTACTTTTACTCTGACATTGTTACGTATTACATTTCGAACAGTGGACTTTTTAAAAAAAATAAATCTTACTTATCGTGTGGCACAACAGTTATAGCAACATGGTCAAACGTTTTCATATCACAGTGAACTAAGGTGGGTTGGAGAGGACCATCGGGACCATCTATATCTATAACTTGTGGCCCACTATCACCCACGCCATCTTTCTTTATCTCATCGCAATCTCGTAATAAATCTGAAATTTTAAAAAAATATTCATGAAGGAAATAAACGAATTGAATGGAGAAACTTTGGCCCAATTTAGAATTTGTTTGGTTGAACGTAAAATGTGATGAAAAGGTAAAATAGGAATTGACCTCGACTCTGCTGGAAGGAATATCTTTGTACATGTACCTAGATCCAATTACTAGTTTTCTAAGCATTTCGGCCTTTCATATCCCTGGATTAACTTGTTCAAGACATTAGATTCTCCTGTTTCAAAAACATTCAGTTCTCCTGTTTCACAAACATCCAGTTCTCCTCCTTCAGGATCATTCAATTCTCCGGTTCTAGGAACATTCAATTCTCTAGTTTCAAGAATATCCAATTCTCCCGATTCGAGAAAATTCAATTCTCCAGTTCAAGAACATTATAATCTTATTAGTTACCTATAGGTTTGGGTGCACATTTTACATCGGAAATGACATAGCTAGCTGTCTTCGATCCCGAACCAGCTTTGAATTTGACGGAACTGATTGGTAATCTTGACGAATCGATAATTTTTCCAAAATCAATCACGGTGTCAGTAGATGAACCATCACAATTACAGGTTTTGCCCTTATCGCAGAATCCAAGAACACCACAAGCACACTAAAACATAATACAACCAGTACTTTGATTTGTGATACAATGTATTTTTGATATTATAGTTATCTTAGTGAATTGTTCTCTTTATAGGGGTGGTGGGGGATATGAAAATGAACGCATTATTTCTTCTATAAATTAAAGGTGCATTATGTAAGAGTTAAATCTGCCTATTGTGGGTCTTTATTTTGGCTTCAAAATATTATTTAGATATTCATTTACATGTCAAGACTATAATCAACTCTCTGGAACATCTGATGGTCGAGATTTAAATGGATTTAACATAAATTTAACATTAACAATAAAATGGACAATCAAGGCTAAATCTCGATTGTCAAGTACCGCTGTTACGATAATAAACGATCTACGCTATATTTTCAAACAGTCATAACATCGCTCCAAATAAAGTAATTTGAATGAAATTTCCAATATATTCATTTTGTATTATGTATTTGTAAACTATTAACTTTGTAGCGAGAACTTCCAGCTCTTTATCTAAATCTTACATAATGCATCTTTAAGAAATCGCATAATCTGCCATTAGTTTTATTGGGATTTGTGTTCAATATTCGTATTAGTCATAAATTTATATCTGTGAAAGGAATACTTTTTGGATTGAGTTTGTGGTAAGTATAGTTAAAGTTTTGCGATCATAAGTACTTACATTTCCATCCTGACCAGATCCTCCCCATGATCTATATGTAGTACCATTAGAGTCTGTCCATTCCATCATATTGTCTTGATATAGATTATATCCTCCAGTACATTCTATCCTGGAAATAATATCAGCACGGAATGTTTTATAGACATTGTTTGAACGTAAATAATTTCAGGAATAAGCATCACTTTATCAATCATGGTAAGAGCTGGAAAGGCAGGCGATAGTTTAAACATAATATTATGTCTTTTCTAGTTGTCATACTCCTCGCAGTGTTTCGTTTGATTAGAGCTAATCCCACTTAACACTGCTGTAAAGGAAGCAAATTTTCTGTTCCAAATTATGACTGGTCAATAGTCCGATTAACAACCAATAGCTAACAGCTAATATAAAACTTATCATTACGCTTCAAACAGAGCTCCAAATTGGACCAAATATGTTTACATAACGTTACGTCATGACTCAAAATATTATTATGCCCAATTAACCAGTGCATAGCAGAATATTGCAGAAAAACTAATTGCGTGACAAACGAGGCTATCAACATGGATACATTGTAAACAATACTTTCATCGTTTTTAATACCTTAAATCACTGTCGAAAGTTTTAGGAAAGACCCCAGATTAAACGAAGGGCTGTCATGTTGCTGTACTTGGGATAGATTTGATTGAACAGGAAGAACATACACAATCCCTCAAGAGTCAAAAGCTCAAGTATCAGAAGCCAGCCAATCCAGCAATGGCCAGAGAGGGATTTCTCGGGCCACTGCTTCAGGAATATGAAGAGTTTTTGACTCAGGTGCTTGTAAAATAAAAAGTCTCTTTAAAATATATCATTACGCTTGGGCTGACTATTGTGTCTGTAAATCATCATATTGCTATAAGGAAGATAATCAAATTCTGGAGGAAATAATTTGTCTGAAAACTTTGTATGGGATAGGAATGGGTGTTAACACTTATGATATCCTTTCCAGTCATTGCAGGACTGATGAATAAAGATACCAAGGGTTATAAGGCGACCAAGCACGTCAGCATTCGATGATTATAGCAAGGTATAAAAATGAAGACATGTTTACATAGTAAAGTATCCGAAATGATCTAATATATCTGAAATAAATTTGCAACTATTCAACTTGTACAATTTCTAGGAAGTGAATACTTGACACACCTACCATTGAGTTTGATAACAGAATTCTGAATTATCTACAAGACCTTTAATTTGTTCTGGTGAGATACCCTTATATTCAACTGGTGTTTCTTGTGAGTGAATTGGTTGAGGTGTATTTTTTGAAGCTATAACTATTGTTATCCCAATATTATCTTTGAATTCACACTTCACCTAAAAACAATAATTGAGATAATAACTATAAAACTGTATCATTATTTTACTATATACAATGCCTGGTTAAAAAATTGGTCCACAAATTGGAAGTGGTATAAAGTGTTCTAGAAAGTCTGGTCATCTGTATCATCTCCCTAAATGATTTTCTGGATTAAGTAGAATAACCTGCTTCGCGCATGAGGAGTCGCGGTAGCTCAGTGAGCAAGACGCGGACTCGCTTACTTGGAGGTCCCGTGTTCGATTCCGGTGTTGGCTGAGAAAGTTCATCAGGATTTTTCGGCGTGGTTTGCCCGTGACAGTGGTGCAGGACGGAAGCCTAGCAAGGGGCAACGTATAGTCGTCCGGATGGGACGAAAACCCGAGGTCCCGTGGACACATTGGCGTGCACGCAAAAGAACCCTTGACAGTTGAAATTCTGTGCTGCTGTTCGGACAAAAATTCCTGCTTCTATCATAACAATGATTGAGCTTACCGTAACAGTGACATGGGTTTCAGAAGATGAGATTTTGGGGTTGGTATGCAGGTTGAATTAAAAGAGCACCCAATGAATCGTTATTCTTGTTACAAGAAGTCAAATCTTGCACCCACCAATTTATCTAAAATATCTCTCATATTATTACACTTATTACCTGCATGGCATCCAGCGGATCAGTACCATCAGGGTCTATTTCAAACATTCTCCCACTAACTGCTGAAGGATCTTCTTGGTATATTTCATGACAGTTTTTTGGTAATTCTGAAATTTAGATATACAATATAGGAACCCGAATATTAATTAAAGGGGCATTAGGTAAGACTAGATATAGAGTTCACAGTTCTCGCTATAATAGTTAAAAAAAATAGATAATGAAAACTGAATATACTTAAAATTTCAATCAAAACTACTTCACTCTGAATCGAGATATTAGCCATTCAATTTGAGGCTACCCCCGATCATCATTACTACTGTTTGTACGATAATAAACAAAATCTCGATTATCCACTTTTACGTTAACTCATCCATCACAAAACTATTCAAATCCATTAAATATCACCGGCTAACGATGGCATCGTGGGTTAATTATGGTCTTGATAAGTTAAATCGTGTCAAATTAATAAGTTAGATAACATTTAAGGCATAAAAAAAAATCTGCAGTAGACACTTTTGGTTTCTGCATAATGCATGTTTAAATAACAAGACGAGAGGATTGAACCATATAAATTTGAAAGTAGGCTATGTACCTTGCTAGCTTCATAAACAGGTACGTTTAATTGTAAGCCCAACCATCTCTGCCATTTTACCAAATTAAGTCATGAATGCCGTATTATCCTAAAGGCTGGCATGGCCGAAGCCTAGGGGAGATCGCCAACAGTAGGGCCCATCAAAAGCAGGGGCCGATGCCACATGTGTATAGAGTTAACGCTATGGAAACGGCAAACGCATCCTGTGCGTCACTGAAATTAATTTATTGTAATCCTTTTTGATACAAGTAGGGGATTACACCCACCTCGCTCTAATCTCAATTTTTCAGTAAGGTCAAAATGAAGTACCCATGTATACATGGGAATGTACTGAGCCCCAATGACAGCTTCTCTTGTGAAAGAAAAATGTTTATGTTGTTTGTACAGTACCGGTATGTTGGTATTGCTTTACTTCCTTAAAGGTTGTCTGGTGATGATGTTATTTTCTTTGTTACTCCATTAAATACTCTTTAATACTATTGTAATAAATTGTACGAATGGAGAGCGTGAAATTCGCGCGGTAGTGGGGGCGTTGGGGATTGTCAAGGGTGCCAAAGAAGCTCGAAGTCTAGGGGCTGTGCCATGTGTTAATACGACAGCACTGCATCAAGTGTGTGTATGTGTGAGTTGGTTGTATTTTACGTCCGCTTCCACCGAGGTGATATCGTAGACATTGTGTGTATTGTTAAATCACCTAATAACTGAATGGCATATCCAATAATCGAAAAGCATTGATTGTTTTAGAGTTTCAATTATTTGTTCACTTACTTGTACATGTTACACCATTTCCTTTGTAACCATTTGGACAGCCACATGTATAAGTACCGGGCTCATTAACACAAACTGCTGGGTCTGTACAGACAAAGTCTCCAGTTTTACATTCATCAATATCTATTTCATTAAAAAGAAATAAATGTGCATTATTTTAAGAATTAATAAACTGTTTGATATATTCCTTAGTTGACATATAATGTATCCAAAGCCGAATTAAGAGATATCTGAGACTGGTCTTTAGTCAATGGCCCAAATATTAATAACTAATTAAATAAATAAGAATTAGTTGACGAAATGCTTATTTCTTTTACAGGTTTTAATAGTTATGCCTTACATTGTGGAATATCCGTTTGAATGATATTTACATGTTGCCGTGAAAGATAAGATGCGAAGTAAATTCAGTTTCTTAGTTAATTAAGCTTGAACTCCAAACGTGTTAAATGTTTAGATATCCATTAAAAATTAACTATTTTCTTTAAATGGAAATCTGTCAATCTAAGATCATTCATTAAAACAGATTGTATTAACACGACGTCATTTCGAGACTAACGTGGTAGATCATTCAACCAGCCCCTCGCACTAAGTATATTGGCGTTGGTATTTTTTGTACAGGTGAGAAGATAAAATACATGATTAAAACATTGCCTATTCTCAGCTGAAGGGATTTCATTGTGACATTGTGTCATCTGTCATTTTCTTATCGGACACCATCATATTTAAATAGCGAAATCGCAAAACCAGCAATGTCGTGATGTTTTGTTTCATGGATTTTGGGCTATCGTTTAATCATAAAAAGGTACATCTAATATAAAATAGATGGAAACCCCAGAAATAGTATAACCGTGTTTGATGTTATATGGACAATAGATAGCGGTTATTCAATGGCAAGTGTTCTCCTATCTCTTATTCTCGAATATTTGTTTGGGATAGAAATAATATAGTTACCATCACAAGCAGTAAAAGCATCACCAGTGTAACCAGCGTTACATTTACAGTAATTTTCTATACAATCACCATTAGGTTGAAAACAGTCTTGTTTTACACTACATGTTCCTGGAAAAGAGATATTATGTTATAGCTTTAAAACTGTTTTTCGCATATTACCCAATGTTATATATAAGCTATTATAATGATATTATATTATTTTATGCATGTATAACAAATGTTCCTAGAAAATGATGGGTTATATCTTTAAGCTTTTTGTCGCATATTACCCAATGTTATATATAAACTATTGTAATGGTATTATATTATATTATATTATTTTATGCATGTATAACAAATGTTCCTGAAAAAGAGATTGTGTTTTGTCGTTAAAACTGTTTGTCGCATATTACCTAAAGTTATATATAAGCTATTATAATGATATTATATTATTTTATGCATCTATAAAAAATGTTCCTGAAAAAAGAGGGGTTATATCTTTAAGCTTTTTGTCGCATATTACCTAATGTTATATATAAGCTATTGTAATGATAATGTATTATTTTATGTGTGTATTACAAATGTGTGGCTTATTTATATTTCTTTATATACATTATAACATCTAAAGGCGTATATTAAAGAGAGAGACAGCCAATTTATAAGTTGACCTATATCCAGGAGCCAGGTTGTAAAATACACTCGGGGGACTGCTAAAGAAGTTAATACACCTGTATTCTTGCGTAGTTTGTGGCCCATTTTTGTCTTGGATTTACGTCATTTTAGCTAAAAACGTCAGGGTATTCTCAAGTCAGTTTTACAACAATTGGATTGGAGGTGGGAGCTTCGTGTAAACTAGAGGTACACATTATTGTTGAGCGTTATGTTCATAAGCTATTATATCATATAACATCAAAAAAAGTATAGTCACATACGAGAACATTTGAAGCCATCACCGGTAAACATTGGAAGACAAACACATTTAAAACCAGGTTTGTTGTTTTGACAGTTGGCGTTCTGGTCACATGGGTTGGCTAAACACTCGTCGATATCTGAAACATACAAAACGTTACTCAGTTACTATTTAAGTAATAGCTTCCAGGAACTTGCTTCTTAACCTCAATTAAATATACTTTTAAGCAATAGCTTCCAGGAATTTGTTTTTATAGAAAATCAGATTGAAAAGGTGTATTTACCATCACAGTTGTTCTTGCCATCTCCCGTAAAACCTTTTTTGCAATTACACACAGGAAGGGCAGAATCTGTCTTATTACAGTATCCATCAATGTGGCAGTTAGCATCATTAGTACATGGAAACACAGCTACAATAGACAACATAAAACATGATTAAGGAGAACTCTTTTTACACTTAAAACTGCTGACGTCAACTTTCATATGGTATGTAGCTTAATGTGACAGATTAACCCTTCAAAGTAATCTTTGTGGTCGTTTGGACGCTTTACTTTGCTAATGCCCGGCCTTCGCGTTGGCTACGAATGCTACAAATTGACCCGAACAGTGGCGAATCGAAATTAATCGAAATTCGTAGCGATTCGGCCAAAAAATCAAAAAAGATCGTAGTGAATCTGGAGAGGCTACGAAGCATTTACGATAATTCGTAGGTAATTGGGTGAAAAATATGTCTGATGTCAAGGTATGGTTACGATGAAAGTATGAAATGAAAGAATCACCTATAGATACGAATTGAAGTGATATGCCGAATCGCCTGAATTTATAATGACAATAATTCATCCTGGTTTGATTTTGAATCTGAGACTTTTGTGATTGCGATGTTTGTAAACCATGTTTGAAATTTGTAAGTTATGTACGTGTGATATTTTGTAAATCGCACTTGTAAATTATAAATCACGATTGAAATTTGTAAATCACTCTTAGAATATGAGATGTGTAAATCACTCTTAGAATTTGAGATGTGTAAATCACTCTTAGATATTTGAGATGTGTAAATCACTCTAAGAAGTTTGCAATTTGTAAATTACACTTGTAATATGTAAATTACACTGGAAATTGTAAAAACGCTTATATCTAAAATAAAATAATATTATGACAAACTATTGGACTTACTGTGTTTACAGCCGGATTGACCCTCTGCTTTTAATCCATCACCAATTGTTCCAGCTTCACACACACATCTAAAACTGGTATCATTTACCTCTTCGCATTTCGCTAATTCATGACAGAAAAAATACGCCTCGGAACAATTACCAGGGAGTAACGGTATCTCGACTGGAATAGACAATGTAAGTTACATCTTATAAATTAAAGTACGGGTAGCAATTAGGCAAAACGTGAACAATCGTCACATAAATAATAAGTAAACAAGTGGGACATGAAGCAATTAAAACAAAGAAAAAATGGTAGCACAATTAATTTCAATGATAAATTTAATCATACATTGATTTAAAGATACATTCCCCCGTGTACAAACTGGGTGATTTAATGGTATATAAGGACTAAATCATATTCAAACTAATTAATTTGTCATAATTTTGCTTTAAATCCTTCTCAAACATTGTAATTGCCAAGGAATGTCCTGCTATAAAAATTCGATCAAACCAAGTCATGTTTACGTCACGTGACTTACCTCTCTCAGAAGTCAGACATAGGACGTCTAACTCTTCATAAAGATTATCAACTTGTACATCAAGCGGTCAATATTCGTGTGTGACCTTTCACATCACGCGTGCAGAAATTCCTAATCGTCAGGCTGTCGATTAGGGGAACCCTTACATTTTTGTCCTGTATACGCTCCATGAGTGTTTTTCGGGGAATTCAGTATTTTTCTAGTAAGATTGGATATCTCTACTTTCCATATATACCAAAATTGCCATACTTTTATTGGAAATAACCACCCGATAAATACTTTTCTGGGAACCCATCTTTAATTAATTTAAGACATTGCTGATGCCTGAATCGCTCTCAGTACTAGATGGCGACTCCTGTTTACCACCGTCACCGTTTTCTTTCTTGCAACAGGCAATTGATATCCCTTTATCAATTGCAGTCCACTACTTTCCGCTTGACGCTTACTAGTGAAACCCAATGTAAAGTCTAGTAATAAGGAATAAAAAGCTTGCCAGATCGTTCAATTTCACATGTAGGGATACAGATTATGGCGTCTCTACAAGAAATTCTTAATTTATCCTAATGGTTGTAAATGGGACGGTATATTAACAAAGGCTTCAATATCGTGTCTTTTCGAGACAAACATCCTAATTTAGTTATTATTTCTATGGTTAAGTATGCAATGCGATGTAGAAGAATTTTGCTCGCACAGTGACGTTTCCGCCTTCGATTTCCAACTGTCAAGGTTTCTTTTATGTGTGCGCAAGCATATAAACAGATAAGAATTGTGAGGAAACTGTAGAATGATATTGAAAAGTCTGAATCCTACTGGAATAATGGGTGTGGGGGTGCTGAATTTACAGGAACATGATAAACAAACAAGATTCCTGAGTGGGGTGGGAGGTCACAAAAATCCAATAAGGGCATTGCTACAATACCAGTATAATATTATTGTAGCGTTCCATAATTATAACAAAAAGAACTTAGTTCAGTTAATGTGAACTATAGTTTGTAGTAGATCTTATTTAAAGGGGCTAAACCTCTAACTCAATATTATCCATAATATTCGGAATTAAAAACACGAATTAGAATCCAATACTGGTCCATTTCAGTCAATATTGATGTGGTTATCTTACTGTGAAAATATGGGACCCTACTATTTAAGAGAATGGGGGGTTGGGATGGCCTAGTGGTCTAGAGTGTCACGCTTCGACCTCTAGCTGGCCGGTCACCTCTGGCTTGCGGCTGTGGTTTCGATCCCTGGTGTGAGCGTATGTGGCATGGAGATAGGGGGGCCTTCTCAACCTCGTGGGTTTACTCCGGGTACTCTGGTTTCCTCCCACACGAAAGACCCCTGCGCGTGCGCTAAGATCATGAAAATAAAAAAAGACAACTTGTCTGCGATATCACCTTCGGTGGAAGCGGATGTTAAACACTAACAACAACAACAACTAAAAACGTGTACTCTATGGATATAATGGTTTCGAGCGCCGTTTGAAATGAACAAACAAAAACACAAACCACAATACAAAGCGGAAATAATCAAAAAATGGCCGAGTCACAAACGACCACATAATTTTTTTTTTTTTTTTTTTTTTGTTGTTTTTTTTTTTTTTAAAGAAAAAATGCATAGCATAGACTAAACTGGCACAAAAGATTGCATTTCAATTTGGACTATTCACTTATTTCGTTGATCATTATTTATCAGAAATTATAATACTGATTTATTTCGAAGAGTATTCTCTCAGCGTTATCAAGCTAATACAATATAACAAAATGTGACGCAACTCTATATAGGCACAACAAAAACAAAACTGAAACCATAAATCAGTAGCTCTTCTCCATGGTTTATGTTTCTTGAAGGACAAAATAATGTGAACTTACCTGCAGAAGCGATTGGTGCAATAAAGATCAGCGCGGCAGCAATAAATATCATATTGTTTGATTTCTTGGCGTCGGAACGCCTTTTTTCTACTGAAAAAAATAAACAGGTTGTTTAGTTACAGGCGGATTATATAACATTTATGAGTGTTTGAAGTTTTGACAAGATAGTCTCGAATGTCAAGTACCACTGGTAAGATAATAAACAAAGTCTCGATTATCCAATTGTGATTAATAAACTTCATATCGTAATTCAGATCTATGGGCTAGTTTTGAATGAGGTTTCCCCTTGTCAGTGGTGCAGGACAGATGTCAAGTTGTTCGGAGGGGACGACCAACCGAAGTCCCGTGTGCACATTGGAGTGCACGTAAAATATCCCTTGGCAGTTGGAATTCGATATAAGAGTAGGCCATAGCGCCGCTGTCCGGACAAAATTTCCCTCGTAGCACATTTTCTCTCCCTTTATGTAGTATGGGATAACGGTTAACCGTTAAGCATATGTTTGATCGCCTTTTAAATTTATAAATCAATAATTTTGGAACTACCATAAATCTCTATTTCATTATTTTTCGTAACCGATAAAAATCTAACGACATTAGACAGGCGTGGCTTTCTTTTGACAAATACGGTCTTTGTAGTAAATCACGAAAGGCAACTAATTAGACCACTCGGTCACTAAAATTTAAAGCCGTAATATACCCTTGTTGTTTATTTTTTGCACTGCCTATGTATATGCCTTGTCCACGGGTTTGTCGTGTGGAATTATGCATGTGTGGTGCGGCCCTCCTGTACTTACTCTTTAAGTCATATGATCTTTCCACATTTGGCATTGTAAAATCTTAATGGCCGTGTGAAATATGTACTGATTTCATAACACCTGGTGACACATTTCCATATGCAAATTTATCACAATGAATAATTGACTTACTGTTATTTTGCTTGATTGTGTCCAATGAAATTTTGTTGGTTTTGCACATTAACATAGTCAACTATGCCCCTGTAATCACACGAAGCAAAAAATGCCCCCCCCCCCGAAGTTAGGCTAATAATAAATTACCGGAACGTTGGTTATCTTCATATCAATATCAAAAAGTGAATAGTACATTTTCTCACCGATGCTTTGGTGTTTTTGTTTAGTAGAGATATCCACGAGATTTGGCATAAAAAAGATCACTAAAACAACAGCTAATTTGTTAGGTTAGTAATAATATTAATATTATAATCCATATTTTTCTATGCCGAAATTGTCTCAAGTTTCAGTTAGACACTACAGTTGTGGAAGTATACTTCTTGTCGATACTACGCGCCACGAATGATAAATATAAATGTGCTATCGTTTGCTAATATATCGTTATAACCAACATATGCCATTCAATTACTTTGTTGAGATGGTTGTTTAATGGTTAGAGTAATCACAGATCATTGATAAGATCAAGGCACAAGAAGCCAGCTTTTTTCATTTTTATTTCAAAATTCAAATGTAATAGTTGTTATCATGTATTAAGCAATATCGAGCATACATAAACCCACATGAAGAATGGATTGTATTGTGAGGAAATCGAAGAAATAAAAAAAAGCAATGTGATATCAATGAAATCAAACTTTAAAAGGACATAACTTGAATTGGAATTAATTGTGGACTAAAATGTTCTGAACCAAAATGTTTTTCATCAAAGTTATTTAGATTGTTATGCGACTTTATTATTGTCCAAGACTCACAGTAAAAAGCAAATGTAATCTTAAAATCGAATTCTGTTGCAAAATTTTAATGATACAACTGTATCGTTTTTAAATACAAATTAAGTTTTAAAAAGTAATGATGTGTTTCTCAATTACTGAATGCCGCTGTAAATAATGTATAAGCTATTGTAATATTATTGTTAAAAACGTCATTAATATAGAACTATAAAAGACAATGATATAACATCGATCCCTGCATAATTCCCGCGCTAATCTTGGGATGGTGTATGTAAGTGTAAGTGAAGTGAAAGTGTAAGCTTAACGTCCTACTGTTAATCTTGGGAAGGCGTCTGTAATGGTTGTGTGTATCATATATGTATATATAACTGGGTTTTCAGTTCGCCGTCCCAAGTTTTAAATCCGTATAACAAATATACAAAGGCGGTGATTTGTGGTATTTACGATTGGAAAACTTGTTTTGAAGGATTGTCGTCTACGGCTAGCTGAACATTGACTAAATGTCACTAAATAGAATCAATAAAGAGTTATTACTCCGTTTTATTCCTTGAACGTTAACAAAAGTTATAATATTGCAAATGAACGACAGTTTGCTTTGACAAATGATTATTTATATCCAAATAAAATGCAGATAAATAGTAACATAAGTTGCTTGCCTAGGTTCCTGTCACCTAAAATACTTGTCGGTTTTTAGGGTTCATTGTTCTGATTATGATTATTTTCTGGAATATTTGGAGAAAGTTCGTAGACATAAAAGGTTTGTTCTTTTTCGTAATAATTATTTGATATTTCAAAACTTCGATTTGTTAATCGTATTGTTTTAATTTTAGTCATGAAAACATTTTGGAAATGAGATCATCTCTGTCTCAAATAATATAAAGAGGTATCTGATCAAAGTGGAATATAATAGATGGGAACAATGTATGGAAGTGGTTTATATTTCTGTTATAATAAAGATTGTTATAATTATATCAAATTTGTTTACTCCTTATATACTACAAAATGTGATTCTTACAATATATTTATAAACATATCCTAAAATTGTTTTAATTTCCAAACCTACCTGCCTACAGAACTATCGGCAACTTAGCTCACCCCAGTCTGATCAACTGAACAGATTAAGGCAAAGATAAGCCTTCACTACAAGCTTATTAGTCACTTTGTATATTCAAAACTTAAACAAGTCGATAATATAGTCCACAGTCAATAAGAATATACAAGCTGTTTTCGTCGACGTAGAAGGTACCGTATAGGAATGTTATAATAAATTGAGTATATGAAAGGAATATTAAGGCAGATTTCCGTTTTTGCAACAGATGGTGCCATTACTCTGTTCTTTGATTGGTTACTTGAGATTTATCTTGGCCGAGACTCGCTCATAACCCTTAATCAATGGGGCCTATTTCATTATGTCATTAGACGCATAAATGAATATTTAAAATACATATAAACAATCCTCGATAATTATATGTATTCCTAAAGGAGAATTTGAATATAGTGAAACTTGAATTATAATAGCAATAAACCAGAGCTGGATATCAGTGTTTAATTTTACATTTGCGTGGTACGTGTCCAGATTTTGCATTAGAATATTTTACTTATATTGCTATAAATTTCTAATGAAATCTCTGACTCATGAATTTTAATATCACGGTTTCTATAAACGAATATTTATTTCTTATGAGCAGCATTTTATTTTTGATTAACATTTATATGTTAAATTTCCCTCAAAAGAATGTAATTTGATATACAAATAGATGCGGCAGCCAAGTAACGGCATATGAAGATTTCATTCCTACTGTCATGTAGTTAAAGATGCATTGTGTAAGAACTAAATCTACCTAATGGGGGTCTTTCTTTTCTGGCTTCAAATTTTATATAAGTTATTACTTCGACATTTATTCATATGACACGCCCCTTTAGACCATCGAGCGACCTAAACGTTGACTGGATTATAACAAATTATAGTTAAACTGGATAATCGAGGCTTCGTTTATTTTCGTAAACAATCGTTGACAATCGAGACTATCTGGTCAAAAATTCAAACTCTCATAACTTCGCTCAGAATAAAGTAACTTAGCCAAATATTTTAATCTATTCATTATCTATTTTGGACTATTATAGTAATAATCTTACATAATATTATCGTTAAAGCAATTTATATCACAACCAATCAGCGGTGTTATTATTGATGCAAAGCCGAAATAATTTCGAACAAGGGAAAATTTATATTATGCTATCCACTGTTCATAATGTTGTTAATGCAGTCGTCTTCATTTCAAAAAGTAAAACCATCTTCAAATATGAAGTTTTAACTTCATATTTGAAGATGGTTTTACTTTTTGAAATTTATTTTGCGTTTTACCCAGGAAAACGCAAAAGAATGAAATGCAATACGATTTCCCTTCTTTTTTGTCCATCACCCTAATGAAGACGCCCACACGCCAAGCAGTGTACTATGAGCGAAATCAATGCAGGCCGAGAAAGTTCATTGGGATTTTCATTCGTGTTTTCCCCTTGTCAGTGGTGCAGAATGAAGGGCCTGACAAGCACAGCTGTCTAGTCGTTCGGATGGGCCGCAAAACCGAGGTACAGCGTATACATTGGCGTGTACATAAAAGATCCCGTGGCAGATGGAATTCGAAATAAGACAAGGCCGTAGCGCTGCTGCCCGGGCAAAATTTGTTTCATAGCACACTATATGGCCTATGCAATCGGAGCAGAACAGTAGGGCGATAAACAGATTTCATTTCATTCCTTCATTCCATTTACAATCAATGAATTATATTTTGTTTGTCAGTATCTTTGAACTCTGGGTGCCTGATTCTTTGCATCAATATTGGAACTGTGGTTGTCACAGCACCCCAGTGTACACTGTGCATATATGATACAATGGATTATTTTGAAAAGCTTATAAATGCCGTTATCTACATGTATATATATATATATATATATATATATATATATATATATATATATATATATATATATATATATATGCACTTGAATAACCGTTTTATCAGCCAAGTTTAAAAATGCATCGACCTAACACTTTTATTTCAATAGTAACTACCATGAACCAAACTAAGTCATAATGAAATCTGGAATATATTATACATGCCTATTGCCTAATTAGGTCCATCGATATTGTTAAACTAGTTTTACCCAATATTAGTTTAAAATCTGAAAACAAAATCAAAACGGCATTTGTTACCAGTCTCATTAATTAATTAATTAACTAATTAATACACCAAGTAAAGCTTAGCAAAAAATTGATATAATTATTTACTAAGATAACTATCCAATAAATAATGGATACTTATTTGATAATACTTTAAAAGAATTTGTAAACAGGGGTCATAAAAAACAAATGCAAAGCCAGAAAAATCGAAGTATAATATTCAGTAAAGATGGAACAGCTGCCGTGTTATGTATCGATCAGATATTGACAATACTCTCTGTGCAAAGTTTACACGTATATTTATCGTGGGGAAATCAAATGTGTATACATGGATCATATCTGTAAACATCAGATTTATGAATATATTATACCAGTTGAAAGAAAGTCGGGATTTTAGAAAGGAAACTTTTTCGGTTTACGAGCACTATCACCTTACTAAACATTCATTATGCAAGAGCTAAATCTGCCTATTGCAGGTCTTTCTTTATGGCTGAAATGTTATTTAATTATACATTAATCAATCTATCCAGACCATAATCAACTCTAGATGATATCGCTAGTCTGCGATCTGTAGTGGATTATGAGCCGATTTACTGCATAACTTTCCTTCACGATTTAACGATTAAATGGATAATCGAGACTATGCTGTTTATCGTACTGACTTTAGTAATGATGATCAAGGCTAGCCGGAAGTTTCAACCGCTTAGTTCTCGGTTCATAGTGGATCAATTTGGATGAAATTTTCAGCAAATTGCCTTTACATTATCTAGTTTTTAACTATTATAGTGAGAACTGCAACTCGTTATCGAATCTCCCATAATGTATCTTTAAGCCGCAACATCACATAATAAAAGTTAATAGTGATTGTTATCTATAGAACTATGTTATGTTATACAATCAAAACTAATTGTTGGGTTTTTTATTAAAGATATTTGTGGTTCAAGAGGGGTGTGCGATCCATACATCGCTGTGGGGCTCATGAAGTCCCGGAGTGGTGCGGGTGGGAGGGTGTGTGTTCATAAATATATAGTTATTTTTTTACGTCTGCGCTGTCGGTATTCGTGTCGCAGAACCGCCTGACACTTTACTCTGGCTCCGCATGGTTAAAGTTAGAAACACTATTTTTTGCATAGTCCTTGGGGCGGGGGTCGAGGGGAGGGATGGGGTAGTGATTGTAGTCGAGAGACCGATCCACTACCACTGTACCTCTTTAAAGCCTAGAACAATTTGACTCGAATAATCAGCGGTTCACATGTTGCCAGGGTTTACATAATCGATTAGACAAACTTAAACCAATTAATATACAAATTACAGATTTTTAAAAGTATAAAGGCAGACCAGATGCCCATAGATAAGAATAGATAAAATTACCAAGTCTCATTCTAAATATAGAATAATCAAAAATAATATTTGTATACTTACATTAATTCCATTAATTCGAACCTGTACATAGTATCATATAAATCCCCCACCCCCTCCTCCACCATCCGCACATCGTCCCCCTCCATCCCTGCCCTTAGGAATTCCATCCCAAGTTCTCGTCTATACTTATTCTAAACATTATTATGTGAAATACTCTGACGTAATTATTTGTCGAATGATCGAAGTTTGGCAGATTTGGAAGTACATGTATTAGATGAATGATTGTATTTTATTGTATTGTATTGCATTGTATTGTATTGTATTGTATTGTATCAGAGAGAGGGATTACACATAGGTACAGCCTGCTCCCCAATACTGATCTGACTGTTGTGAATACCAATATCGAAATTACAGTGCTAGAATTTTTGTATGAAACCACGCTAATTGTTGGAACACGTTAATGGAAAATAAGTGCGGTTTGGTAATTAATCAATCGCCCAGAGATAAAGCAATGGACATCTTTTTATAGTATGTATCTATTTCTTGTGGGATTATACTTAAAGGCGGACTCTTAAATATCATATTTCCTCGAACTTACTTAGGTCAACTACTGAAACACGAAAACATATTTTTAACTGGAAATTTGACCGAGAAAAATAATAAGCTCACAGTAAATAGAATAGGAGTCTCTATATGTCAACCAGGGACAAAATTTGAATTTATGCTACACATACCCTTCACATATCATTAGCAACAAATATATTGCTCTTGGTAGTTTCAATATATTTCCCATAAGTATGTACATCTTTAATGAGATATCCGTGTGGGGGGGGGGGGGGGCGAATGGTTTAACGCGTGCGCGTTCGATCATAAGGTATGTCGTTGTGTCAAATGACGTGGTTTCGATTCCCAGCATGTACAAGGAGTAAGGTGGCCTGTCCAGTCTCGTGGTTTTCTCTGGGTCCTCCGGTTTTCTCCTACGGTAAGGTGCCCCGTGTAGCGAAAATTTCCCTACTGATAGTTGAACTCGGCACGGCGAATGTGCACGCTTCAGTGGCTTGTCTCGAAGTGATTTATGGCTAGTCACGCGGTACGATAACACTCAGCGCCTAGAGTCTATGAGTCTATACAGTCTTAAGACCAACTAGAAATCAGCCAGATTTCTTCAAGTTTGGGAATGTGACCTCAAAGATTTGTTGAAGAGAATCCTGTCATCAACCTCTCAAAGACAATAAATTGTAGCCCAATTATTATCAATTCAGATGGTGTATTGTATAAGTGTCATATTACACTGCTCTATATTTAGAATGTAAAACTAAAGCTAGATGGGTTTGGAATCAGATTCTATGAAATTTGAATAAGAGAATAAGAAAAACTAATCAAATTAAACACAGAAATAAACAAATTTAATAACAATTTAATAAAATTAAAATAAATTGATTAAAATATTACATAATGTAATAATAAGCTTATTAATTTGATGTAATATCTACAGCAGCTTGTCTAAGCCAGGGTATAAAATATCTTACATTATTTTACTCATATACTTTGATATTGACCAATTTGATGTTAACCAATTAAATGATTTTGGAACTTTTTCTTGGGGAGATAAATATTCATAAGTAAAACAAGGGTTGTTGAGCACATTACGATTGTATAACTCTTGCCAATTATATATTGATTTCTATAGAAAGGGGTCAATATCGAAATATTAATGGCCTATTGATCCATCGTACAATACTATTTACGAACTTATCAATTATCAGTAAAAGAAAATTTGATCCAAAATTATCTATTTTGATGCAAAAATATAAACATTTACTGATTATTTACATACAGGGAAAAGGTCACCCCAAAACAATCTACATGTATTTGTTATTTAGAAGAGCTAAATCGCTAATATTTAGGACCTATAAATTGACACAAATGGTTCGCAACACAAATAATAATGTAATATGAATGTACATAAACTGATTTAGTATTTATTGCGCATGCCCTCCAGATAGGAATATGACGTAACCGTTTGAGTTACTTGTGGAATATATCTAGCCCCATCCTTCGAGTCCCTTGTTATAAATGGCACTTAAAGGCATTCGTGAACCAATGGTAAAATGTTTATTTTGTCTTACAATCTTATGGAAGCCTATAACTACCATTCATAATTTTTACTTTTCGCCCCTTCAAAACACGAAAGTCGAATATATATATATATATATAATATTTATTTATGGCTAGGGATATGATATCATATCTTTCTTATGTAAATTACATCCTGGTTATATGATATCATATCCCTAGCCATAAATAAATATTTCCGTGTAAATTTCCACATCAAGAACTCGTAGTATTATTCTTAAAATTTCTCGTACAATAGGGGCCACAAGGCAAGAATTTAGGCCCGATATACGCGAACATCAAACCGAGATCTTTGATACATAAACATATAATATTAAGTTTTTTTCAAAACCGGGTACAAATCGTTAGAGGGACCACAGCCTTCGATCCGATTATCACAAAATTCAAACCCAGGGTGTAACGGTGTATATTTAAACGGTTTTTAAAATCGGGTTTAAACTGTAATTTTTGGTACACCCAGGGTCCATAATCTAGGAGGTTACGGACCGATGTGTGCGAATATGGAAAGAAACAAAAAATCCGTGGAATATAGACATATATTTTAAGTTTGATCAAAATCGGATAAAAAAATTGTGACTTCTACACTGTCCACAACCTTGGTATTATATACTTTTACACTATTTGCAAACGAGGAGCGGGCAGTTTCAATCCGATTTTCATGAAATTCAAACTCAACCATCATAAGGGCGGAATGGTGATATGTTAGAACAGCTTTTAATATTGGATAAAATGCCAATATCGAAAGGAACCGCGTGTCCACAAATAAATTGTGGGCTGACGGGCGACTCAATACACGTCCACTTGAAAATATTGGCGTACAAAAATAGCTCAGCATGATAAAACTTGGTTTTTGGAAGACTAAACAACTGATATCAAAGACTTTATATAAAATGAGATTTTTATTTTAGAAATTAAAATTTTAAGTTATTTGATACTCCCACTGGCCGGTTAATAGTTGTCAACGCTTATGTAATTTATATTAGGGCAATGCTACTCAAGACGGACATGTTGTTTAGATCAGCATACCAAGCAATTAAAATCAGTGAACCGGACCAAACCCAAACATCCAAAATTTAGCACTTTTTCCTAGATAGTCCTAGCACTGTATAGATAGCCATCGCACGTGAAATTCTCTTCACATCTATCAGCCATTAATGCCGCAAAAAATATATTATTGACGATTCTGAATAGCAGTAATATTTAGTTTTTTGGTTATTACAGCAGCTTTAGAAATTACGTTCGTTTTATTTTTTAAATTGCTTTATCTTTAACTATACCGTTAGGGGCGGCATCTTTTGGTTTAGTACAAATAATATCTCTGAAACACTCGCGTTAGGCAAGAACATGATACTAGCAGTAGTTTCATTTTACTTTTACATGGTTCTTAAAACAATTGTTGCGTAACGTGCGTGTTTCTAAATTCAATTTCTTGTTCCAGCTTTCTGTTATGTTTGGTTATCCCGGCCTGTCAATCAGACGGAGAATGGTCGGTAGACTGGTTAAGCGAGACTAATTTCATAACAAGGGCACGTAGCCTATTTTTTTTACTCAAAAGTGCCCTGTGTTATGGCCGACACTCGTAACCATCTTTCAGTGTATTATTTATCGATGGTTCAATGGTCATAGCTTATTAAAGATACATTCCCGCGTACAGACTTTGTGATTTGATGATATATTTGGACTAAAAACATATTCAAAGTAACCAATCTATCAAAAATTTGCTTCAATTCCCTCTCAAAACTTTGTATTCTGGGAAAGTATCTTTAAGTACAACATGACTGTTTATGTAGAGACTATAAATGAGCCAAACTGGTTTAAGGCTTGATATATATAATTATATAAATATTGTGGTGTAATCGTGAAGATATTTAGATATATATATATATTTATGTTGGGACACTTAGTCGCAATTAGTCCCGACTTGACCTGGAGTTTGTGTCGAGTAGACGTTAGATATCTCTCTCTTATTATTGCTGACAAAATGGCTTCTATAGAAAGAGTGATTTGGTAGGCTAGGGGAAATGATAAGCATATTTAAAACTTAAACATCATACATGAATGATTTATTGACACTCAGATATAAACAGTCATTTCCTGATATAGTTGATGATATACAGAGAGACACCAAGACTCTTGTTTACTTCTCTGTGTTGAAATATTGGGAAGAGACTATGACCACAGGGTGAATTCTAAACCAAGCAGTGAGTTGGTTTTGTTATTTATATTCGATCTTTGGTTTGCTTTAAAGGAGTTTAACATTTTGATTCGGGTCAAAATAAAATGTTGAATTGGGTTGATCGGATGTATTTACACTAGTGATGGAACAAAATCTAAATTTTCTTTTCGGAAACCAATTTGCTTCAAATTTCAGATACGTTTTTGGCTTAAACTGTCAATAATAGGACAGAGCTAAACGAAATACGCTTTTTTCTCAACATTCCAACGTCATAAATCGAAAAGGTTTTTTAAGGATTATAAAGGACAGTTCGTCTTTTTATGATTCAAGTTATGTTAGTGTTAGTTATCTGTTCTGCCCTCTGAACGTATTTTATGATATTTAAGTATGATGTGCCTAATAACTGTAAAATCAATTAAAGGTCTAAATAGACAAATAAACCAAGAAAAGTTAATTACTACAGAGCATACGACGTTGTTGTCAAAAAGATTTCCATTGAAGTATCTCGAGAGATATCGTAGTGCGATTGTATTATATCGTAGTATGTTTATATGATCGCAACTGTTGGGAAGTTATATCTTCAACGAGTCGCGAAATCACTTAAAATTTTATGATATATATTATGCTCGATGGCCTATAAATAGAGAATCTCCTACGTGTCTTTTTTAATATCAAAACATATCAACACAAGTAAGATTAAGATTTTATTGTATCGAAACATCCATTGAGGACAGAATGCAATACAAACATATGTACATGTCATAAATAACAATATGTGATATTTGGCAAAACAAAAACAAAAAAACAAAAAAAACAAACGCAGGTGCATTTTCAATAATAAAGTCGTGTAGGAGATTTTCTTTATCACCCAATCCTTTCTTACAAGCACAAATAAATAAACACACTTCTTTGCTATAGCTTTCACTTTTACTGAACCTGATTAGATTACATTACGGCGCAGTGGTGCATCATTTTTTGACAGCAATTCAACGATTGCAAGGTCATTTAATGTATATTGACCCAGTGTTTCCATCAAGGTCAATTAAATAAAAATAGTTCATTTTTAATGAAAAATGAACTGTTCTTTGAAAAAAAAAAAAAAATGACCAATCAAATTCACGTAAGATTATGAAATTTATCACACAATCGATATCTACTGTAGAATATATTATTGGGTGATAATATAATATGCACTGTCATAATTATGATTCAAATGAGTTAATCTTATTAATATTAGAATTGCACCATATAAATTGTGAATGTGTTTACTACAGTCTACATGCATATCAAAATAAAATCACATCGTCCCGGCAGTCAGGAAAGATTGGTATTTACGATACTCTCAAGTTCCAATAAACAAATAAAGATGGATATTGAAAGTGTATAAAGAACTGGGCCCTGTTTCACGAAATTTTAGCAAAAGATAAAATCCAAATTTTAGTAGATACTTCAATTTTGATTGGCTAAGCACTAAATCAATCTAATATTATCCAATCAAATTACTAAATTTTGGATTTTATCTTAGTTTAATAGATAGTTTAGGACAGTGTAATAATAATATCGTAAAGAGTGTTAATCTAGCGAGGCGTTCTTATCGTAGTAAAGAAATTTCAAGAAATTATCCAAATAGACGGGGTGCGAAACCTGTATACATATTATAATGATTGCACATCATGATTTCTATTTATCACTTTTACATCTGTATATATTTACGGTTTTCGTTACGTATGATCTGACGTGGCGTATCACTGTAATTTTAGGTACGCTATAACAGATAAGTATAGGAGCCCGCGGTGACTCAGTGAGTAAGACGCTGGCTCGCTAGCCTGAAGGCCCTGTGTTTGATCCCGTTGTTAGCCGAGAAAGTTCGTCTGAATTTCCTGCGTGGTTCCTCTTTGTCAGTGGTGCAGGACAGAAGGCCTTGCAAGGAAAACGTATAGTCGTTTGGGTCGGACGAAAAATCCGAACTCCCGTGTACACAGTTGCGTGCACATAAGCGTAAGCCGTAACGGATCAGAGCAGTGAGACGTAAAGCCCCATTTCATTTCAACAGAAGATTTAAAGTCCTTTTTCAACACTAAACAATCCACAATAAAAGTCAGGGGAGGGGGCCGGTGATACCATATGGTTCTATGGTTCGCGGCATGCTTGTTAAACCACTCGGGTGTCATCCATCACATCATACCCAGAAAACTCCATTTCAGCATTGAAAAAAAACAATCTCAAAGAAATCCTTACTATTGTGTCATTTTGAAATACTTATTTTATTACAGACTTGAGGAGCTAGAATGTATTCTCAGAAGAATGGAAATGTATTTGTTTTATTGGTTTTTATACCTATGTCCATTAAAGCACTAGTCGGGACATGTCTTCTGGGAGTGGACATGCACTATGGTGGAACAAAGGCCAAGTGTTCTCGAATTGGAATTTCAAGAGTTCCTGGCAATCTTCCGGATAATACTACAACGTTAGAAATTGCTTTTAACAATATTGAAATTCTACACGATAATGAATTTCAATACCTAACTCATCTAAAATGTCTTGATATCAGCTTTAACCCCATCCACAAGCTTCAAGGGTTGGCGTTCAATGGACTTCATAACTTACTGGTGTTAGAATTCAACGCACACGCGTTAAATTATACAAAGAATTCTATGCCTTTAGATGTCTTTACGCCGCTTCAATCGCTGACAAATTTAAGTTTAAGATCAGATGTTTCACGCTTTACGGGTCGACCGTTTGATTTACCACATAATGCTCTTGCACGTCTCAAAAAATTGAGGCAATTAAACATAGATACTGGCCCAAACACTGTTTTTAAATCTGGATTTTCCAATTTGACAGAACTTCGAGAACTTTTCATTGGTGTAACATGGAAACACGGGAAACGGATTGAGTGTGGACTGTCGAATATAACCCGTCAAACATTTGATTCGTTTTCTAAAATACCTGTTAGTCTTCTTCAGTTAAATAGTTGTAGGCTTCATAACTTTGATGAAAATTATCTTGAAGCTTTTCCGCGTCTCAAAGTATTTTTATTCAACAAAGTACATCTAATAAATGGAAACCTATCGATGGTCCTTAATACACTTCGTGTATTTAAACACAAATACATGACAGAGATTGGCATTAACTCGGTAGTGACATCTTTACCTTATATGGGATTTGATCGTCGCGTTAACCGGAACCCGTTGTCTGAGATTTGTGTAACTCAGTTGGACTTAAGTTCCAACTTGATTAGCTTAATTGATTTCGATGGTTTCTGCACCACGCCTGATTCGCCTCTTATGAAATGTCTGAAGCGCATTACCTTGGCCGGAAACCGTCTAGTGGGTAAAGTAAGCTTGAACCAGTTACCCCTCTGTCTTCTTGCTATTTTTAACATCGAAGAAGTAGATCTTTCAGATCAGAAGATATTCTCATTCGCTAAATATATTTCACTAGTGCCTCACACATCTCGTGGTGATAGTGAACGGAAATTGCCGGACCCGTTCATAATATTTGCTCCGCCAAAGTTGAGTTATCTCAATGTGGCTGCATTGCCACATGGAATCGGAGAATTGGATGTAGATATCCATTTTATCCTCGCCAAAAAATTAAAATATTTTAATGTATCGTACTGCGGGTTATACAATTTAAAACGGAAAGTATTCGGACTCGAAAATTTAGAAGTGTTAGATTTAAGTGGAAACAGCTTAAGCATTATAAATGATACATTTCTAGATACATTTCCGAATCTTAAGAAATTGCGTTTAAGCAACATTCTGTTAGATAATGAGTTTATTACTCAAAGTGGTATAAGATTTTTCAGTCCTTTGGAAAAGTTGGAAACTTTGGATCTATCCAGTAATGATCTAGTGGTTTTACCTAATGATTTATTTAATTCTCTGGTTGCATTACAAGTTATAAATTTAGCTGACAATAAACTTATATCCATACCCGATTTGAATAACCTGGTTAAGCTCAACTCTCTCTATCTGAACCACAATTCGTTCACTACCTTGAGACCACAACACACAGATATGTTAGATAAAACAGCAGAAAATAATCCGAAATTTTATTTGTCGATTTCGGGAAATACATTTACTTGTGCATGTGAGACATTTTTGTTTTTACTGTGGTTGGACAAAACGATGGTTAAATTAGATGGAAGGAATTATTCTTGTATAGAATCGACAGGAAAGATGACCTTTACGAAAAATGTATCTAGCACATTGTGGTCATTTCACAGACAGTGCATGTCATCATTCTTGTTGAATTTAACCATTGGCGGATCAAGTGCCATGCTCGTAACTCTAATGGCAGCCTTTGTCTTCATCAAAAATAAGATGAAGCTGAAGTTGATGCTCCTAAGGCTAATTGGACAGAATATTTATCCGAAGAAAAGAGAAGAGTTTATTTATGACGCTTTTATAATTTACACGGATTCTATGTCCAGTTGGGTTTGCAATGAACTGAGAAATGAACTTGAAACAGATCGAGGAATAAAACTGAACCTACGTGACCGAGATCATATACCTGGCGGTTCCCAAGCAGAGGACATGTTGGAAGCAATGAGAGACAGTTGGAAGATAGTTTTAATATTAACGGTAGACTTTTTAAAGAGTGATTTGGCTTATTTCACAATGTGTAATTGTCTTTCATTCATTACACTTACAACTCCCCATCGATTAATCGTCATAATCGATGATCAGTTGAATATACCAACTAATATTGATTTTCTTTTGGAAGCTGTTACTGAAAATAACATTGTATGTGTTGACTTGCAGCAACCATTTATTTGGGAATTTTGGGAAAAGTTATCTGTGGTCATAAAACAAAAAGAAATCACTGTGTAAATATGTGTACATATATTCCAAAAAACAAATCACTGCAAATGCTCAAAACTGTACTTAAAGATACATTAGTTAAGAGTTTAATAAAGAGTTTTCATTCTTGCTATAATAATTCAAAAATAGATGATGAAAAAAGAAAATATTGAAAATTTCATTCAAATTACTTCATTCTCAGCCAAGTTATCATTGTTTGTAGCTTTAACAAGATGTGTTCACAGTCATGGTAACCAGGGCACTGGTACAATCGGGACTTAGCCTCGCTTTCCCATTTTTAAATTAAATTTTTAAATGGCGAACCGTTTTAATCTAGTTAAAATCCGATGCCGTCGAGAGTCGATTATGGTCTTGTTTTTTTAATAAATGTCTAATTAATAGTTTATATAACATTTCAGGCCTAAAGAAAGACCTGCAATAGGCAGATTTAGTTCTTGCATAATGTATGTTTAAACAATAAAATCACTAAATAAAGTAGCCAAGTCTAAGTTCATTATATGTTGGGATATGTCAGGGCCAGGGAAATTGTTATGCCAAATGGCAAATATTTGATTGAATATCACGAAGGCGGGGAACACTGTCCATTCTGCCCCCCCCCCCCATCTGTCTTTTATTGAATGACATGGTCTCGATTACCTGTAGGGTTTCCGGCCCAGTCCCGTGGTTTTCTCCAAGTCCCGTCCCCTGCTAAAGTCAACTACGCCTGATCTAATTTGTTTCGAATGGCTTTAAGTCCCATTTCTCGCTCTCTAAAAATTTATGGCCACGTTTTATTTTATCGACATTATCTTCAATATACCTTTTGGAATGTGGAGTTTGCAAGTTAATACCGGTATATGTATGGTTTAATATTCAAATTTTAAAAATACACAAAGGTACATCAATAGAACAATTTGAGATGAATATCAATGAGGAGATTTATAGTCAAGGTGTAAGCTTTTGACAATCGATATACATAATCAGCAATATCCAAACAAATGCGTGGGCTATTCGCACTCCAATGCGAGATAAATATTTACCAAAAACGTTTAAGATAGTTTTTGATGGATCACATTTGCGTTTAAGGATACCAAAAACAATGCTCAAGGTTTATTTGTTTCCCGTATATATAATCCCATTTGGTCCATTACGTTTCTTTCTTTATTTTTATGTTAGGGACTTATGCATAAATTGTATGGCAGCACGGCGATGTCTGGGCGATGCTAGATTGCTGTGGTAAACTAAAAATGAATTCTATAGTTATAACACCCATTATCGATCACCACGACAATCCGACGCATGCCATATTATCATATGACGACGTGAAATACACGCACATAAAGATGTCATAAATATTATGACATTTAGTATCGCCTTCATATCAGTATGTAATAGATCTAGTACTTGTCTTATCGTCATGACATGTGGATCTAGCAAGATCTTTATATCATCACGACCATACGTAAGTATCGGTCGAAAACTAAATATTGTTCGTAGACAGCGTGTCTCTTGTGTTCAGAATGAATCATAAAATCTTCATCTACCAAGATTTTATAACACTATGTCTAGATCTAGTAACATCTTTAATATGTCATCATTATGGAAGCGTATAGGGGTCAATGGCGCGACACATACCGCAATATTAAGTTGGTAATATGTCAACATATTGTGATTGTTCTGATGATTTTATCTCTGAAAAGACAATTTTTGTCGAGTTTAATGAGCAACGCGCTATTTTATATGTCTCCATATCGATTTAAATGTACCCGTTTGCGTTAAGATATTGCTATTCTGAAGCTTTGTCGACATATTCCATTTCGTCGTAGTATATGTCGACATTTTCGCGAAATATTGCCATGCGCTATGTCGGCGTGTGCATTTAAAACGAAATTACGACATACATCATAGCTAGTTATTTAATTAACTCAGAGATAAAATCTTCATAACAATTACAATATGTTAACATATTACCAACTTAATATTGCGGTATCTATCGCGCTATTGACCCCTATACGCTTCCATACATCATAGCATACAGCTGTAGCAAGATCTTTATTTCACCTTCTAGAAACTAGAAACCTCCAGCATGACGCCTAGACCTTAATACAACAGGGCTATCCATGTCTAGTTACACCTTTATATCACCATGACATCTATATCAAGTAATCATCTTATCACCATTTCAGATTAGGTCTAGGCCAGCAAGACCATTGTATCATTACGCTATCTGGATCTAGTAATATCTTCATGATCATGACAGCTGGATCTAGTAACACCTTCATATCATCTTGATCTGGTAACTATGGAAGCGAATAGGGGACAATATAGCGTGATGTTGACATGTTCGAAAAATATCGTCATATATTGATATACGGCGAAATGGAATATGTTGACAAAGCGTAGTCTTAGCGACATACATCATAGCAAGTTGATTCAATTAACTTGCCAAATATTTTCTTTTCAGGGGTAAAATCATCCTAATCACAATATGTATATGGCGATATCAACACGCTATTGACCATTATACGTTTCCATAACTAACAGGATAAGAGTACCATCATCGCGTATATAGCAAATGAAATGAAATGGGCTTTAACGTCCTACGATTCTGCTCCGACTGGGCTAATGAAGAAGGGGTTGCTTATACCAACATCCCAACGTAACAAATGATATATTTTTAACCTTATCTAGGTGAAACGAATATAGATCGCATCTATTCAATGAAAGATTTTATCATAATGTAAGAGCCTGTCTATAAGGTACCATAAGCAGATAGGCGAATTATTTATTACAGGACAAATAAACTACTTGACTAAAACCATGTGACGTTGCAATAAATATTAAAAAATTCAATCAATACTAAACGAACGATTTAAGCCGTTAAATGTACTGAAAGTCATGTATAAGTTACATGTAAATATCTTGTATGGGCATTTATATTATGACACGAGGCATACAAGTCAATAAGAGTAAGTTACAAGAACAAAGGTCTTTCTTTCACATAAACAGATATGTCAATCATTTTTTAATCTGTTTTCAGTGCTATTGACGTTGATCCACTGTACTGTGGGGTTGCTATTTATACCATAATTCTAATTGATATTTTTTATAATCAAGTTCACTTTATCGAAAACCCCAAAGGCGCTACTACTGATCAAATTGAATTTGTCATCCGACAAACAAAAAAAAAGCGTCAACGAAGGTTGTCATAATTTGGATGCTTTAGCCACATTTTGCTCTGGATAGGAGCCGAGGACAGATGGCGATTTCATGCCTGTTAGCTCCTAGCTGCCCATTACGGTTCATCTTGGGTTGTAGGTGATGTTTAACTTTGCTTTGTTTTTGGTAAGACTTACATATTTCCTGCTCCCTTTGCATTTCTAAGTTTCGATTTAAGTCAGTGGGATAATAACTTGAGCATTTAGAGCTCCATAAGCAATTATACACGATGGGCGGGGTGGCTGCGACAACAGACAACCACATTTCAATGTTGGGTATAAAAAAATATATAATAAAATTGATCAACTTTATTGCACTATTTACATAGAAAAATACATACACAAATGTTAATATGCATCCATCTTTAACATACCACATGACATTTATCTGTAAAGGTTTTCCATGTTTTTTGTTTATAATATAGGTTCATTATGTGTTCAAATCTTTATTAAATTAATAACAACATGATCAAATTAAACATACATTATGCCAGAGCTAAATCTGTGTATTGCAGGTCTTTCTTTAGGCCTGAAATGTTATCTAAATTATTAATTAGACATTAATTAACTTATCCAGACCATAATCAACTCTAGATGGCATCGCTAGCCTGCGATCTTAAGTGGATTGTGAGCCGATTTACTGCATAACTTTCCTTCTCGATTTAACGATTAAATGGATAATCCCATTTAATTGAGACTATGCTGTTTATCGTACTGACTTTAGTAATGATGAACAGGCTAGGCGGAAATTTCATTCACTTAGTTCTGGGTTCATAGTGGATCAATCTGACTGAAATTTTCAGCAAATTGCCTTTACGTTATCTAGTTTTTAACAGTGAGAACTGCCAACTCGTTATCGAATCTTCCATAATGTATCTTTAAGGTTAATATTCCACAATCTTTAAACATTTTAAAATATTTAACACAAATAAAATATATAAGAACATAAAACAATATTTCATAAAGTTTTCAAGATACAATAAAAGTATTGAAGATTAATTTTTCATTCCAAAAGTTTCGTAAAAAAAATTTTCATTCATGTTTTGTAAAATAATTTTTCATTCATAAAGTTTTGAAAAATAATTTCATATTCAAAAGTTTTGAAAAACATTTTTTAAATTTTTCAATTCAAAAATGTTCTGAAAATTTTTTTCATTCAACACTTTAACATGATCAATCCAATAACAAAAGAAATTGTCATGTGGGTTTTATTTCACTTTTGATGCTGAACTCCATGTTAAAAAATAAATATATACAACTCTTGTTTGAATTGGGAATGTTAAAATTGTCTTGGCCCCATTCCCAATGTTCAAATAGAGACAAAATGTAAACTAATAAAGAAAATTTTCATAAACTTATAAACATATTATTTAATACTAGTTTCATTTTTTTGTAACAAAAAATATAACCATGATATTAGTACTATCCTATTAACAAGTCTGAGAAGTAAAAAAATGACACCATAAACTAACATAGTGGCATTATCAATGAAAAACATTATTGCAGATTTTGTTTAGAAAGCACATTAAGAAGTTGATAATAGCTGATGAGATTGATATTAATAATAACTTATATCACAACACAAATATTACAATAAACATATTTATCACAAATGAGACAAAAAAGAAACAACCCCCAACTGACTAGGACTTTTAACAAGTTTTCATATAATACTTTAGCAAATTTAATTTCATATTTTAACTTGATATACATTTCAATTATAAATTACTATATATTCCGATTTTAATTCAATATAAATCTACAACTTTATATTCATTTCTCAACTTCCTAGATATTCAGATTTTAAATTTGTTCATATTCAGAATTTATGTTAATATGTTCAGATTTTAAACTATTATATTCAGATTTTAAACTATTATATTCAGATTTTAAACTATTATATTCAGATTTTAAACTATTACATTCAGATTTTTACTCTAGTTTTACTAAATTTATTCTGATTAACAATTATCTATAACATATTTCTTTTCAATCTTCTTCTAAACTTGATACCAAAATTTAATATTTAAATAAAGTATGGCTCTGCCAAGGTTGAAAATAAGCCTTGGATTCTACTGGTGACCTGGGTTATAGCACCAACAGGGCTACTGAAGAGGGCTTAAACCATAAGGAAACTAATTTGGAGGAACATTCTCAACCAACAGCGGGGTGCAACCTGGGAACGCCTAGTTAGTTATCCAGTGCCACTGTGGCAAGAGAAATCTGGCTGGATATCCGAATTGCTGGGATTTTAATGCATATATTTTACAAATTTGAAATCAGTACTAAGATAAACACTGGGATATGAACTTTGATGATGAGTGCCTCCCATCAAGCTAGTAGCTCAAACTTTTTTTGACATCTTGGCTCAAATTGATTGGCACTAAGTGAAATATATACCAATATTTTAACATCAATGGATTAGTTATAATTAATTATATGGTGAACCAAGTACTTATTAATAATTATCTATTTTAATTTACAAACCAATTAAATATATACTTGAGTTATTTATCAATAATTATTAAAACAACAATTACAACGTTCTTAATATTATAGTGCAAATATTTACACATTACATAAATTTGTGATCCTGATTGTATACTTTAAGTAGATACCAGTATGAACATTTTTGCAACACTAAACATTTAATCTTGATGAAAAAGATCCTGCTATTGATTTTATTTAGAGTGTTTATGCTCAACTTCATGCTATAGTGTTAGGCTTGAAAAGTATGATTGGCAACTGAGAATAGCATGTTCGCAATCACTGAAATTCCTTTCTCATTTGTAAAATTGTAAGAAATTGTAGCATTTTTATTTAGTGTTTATGCTCAACTTAATGCTATAGTGTTAAGCTTGAAAAAGAACGATTGGCAACTGATGTTCGCAATCACCAAAATTCCTTTCTCATTTGTAAAATTGTAAGAGATTGTCGCATTCTGTGACATAACAACTGGTCTCCCTGTGTTTGTTCTGCATATTCATTTATTCTTTATCCTGATTCTTCTAAGGGTATAACACCCACTCCTACTCCTCCTTCATGGGCTGACATAAATTTTGCAAATTTCCATGTATCGGTTATAGGATCGTAATACTCAACAGAATTCAAATTAGTTATTCCATCATATCCTCCAATAGCATACAGTCTACCATATGTAGCAACCAATGAAACACGACTTCTCTTCCTACTCATGGATGTGACAAACTTCCATTTATTTTCTGCTGGGTCGTAACATTCTACGGTTCGTAGAAATACTGAGCCATCATACCCTCCAGCTGCATACAGTTTACCGTTTAATGCTGCTACCCCAAGACGACATCTTTTTGATTGCATAGGTGCAACTGTCTGCCACGTTCCTTTAGCTGTGTTATAAAGCTCAACCTTAAAAATGAAACAGAATAAAATAGCAAGATTATAAAACTGTACCTTAAAAAAACAAAATGGAATAAAACAATGAAAGGGGATGAAGTTTAATCTCTTGTCAATGCAGAACTTTGAAACTAACATAGATGTTACTTGACAATTGAGATTATATTGTTAAAAACACGTAATTTGACTGAAAATTTCAATGTATTCATTTTTCATTATCTATTTTTGAACTATTATAGCAAGAATGGCCAGCTCTTTATCTAAATCTAACCTAAATTAAATAGTAATTTTGTCTACACCAGCTTAATTTTGAAAGTTGATTTTTTTTTTGTCTGCCATATTGGTGTATAGTAGTTTACATTTAAATGTCATAAGAAACAAGAAAAACAGGAATGTCATTATAAATAAATCCATGAAAAGTATAATATTACACTCTTAATAGCTTCCAATAATTGTTCTGTCAATACAATAAACTAAATAAAAACCTGAAGTTTACTTTGTATTTCGATACCTTAAACAACTTCTAATATATATTTGTGTTTACATTACGACAGGTGTGTGCGACAGGAACTGAGTATCTATGTCTTATACTTACTGAGTCATATATAGATAATCCGTCATGACCCCCACACGCATAAATTTCCCCGTGTAAAACTGCCAGGCCAGCAGCACTGCGTAATTTCTGCATCTGTGTAATCATGGCCCACCTGTCATAAATGAGAAAAAAAAATAAATAAAAAATAGTTAATTCATTCAATAAACAAGTGGTTGCTATGCAAGATACGCCCATAATTTGCAAAATATGGACAGAGAAAAAGCAAAAAAAAAAAAAAAAAAACAAACCGATTTAACTTTCAATCAGGGGCCATAATCCAGGAAGTTACGGTTTGATATGCTCAAGTATCAAAAGAAATAGAGATCTTTGGGATATAAACATATATTTTACGAAAATCTGATAAAAATTGTGACCTCTACAGGGTCCACAACCTTGTTATTACATACTTTTACACTATTTGTGTTCATGGAGCAGCCATTTTGTCTGGCAGTTTTGAAATTCGAGCTCGTGCATCATGATGGTTTAACAGTGTTATAATTGAATGGGTTTTTTTAAATCAGATAACAATTGTGATCTCTAGAGGGTCCATAAGCTAAAAATGTGATTTTTCGTACAGTCAAGGGCCATAATCCAGGAAGCTACGGTCTGATCTGAGCGATTATGAAAAGGAATCAATATCTTTGGGATATAAACATATATTTTAAGATTCATTAAAATCAGATGCGGAGTGGCCAATTTGTTGGGCAATTTTGGTCTATAGTATGACCACATCGGACGAACATCGGCAAATCCAACAAAAGGTTTCTAATATTAATGAAACAGTTATGTTTTATATTAAATATTAGTTTGCCTACATGATAATTCTTTTCATCGAAAGGGCAACCAAGTCTCTGCTGATTGATCATTGACTGATGATCTGTAGAGGATTGACACAGATCATGCACAGGACTTGAGGCATATAGAATGTGGTCATACTATACAGGGTTGAACCTGGGTCCTCCTGGTAAGTGAGCCAGTGTCACTGTGGCTCTTGTATAAATTACAAAAATATGACTGCGACTTTAATGCATATATTTTACAAGTCTGAAATCTCTAATAAAGTAAACACCGAGACTCAACATAAAAAAGGCAAGTAGGAATTCTTGTCAAAGTAAAAATACATGGCACAGATATTATAAAAAAAACACAAAAGAAAGTTAGTTCTAAAATTCCAGAATAAACAGTAGATTTGTCAAAGGGATCAAGCACAAAAAATTGCTGACAAAAGAATAAAAAGGTTTATAGTAGTAACTCAGTGAAAAATCGTTCTCTTTATAACAAGTCTGCATAGTGTTTATAAAGTTTTGGTGACGGGTACATGAGATCTACAAATCCAATATGCGCCTTTGATTTCATTAGGCTCCCTCCTACAAGGATGTTGCTAACAATCCCAGTAGATTTTAAAATAAAATCTCAATAAAACTCTAAATAAAGAATTTACAAGACAAACCGACAGTTGGACAGGTATATGTAGACAGACAGGGGTGACGACAATATGATAACTGACATGCAGAAAGTCATACTACTTGAATGACAATTATGAAAAGTTCCAAAATTAACTTTTGAACTGCGTTAATCTATGAAATTTTCCTTTAATTTGGGTTTCTTCTAATCAATAAATAACCTAATAAACTATATAAAAAATATACAATGATATCAGACTTCATTGTAGGAACATAGAAAATACACAGATGGACTATATAAACTTCTTTATGTCAATTGATTATTGGTCAATATAATCCTAATTTTATATCCGTACACACTTTTTATTAAAAAAAAAAAAGATATATATTAGTCTACATTTAGGTCATCTAGTACAACCAAACCATATAAATTTTTTTTGATCAATGCCAGTCATGTCAAAAACTTATTCTGAAATATGAAGGCAGTAAAGATGCAGGTAAAATAAGAAACAAAAAAGCCAAACTGAAGTTATAGTCATTTTAATTTTTGCTTTAGTTAAAAGGCCGTAAGGCACTTAAACATTTTTTTTTTTTGATCAATGCCAGTCATGTGAAAGAGTTATTCTGAAACTTATAAGCCAGATATACGATGGCAGTAGGCCTATAGACGAAGGCAATTCTCTCTTTAGTTAAGGCGCTTAAAAGTTGCATACTTTCAACTTTTCAGAAAACTAATCAATAATTTTAACTATGACAAGCTTTTATATTTACAATCTAGGTCATATCAGTACTAATATATGATAGATTTTACAATAAAATGCTTGTCTTTAACACTACGAGGTAACAACAGAATGCTGAATAAACCTACAGGATTAGTCATGCAACACTATTCCTAGTCGGGGTCACGGTGGCTAAGTAGGTAAGATGCATGCTCACTAGCCAGGAGGTCGGGTGTTCGATCCCCGCATTGGCCGAGAAAGTTCATCTGCGTGGTTCCCCCTTGTCAATAATGCAGGAGGGAGGGCCTGACAAGGACAGCTGTCTAGTTTTTCGGATGGCACAAAAAACCAAGGTCCTGTGTAAACATTGGTGTGCAGGTAAAAGATCCCTTGACAGTTGGAATTCGATATAAGAGTAGGCCATAGTGTCGCTGTCCAGGCACAATTTCCGTAATAGCACACTGTATGACATGCCCGTCTTCATTAGCCCAGTTCGGAGCAAAACAGTAGGACGTTAAACCCCATTTCATTTCATTTCATTTCATTTCATTTCATTTCCTATTCCTAGTCAAGTATAAGAGATGGATTGATAGTTTACTCATACGACCCTAGTTATTCTCAAATGCTAGATTTAGTTCAGTAGTTTGGAGAGAATGAAAACGAGAGGTCAAACAGAGTACAAATTGGTGCACAACTAATTAGCATAATCTTTTAGTGGCATTTAGTAACAAGGCAGAGTAATAAACTATAACACATGTGCTTATGGAAAACAGCTAGGCTACTAATTTTATTAGGCGACCTTTGGAAGAGTATTCTCTCAATATTATAAAGCTTGATAACTTTGAGAGAATACTCTTCGAAACATCGTCCAATAAAATCAGTAGCCTAGCTGTTAGCCATAAGCACACATGTTTTAATTAAACAAAAAGTAAGTGAAAACACTGCACTCAAGGCAAAACTGTTCCCCTCGCATTGCACAGAAATGAAAATTTCCATATATTTGTCTCAAAATGACCAAAGCTGAGTCTGTTCAATTCCTTGGTCAAATATAATTGGAGGAACAGGCTCTCACAACAATGTTTTAGGTCAACCATTCCAGACCCAATATGCCCACAGCCAATCTAAGGAGTGATTAGGTGGCATATTCTTTCTGCACCTGTCAATAACAGGTCTAGCGACTAGAGAAAAAAAAATTTCCATTACCACTTCGGTTGATACTTTTTTTCCCTCACAAGGAGTTAATCCTTTAAATACAGCTGTTGCTATATTTATAATATGGCTTAATATTATGGTTTAATATAGAAGCAGTCAGGCTGAAAAATATCTATTAATTATTGTTCAACAATATCTATTTCTGTGTAATAAAGTAAAAAAAAAAACTGTTTAGGGTCAATAAAAATATAATGTAAATCAAAGTCAAAATTCTCTTTGCAAAGAAAGATATCTCAAATCTTTTAATATTTTTTTCCTAAAGTTTAGATATATATCCATACTGAAAAGATCAATCAATTTCTTTTGAAAACATTTAAATTTCAATGATTTATTAATGGTATTTAAAATATAGTTATATAAAGAACTAGTCTGATAGGTAATATTAATAAACATTTGGAAACATTTAAATTTTACTTATTTTAACAGTATATAAAATATAGTCATGTAAAGAGCTAGTCTAAGGGTAATAAATTTAACATTTTACTGACTTATTAACACTATTAACAGTATTTAAATTATAGAAATGTAAAAAGCTAGTCTGAGGGGTAATAAATATATCTAGTATTTAAATTATAGACATGTAAAAAGCTAGTCTGATGGGTAATAAACATTTGAAAACATTTAAATTTTACTGATTTATTAACAGTATTAAAAATATAGTTATGTAAAGAGCTAGCCTGGGGGATAATAAATTTAACATTTAAATTTTACTGATTTATTAACAGTATTAAAAATATAGTTATGTAAAGAGCTAGCCTGGGGGATAATAAATTTAACATTTAAATTTTAATGATTTATTAACAGTATAATATAGTCATATCAAGAGCTAGTGACAGTCTGAGTCTGAGTGGTAATAAATTTATCCATACTTTGTTCAGATTTTACATACCGATATCTTAATTCAAGGGCATTTAATAATTGAACTGGAAATACACAAGATATGGAATACAATTACTGTTTACTACTGATCGAAGTTTTCAATAGGCTTTTCTAGTTTTTATCAAACAATGGTGTTAAAGGAGCTGTATAAATTGATTAACATTTAATCGTTTCTGTTTTACTGTCATTTCTAACCAGTTATGTTCGCGAAATACGCCAAGAGTCCAAATTGAATGGCAGTCTTTGGTGTCTGGTTAATCCAGTCTACACTGGTAGTATTCTCTTGTATAGGATATATTTAGCCTCATTCATCGAGTCGCTCATTATAAATGGTGCTCGTAAGCATTCTGGCACACAATTCGCGTGCAAAGTTTAAAATTTTCATTGTGTCTTAAATATTAGATACCAGAAGCCCATCTTTTCACGGTAAGATAATAACATCAATCTTGATTTAAATTGACCAATAAGTCGTGTTTGCAATGTCAAAGACTGTGGATGATATTGATTTCAAGACTTGTATCCTTTAAACCTAGTCTAGTCAATAAGTCTAAGCAATAACAGTAACTGTTTCCATAAATTTACATATCACTGGCAGTTTTTAAGCATGACTTAAGTACCAGCAACTCTTGACAAGCGATTCCATATTATTTGATACAAATTTCAGTCAAGTTATATTTTAAATAGCACGGCTTTCATGAGTTAACAGGTTTAACCAGAGGCCAAAGGCCAAGGGGTTAAACCTGTTAATGAATGAAGCGTGCTATAAATGACTTGTAACATTGACAACTGCTCAACATGCTTATTGTTATTGCACAGAAAACCCAACCCACCTTTTTTATATGATTTCTACTAAAACTAGTGTAAACCAGCAAAAGTGTGCAATAACATTGAACATGTCT